AAATGGATTACTCTTCTTTTTGGTCTAGTACTAACATATAATAGATAAATGTAGTTGTTCATCTTCTTTGTTAATTTTGATGTAAACATGCATATTTTAGTTTGGATTCATTTATTTACTTTGTTTTAAAAAAATTAGTAGTACTTTTAAAACTAAACTAATGTTACATTAAAAAGTCTATATATATATATATATATTCTCATCTACCTCATATGTCAGCTTCTTTTACAATCAAATAGAATACACAAATATCAAAGTTCTTCTCCTCATGTAATCTTCTTCTGTTTATTTTGCTTATGATCTCTCTTTTTAGTTTTATATAACTATAGTTTAAATGCTTTTATAATATAAACTGGAAAATCTTCTCTAAATTAGATTTAAAACAATATATCAAATGTTTCAAATGAAATCTTTTAATTTGATATTTTGAAAAGTTTAACTTGATCATTTTTTAAATTCAAATTACTTTTTGGTAATGATAAAATATAAGGTGAGTAACAAATGCTCATATTTAAAGTTAATTTTGTGTATGTGCTAATTTTTTATTATTTTGTTTAGATCTCATTCAGTTTTATATTTTTCAAATATAATTTTCGTTTATTTTAAATGTTTACAATGTATACAAAATATGTTGTATACTAATTTTGCGATCGCGTTCGATTTTGTTTGTGCGTTAATTATTTTGTTTTAAACATAAAAAGTAATATTATTTTGTAATAAACATAGAAATGAATATACACATATTATTTTGCTTTAAAATTATTTTCAAGACATATATTAACACTTATACACTATATATAACTTAAAATAATTTTTAATTAATATTTCATATATAACCCACGCATCGCGTGGGCAACTTTCTAGTAGTTAATATATTTTGGTATCGAAACTTTGGATCTAAAAAACAACTAAATTGAAGAAGCCTTTGGGACAGCTACTTGCCATTCATGTTAGGTATATAAAATAACTCAATTAATTATCTAAATACTAACCTCTTCATAGTTTAAAACTCATAAACAATTCAAGTAATTAACAAACATGGCAAATACACTAAATACAACACAAACTAGTCCTCGTGAGGGCATGCGCCAGTCTTCAATTTATCAACCGCTCGACTGCTAAATACATACGAAGTAAGGGAAATAACAGTTTTTGTTTATTCAATACGTAAAACTCACGAGAATGGAGCTGCCCACTTCTTTGGTTCCCCACACGTAAAACCTAAACGTACACTATTACTTCAGTTTTGTATATCTTTTTCTTTCTAAATCTGAACCAAGTTTTTATTTCTCAAACCATAATATATACAAACATTAAATGTGTACCATTTGTTCTGTCTGATTAGGTAAGTACTATTATTTGGACCAAAAAATTGACAGCAAAATGAAGGTGTTTCCTGGATTTGGTGGCTGGATCAATCAGAACATTCAAAAGTCTCCAAAGGTCAGCTTCACCTCCATCAATCAGAGAACCCCATAGTATAAAGTATTGTAAATTATTTTTGTAATGTAGGCCGAGTCCAAAAGATCAGTGAATGCTGATACTAATTCAGAGTCAGAGAAAGATAGAAATAATCAAGAACAAAATTATGACCAAGAGGACATGAAGAAGCAATTAGAACTTTGGAGTGCTGGAGAGAAGACTCATCCATGGTATGATGCCCCTCCTAAGGTTAAGGTATTATAATAGCAAATAAGTCAAATCTCAATACTTCATTAGATTCTAGAAACAAAGTTTTGGAGAATCCTAGTAAAAAAGGAAATTGTACATATATATTAGGAAAGTTAGCATATTCTCTAGGTTTATTGTGAACTCGAAAAATTTATTGAAGCATGTTAACAAGTAAGGAAACTAAAATAAGTTTTACGTACGAATGCTCTTTTGGAAGAGAATAACGATCTTGATTTTTTTTTTTTTTTTTTTTTTTTTTTTTTGAGGTGACAACAAAAAAGGGACTATGCCATATGAACATAGAAATGACACTGGGCTGGATTCCTGATGGAGTCTTCGAACTTTTCACTAATCCAAACGACGGCCCACTCTTCTTCGACATGAACAAGCATGGGCGTCAACTTCTGGTTTCTCCCTTATCATTTTATGCTTTCAATGTGGTATTAATGATAGTAGTACTTGAGAGTGTGATATTTTTTTCCTGATGAAGGAATACAAATCAAGAAAAGTTTTGAAGAAGGATGGACCTAGGCAGATCGTGAAGGTAAAGCAAGCTTTGGCATGGGACTTCCTTTGGTGGTCTGGTTCTATACCGATAGAACTAATTGTTGATGAAAACAAAAAAGATTTTACAGTAAGAAGAAGCTTTTATACCCTCAAAATAATCGATATTTGTATGGTTCTTTGATAAGCATCGCTATTTTGCTTTGTATTGGTGGAGTTTTAACTTGTGTTTCTCTTGCTTGTTGTGGACAGGCAAAGTACAAAAAACAGAAAATGATGTTTATGAAAGTATTCCAAGGTAGCTATAAAGTGGAGCCACTGTATGCAGATTCAGTACGCTTGTGCAAGCACATGGATCCGAAGAGTCTACAAGAATACAAAACATGTAGTGGCGGACAAGGAAGGATTGCATCGAAAGTAACAATGGATCAATACTTTCAGCCGTATCCTCCTTTCAATATGCCGCCATTTTCTTGGTTCATTCGTAATATCACCATCAACACCACCAAAACTCTGCTCAAAATGCTTCAACATGGGAGTGTTGTGTTACGAGAGTGAGACTCTAGATGCATGATGATGTTGTAAAGACTTCAAGCAACAAACATGGAAAACACTTAACTTAAATGATCACGCATATCAACATATGTACTGTATGTTGTAAATTTAATACATTCCTTAATTTGTTTTTAAAAAACCACAAGTTTACTTTATGATGCAAATTTCAATTAGGCCCAATGCCTAGCATGCATATGAAATATGTTGTAGGCGGATCAGATAATTGATAAATCTAAGATATATATTTCCAACAGTTAGAGAAGGAACTACCAATAAAAATATTAATGAGCCAAAAGATTCTCTTTTTTTTTGGGGTTAAACATGCATTATGTAGACATGCATACTCATGTTTCTATATTTTCTTTCAGAAATATGGGACATATATAGGAAGCTTCTTTCTTGTACGTAAAGAAATCACGAGAATGGAACCGTCCTCTGTTTTGTTACACGGTAGGTAAACGTCTACGTTCACCATTTTTTCAGTTAATTTGCTTAATGTATTTTTTCTCTAAATACCAATTAAGCTTTTACCTAAGATTCCTAAAACTTTCATAGATACAAGCTTTGTATATATCTGTCAGTTTCCCTTGATCTGATTAGGATCAGTATCGTTTGTGGACTAAAATATCTGAGAGAAATGAGTGTATATCCTGGATTCCGTGGCTGGATCAATCAAAACATGCAACAGCGTCCTAAGGTCAGTTTCATTTTTCCATTAATCAGAGAATCCAACAAGTCAAATAACTACAAACTACGATAAATTACTTTTGTTGTTGTAGGCTGACTCTGGGAGATATGGTAGTGTTGAATCTAATTCAGTGTCAGAGAAAGATACTAATCTAAAACCATGGTATGACGAACCTGGTGAGGTAAGAGCACATAAACAAACTGTGTAAAATACTATACCGTTTATATATAGAAATGAGATTATGTTTCTTCTTGTATAATATATTACATTATGTTTCTCCTTGTAGAATACAGCTATGGAACCTGGGGATGTAAGATCTAAGGCACTGTATGCGGTCGATACCAAATATTTTGACGTAAATGAGATGGGAAGGCAATCAAAACTTTGGCATGCAGAGAAGAAAAAGCATCCATGGCATATTCCTCCTGCTAAGTTCAAGGTAATAGCATATCAGAAAAGAAACCCATATATCCCATTACTAGAAAAAAAAAAGAGAACAAAAATAATATATATATGTTTGATCATTGCAGGTGGAAACAAAAAATGGTATTTGCCATATGAACATAGAATTCAAGGTGGGATTAATCCCTCCAGGAGCCTATGAGATGCTCACTAATCCAAGAAACATAACATTCTTCAGTGCAGATGAAAATTTGCGACAACGTTTGGTTTGTTTTTCTTTTCATATATTTTTATGATCAGATTGAGTATTAGTTAATTAACTATAGCAATAACTGAAAGTGTACGTGGTGCTTTTTACTATGAAGGAAAACAAAGCAACAAAGGTTTTGAAGAAGGATGGACCAATGCAGATCACTGATGTGAGGAAATCTCTAAGATGGAAGTTTCTTTTGTTTTCCGGAACTACCCCGATTCATCTAATCATCGATGAAAATCATCAGAATCTTACTGTAAGAAAATTTCTCTCTATCCTTCACAAGGAACTAATTGTTTTTGTTCAGTTTTTGGTGAGTTTATTAAGCGTTCAATCTCTTGGTTAGGCAAAATTTACGAAAAAGAAAAACACAATGAAGTACATGAAAATATTCGAGGGTTGCTGGAAACTAGAGCCGCTATTCGTAGATTCCGAACGCTTGTGCAACCAAAGAGAGCCGAAGAGTCAAGAAGAATACAAAAGATGTAGCCGCGGTAAAGGAAGGATTGGATCAACCGTGACAATGGAGCTTATCTTTCAGCCTTCTTCTCTTCTTAATCTGCCACCGGTTTCTTGGATCATCCGCCGGATCATTATAAAAACCACAAAGATTTTGATAGAAGATCTTAGACAATTTGCTATCATGATGCACAAAATGTAAAAACAAATATGTGATAATTATTTATTTGTTTCATGGTACGTAAAACATAACGGGTTATGTATGTCTTCATGAGAGTGTGGTGTAATTACATATCTTGTTCTGTTTGCAGGATCTACATAGCTATGTATATGTACGAAAAATTAATATTTTTTTATTGTGCTTGAAGGTAACAATGAAAAATTAATAAATTTTCCAAGACAATTTGCTTGTTCTGTAAGACCTAAATTATTTTCCGTAAACAACATTTAAATCACTAATTTATTCGCGAATTAGGGTTATCTATTAATCTACATGAAGTATTTAGCTAATAGTTTTTTTCCTGACATAATCCAAACTAACAATTCAGAGAAGAGAACAGAGGAGCATTTAGGTCTGCTTATGTTTCTTATTTTTCCCTGAAACAAATCGAACATCATCCGCGGATTCATCAGCCTTTCGATCTCCTCCTTCTTCAGGTAGGTCTCCCTTGTACGTCAAGAACTCACGGGAATGAAGCTGGCCGACTTGTTGTTTCACGGTACGTAAACATAACGTACACTTTTTTTTAATATTATATTTTATTTTGTCTAATAGTTCTTAATCAAACATTTAATCTCAAGTCCTCTAGACATATATAGTAATATATATATATATATATATATATATTATAAAAACTTTGTACCGTTTAATTTTTTGCTCTTCTGATTAGGGAATCAAGTATCATTTGTGGACCAAATTTTGAGAGCGAAATGAGTATATTTGCTGGCTGGATCAATCAGAACATTCAACAGCCTCCTAAGGTCAGTCTTATTTCTTTCAACCAGAGAAATCAACAAGTCAATCTCTATTAAAGTACTATATCGGTTAACTGTAGGGCGAGTCCGAGAGATATGAGGATGATAAATCTAACTCGGGGTCAGAAATGGATACTAATGGTACCGAAGATGAAGAGATTAAGCAACTAATTCTTTGGAGTAATGCAGAGAAGAAGCATCCATGGTATGATCCTCCTCCAAAGGTGAAGGTAATTATAATAGCAAATCAGCAAACAAATATATCTCAATACTTAGGCTTTTAAGAATAAGAGTAAGTAAAACGATTAAAGATCTCAAAATTAATATTTTTTTATTGTGCTTGAAGGTGACAATGAAAAAAGGTGTTTGCCATTTGAACATAGAATTGACATTGGGAGTGCCTCCTGATGGAGCATACGAACTTTTTATTAATCCAACTGACGTACCATTCTTTGTCATCGACAACTCGGGGCGCCAACTTCTGGTTTTTTTCTTATCATTATATAATTTGGATGTGGTTTAAATTATAGCTATATTTGAGAGTGTAATCTTATCTTTTTGGTAAAGAAAAACAAATCAAGAAAAGTTTTGAAGAAAGATGGACCAAGGCAGATAGTGAAGGTGGTGAAAGCTGTGGCATGGGACTTCCTTTGGTGGTCAGGAGCTCTCCCCTTTAGTTTAGTTGTCGAAGAAAACAAAAAAGATCTTGAAGTAAGAAGCGTTTCTATACACATTAATGAATATAGTTGTTATGATATATTGGTGAAACTTAACTCTGTTTCTCTTATCTTATTGACAACAGGCAAAATATAAGAAGGAGGAAATGATGTTCATGAAAGTGTTCAAAGGTAGCTGGAAAATAGAACCACTATATGTAGATTCAGCACGTTTGTGCAAGCAAATGAAACCGAAAAATCGAGAAGAATACAAAAAATGTAGTGGCGGACAAGGAAAGATTGCATCAAAAGTGACAATGGACCAATATTTTCAGCCATGTTTTCCTTTCAATCTTCCACCGCTTTCATGGTACATTCGTAAGATCACCATCAAGACAACCAAAACTTTACTCAAAATGCTTCAAGAGAGGGCTACTATACTGCGAGAGTTGCCGTATTAATTCTTAGAAAGAACTCAATGCTCTTTATATATTTTAGCACATTCCATTTTTTTACTATTTAATATCATAATATTGTTATTTGTTTCTTTGATTTTATAAGTTAATTTTGTTTCTTACGGTAATTGTTTCTTGACCCAATTGCTACTGGGAAATCAGAGTGTAGTTCTGACACTATATAAGCACATCTATAAGCTTGTTATGGTTGTTAATTTTTTTTTATCTAATCTTGATTCCTCCAATTCTACACAAAATGCATGATTTTGTGAATAAACATTTTGAGTCTAACCTTGATTCGGTAATGTCTGTACATATCATAGTCACGGGATTTCAAAACAAAAAATTAACAAATTCAGTATTTTGTGATTGAGAATACTTTGGAACATTATGAATTTTGTGGCCAGATCCTTAAATATTACACACCGTTTTCTGGCACCTTATCTCAATTCTATAACGTTGGTGCAAATTTGTAAGTCCTTAATTATGGTTAAAACGTTTTATTTTCTATTCCAAACGTAAAATAATATTGGTTTATGGGTATTAATTAAAGTACATATATGCTTCTATTTTATTTTTCCTCAAGTAGGTATGGTATGTACGTTAATTACTCACGAGAATTTTCGTCGACAATTAGACTTATGGGGATGGTAAAAGACTTCCCAATGAAGTTCCAGGCCACAGCTTTCTTCACCTTTGCGATCTGCCTCGGTCCATCCTCCTTCAAAACCTTTCTTGATTTGCTTTTCTTCATACAAAATAGAGTACACTCTCAAGTATTACTACAAATCTACAATCCACACCACATTGAAATCATATAATGATAAAAAAATTAATACCAGAAGTGGTTCGGTGTTTGGTCCGTTTTGTGGATTAGTGAAAAGTTCGAAGACTCCATCAGGATTCAACCCCAATGTCAATTCTATGTGCATATGGCAAAGACCTTTTTTTGTTGTCACCTTCAAACCTCAAAAATATATAAAAAAGTTTTGTCAATCTTATATTTAAAAAACCAATTCCCTTAAGAATCAAAGTATTGAGATATTATAGATCATTTTGTTTTATTACCTTCACCTTAGGAGGTGCGTCATACCATGGATGCTTCTTCTCTGCAGCTGTCCAAAGTTTATCTTGCCTCTCCCACTCTTGTTCGTCAAAATATTTCTTTGGCTTAGCAGGACCATTATTATTATCCATCTTAGACTTAGATTCAACATTCTCAGATCTCTTAGGGGCCTAGAACAAGCAAAGATAATCATAGTCTAATTTGTATGATGGGCCATTAATTAATAGTAGTACCTATATTAATATTACCTCTTGAGAGTTCTGATTGATCCATGCCCCAAATGCAGAAAATACACCCATTTATCTCTTAAATTTTAGTGCACAAATGAAAAAAAAAGAAGATGACGTTCCAAAGTTTGTATATAGTATGGTGTGAGGAATTTTAGATAAAATGTCTACATTTCCCACTCAAAAGAAAGATGTCTGCGTCTTGAAATGGTGTACGTTAAGCTCAACTTACAGAAGATCTTACAGTAAGAAGCTTCTCTATACCCCTAACAATAATCAATATTTTTTATATATTGGTGAATTTAATTCCAACTTGGCTTTCTCTTGGTTATGGTGGATATATAGGGAAAATACAAGAAAGATAAAATGATGTTGATGAAAGTGTTCAAGGGTAGCTATAAAGTAGAGCCACTATACGTAGACTCAGAACGCTTATGCAAACGCATGGAGCCGGAGAGTGCAGAAGAATACCAAAAATGTAGCCGTGGACAAGGAAAGATTGCATCGAAAGTGATAATGGACCAATACTTTCAGCCATATCCTCCTTTGAATCTGCCACCATGTTCTTGGTTCATTCGTGGTATTACCATCAAGACCACTAAAAATGTGCTAAACAAACTTCAACGTTGGGGTTTCAGTATTCGAAATCCTGGTGTAATCCTTTCAACCGACAAACATGGAAACACAGAAATTTCTCCTAAACGTTAATTTGGAGTTTTTTTTTTCTTTTTTTTGGCTGCTCAGATCTAATATCTTTTAAAATCGATTATTTATGATCAATCAAAAACATACATTATTTCGTTAAAATAATTATTTAACAAGTTAAAACACAATAGGCAAACTCATAATGTCTTTTTCCATATACTGTACATATATATATATGTACATGCATATAATAATAAAAAATAATTATCTAGAGTCTAGACCATGTTAAATTAAAAACTAACGTAAAAAGTAAAAACCATTGATTTATTGCATGTGCTAAATTTCTCAGATTTTTTTTTTTTTTAGCATAGCACTCACAGATCAATTTCATGTTACTATACTAATTTTGCCGAGTTACGTTACATACATCAAAAGGGATCACATAGAAAAAATGAGATGAAGCTTAAATTCTCCAATTTATCAACCGTATCTTTGATATCCTATTTTCTCAGCATGTAGGTCTCGTCTCTACGTCAATCACTCACGAGAATTGAGTTGCCCATTTAATTTGTTTAGCCGTACGTAAAACTTAACGTACACCATTAATTCTCTCAAGATCTTAGCTAAGATTCATCAAACCATATCAAGCTTTATATCATAGATTTGCTCTTGTGCGTGCATTTACCAAGTTTAGTTTGTAGACTAAACTCTCAAAAAGAAATGGGTATATTTGCTGGATTTGGTAGCTGGATTAGTCAGAACAATGAACAGCCACGTAAGGTAAGTTTCATTTCCATCAATTAGAACTCCTGAAGAAGTCAACTCAACATAAACCTATTGTAGAGATTATTATGATCATCTATGTTTTTTTTTTTGTAGGCCGAGGCCAATAGATCTGAAAATGTTGAATCTAAGTCTGAGTCAGAAATAGATAATGATAATAATGAACATGATAAGATGAAGAAATATTATGACGAAGATGAGATGAAGATACAAGATCAACTTTGGATAGATGGAGAGAAGAAGCATAGATGGCATGATCACCCTCCAAAAGTGAAGGTATATAATAAAAATAAAAAAACAGCAAACATACTTTTAGATTTTGTTGCCTTTAAAGGAATTCGAATAAATATCATAAAATTTTCTTATATATATATTTTTTTTTGTATTTGAAGGTGACAACAAAAAAGGGTCTTTGCCATATGAAGATAGAATTGACATTGGGATTTCAGCCTGATAAAGTCTTCGGACTTATTACTGATCCATCATCTAAAGGATCATTTTTTCTCGACCCCCCTCTGGTTTGTTTTCTTATCATTCATTGTATGTTTAGAAATGTGTTATTAACTGTAGCAATACCTTGAGAGGGTGCTCTTTTCTTTTCCTTTTTAATGAAGGGAGGCAAATCAAGAAAAGTTTTGATGGAGGATGGACCAAGGCAAATCGCGAAGGTTGGGAAAACCGTTGAGTGGAAATTCCTTGGGCGGTCTTTCGCTATCCCCATAAGTGTAATTGTCGATGAAAACAGAAAAGAACTTACAGTAAGAAGTTTTTCTATTATCCCCTCACACTAATCAATCTTTTGCTGTTTTGTATTGGTAAAAGTTTACTCGGGTTCCTCGTGGTGATGATTGATCGTTAACAGGCAAAATATAAGAAAAAGAGAATGGTGTTGATGAAAGTGTTCAAAGGTAGCTATAAAGTGGAGCCACTATACGTAGATTCAGAACGCTTATGCAAGAACATAGAGCCAAAGAGTCCTGAAGAATACAAAAGATGTAGCTGCGGAAAAGGAAGGATCGCATCAAAGGTGACAATAAACCAATACTTTCAGCCATATCCTCCTTTTAACCTGCCGCCATTATCTTGGTACATTTGTAGTGTCACAATCAAGAACACCAAAACTGCGCTTAAAACACTTCAAACTTGGGGTATAAGCATTCGAAATCCAGGTGTAACGACTTCAACCGACAAAGATGGAAACGTAACAAGACATGCCAAGAAAAAAGGAAAACAACAACGTTGAAAACACTAGACTAAATGAATACTACTACATGTCGTAACTTGTAAGTTGTAAATTTAGTATACTATTCTAAATGAATAAAATGCTCTTACTTGCTCTTTATCTATTAATTCTATTCATAATCCCCTAATAGGCCCATTAATTACATATCTAAAGCTAAATCCAAAAAAAAAATGTTAATGGGTATTTTTTTATTTCCTTTCTCTGTCGTCATCTTAGTTCTGACAAACACATGTCTCCTTTAGCCCACTTACATAGATTAGAGAGGCGAAATAAATAATCTCAATAATTGAGTCTGAATTAGAAACCAGAGGAGACAGGTTAGAGTAACACGAGTTCAATAGCGACAAGTGCAAACATGAGTTGAACTTGAAAGCAATGTCCGGCCGATTTCACGCACATGCTTTAACGTCGAAAGAGAGTACTCACGAGAATGTAACTTGTCCCAGATCTTTAGTTCTTGGTGCGTAAGGTACACTCAGTCTCCACCTAACTGGTTCTTGATATTATATATCATTAGTTTCCTATTTACTTTGTTAATCTTTGATCAATCAAACCACACTGTGTTTTTTTTTTTTCCCAAACCACATCGTTGACTTTGATCTCTCACTTTTATCTTCTTGCTCTGTTTTTGTGACCTAATTTTACAAGAAACAAAGATGGGTGGATCTGAAGTTTCAAGAACAGAGGAGAAGAGCGGCATAGGTTTGGTTAAATTGTTCGACAACAATGTTGTGTTTTCAGGATTTTTGGTTTGGATCAATCAGACAATTCAAGAGCCACTCAAGGTCAGTCAAACTGATAATTTCCATTTCAAGAAGCTTATTCAAATATAGAAATTTAGTTAGATTATGATTCTTGTTATAGGCTGAGTTCAAGAGATTGAGGAGTGTTAAGGAGCTAAGCTTGATTAAGTCAGTGTCAGAGATAGAGACAAATTATGAGAAGCATAGAGATGAGGAGAAGTTAGAGAAGCAATTACAAGCTTGGAGAGATAATCCTTCATGGATCGATCAACCTCCTAAAGTGGTGGTAAGATTAGATCTCAAAACTAAGAGACTTGGTAGAATCTAGAAATTAGAGATGATTCTTTAAATTTGATGCTTGCAGGTGAAATCACAAAATGGCTTGTTTTGTCATTTGAACGTTGAAGTAGACGTAGGATTGCCTCCTGAATCAGTCTACAACATTTTCACTCATCCAGACAACAAAAGATACTTCAAAAACATCAAGGTGCTTTTGCAGGGTCTTGTTTTGTTTGATTTGAAATGAGTGTTTACAGCAAAGACTTGAGACAGAGATCTTAATGATCATAAACAGGAAAACATATCGAGAACAGTTTTGATCGACGAAGGGCTAAAGCAGATCGTTGAGGTGAAGCAAGCCGCGGCCTGGAAGTTCCTTTGGTGGGATGGAACTTTCCCTATTCATCTAATTGTCAAAGAAAACCGAGAAAACCTCACCGTAAGATATATTTTGCATCCCTCAAAAGAATCAATCTTTTCGTTCTGTCTTCACAAACTCAATTTGGGTATTTTCTATTGCTTATTGAGGCTAGTCAAATTATAAGCAAGAGAAAACAATGTTCATGAAAGTCTTCGAGGGCTGTTGGAAAGTTGAGCCATTGTTTATAGACGAGCACTTATGCGACCGCTCGAAGCCAAAAACTCTAGAAGATTACCACAATTGTAGCAACGGACGAGGAAGGATTGGGTCGAAAGTGACAATGGATCAGATGTTCCAACCTTCTGCTATTCTTACTCCACCACCGCTTTCTTGGTACATACGTGGGATCACTATTAAAACCACAGAGAGTATGATCGAAGATCTTCTCGCTGAAGCTACTAGACTCCGGGGAGGAGGAGGAGGAGGCCATATGGATGATCAAGGAGAACACAGTGCCGTAATGGAGAACACCAAAACTGTGGACATTAAAGAAAGATGGAGATCGCGTAGGAGGAACAAAGGGATGAGATCTACAAATGTTAGGACAATGTAATTATAAAGATTCTGAAACTGGAACTTCTTGATTGCTGTAGCCTGTAGAAATATGGAATGATTCACATCGAAACAAGGTCTTTACAAGTTTCCCAATTAAGTGCAAATCAAAAGGAATCCTCTGTTTATACCACTAACAGAAACTGTACTTTCCAATAGGGAAAAAAAATCCTTAAAAAATAAAAAACTCTCATATACTTCCTTATACATTTTGATTGAAGCTCTCATATATGCATCTTCTACTGATTTTTCTTCTTGTCATCTTCCACACGAGAGAAACTTCTCTGCAAGTAATAAGGGAGAAAAGAAAAGTCAATAGTATTCTAGAAAATAAAAGACATTTCTTAAATGAAAGCAAATGAATGGCCTCAAACATTGCATGAGTTGGATCAAACAATCAACACACACACGTATAAAGGCATATAAGCTGATGTGGAGTTTGACAAGAGAAAGGTCACTTTTCATAATATATATACTCCCAATAAAAGAAGAAGACTTAAGTTAAACAATCCTTGCTCCATAAGTAAGAAAGAATAAGAACTTTCACTTTACATTAATTTGATTGTTGAGAGAATAAAGAAGACTTTGCTTACCTCATGTGTGATGATCTTTTTTTCTCAATTCTTGACCTTGTTTCTGTCTCTCTCATTCTTAATGATCTCAGCCAAGAGATTGTCTCCAGCCACTTCTCTCATCTTCCTGACCAATTGGTGTCTCCTGATCCTCCGTGTCTGCAATAATAAACCCACATAGAGAATCTAAGTAATGAAATATCAAAAACCGTGGAACATAATATACAATAGAGAGAAATTGGATACCATACCCGAAAAGCATCGTAAGTTTGGATGATCAAGTTCATTCTTGAAGGTTCCATTGATTTGGACAGCAATGACATCAGGGCGGCAAAACTAACCCACGGTGAGCTTGGTTTTGCAGCCAAACCATCTCTACCTAATGAAACAACAAACAAAACTACTTCCTTTACCCACTATGAAAACCACATATACCCAATTCATAAAAAGAAGAGACTTTGAAGAAACAAAGGAAGTGTTTTAAAACAAACAACCTGGGAGACGAGGAGACTTAAAGCTAACGACGTAACTCGGTAGGATGTACGAGTTCATGTTACAGCTCCATATCACATACTTCCTAGGGTTCTGGAGATCATCAACACCAGAATCAAACTCAGCAGAGCTAGGATACGACTGTTTAGAGCCGGAGTTGATTAGCTCAGGCCTCCCCAAGATCAAACGGCATAAGAGAAGATGCCTTAAACCCTCTTCATCTGGCTCCGTAGCTGAAGCCCTGCAAAAAACAAAAACCTCTACATTTCTCAATTCAATCTACTTAAGACACAAAAGGATCAAAATCAAATATTCCCATGGATTAATCGTTTACACAGTTAATCAAACTCCAAAATCCACGGATCAAGTTCATGATTAAGCAAGAGAAGAAACAGAACTTACGCAAGAAGAGAGAACCTAGAAGGAACCAAATGGATTCCAATCCCATGAGAATCACCAGCAGCAGGAGCAGCACCATTCCCAACCTCGCGATTGGTAAACCCATAAGAGACGATCCTCTCAATCTCCTCTTTAGAAGCAGCGTACCAACCGTAATGCACATTCGCATCACCGCCGTTTTTACTCGCCACAGCGTCAGTGAAAACCTTGAAGGAAAAAAACTTGGCTTGCGTCGTGAGCGAGATCCCTTCCGAAGAGTTCTTACGAATCTTCGCGATCTTCGTGTCCCTAGAGAAACTACCCATCCCAGAGATCAAACACCTCTTGATTACATCGTAATCCTCGTTTCCTTCGCTGAGAAGAATCAGCGAGGATGATGAATCTTCACCGTCACAGAGTGGATCGAAGATTTCGCCATTATCAAGGTTGGTGAGGGAAGCTTGGTCCTCAATCTCGACCTGCGCCGCCATATCACCAACTCTCACACAAAAAAAATGAGAGAAGGGGAGAAGAAAGCAAAAATGATCGACGTGGTTCTCTCCGTATAAACGGTTTTATGGTAAGCGGTGCCGTTATTACCTTTTCTGCTTGCACGACAAGATTTTTTTTTTTTTTCTTACCTCAATCCTAATTTGTTAAATGACTATATTACCCCTATCACGTTACTTACCACAGTAAGGAATAAAATATTAGCATCTTTGTTTTTTTGGTTTCTTAATGCTGTCATTTTGTTCTTATCTGATTTTTTATTAGGATAAGTTTAGTGAATCCTAATTAATTCTGTGCTTATTAGAGCTTAAATTGACTAATGTAAAATACAATTTATGAAGACGGGGAAAAAGATTACTATTAAATACGTTTATGACAAGGAAAAATAAATATGATAGATGTAGCGATTGTAGTGTAGGTTAATAAATTTGGTTAATAGTGATAGGCTTTTCCATTTGAAGCAATGCCTTGTTCGGGTGGCCAAAGTTTTTGGTTTTTTTTTACTTGGTTGTTGTTATTTGATAGAACAAAATAAAATAAAATCTAAAATGATAATTATCGTATGCATTGGGCTTTACTATTGGGTCTGTAATTAAAGGCCCATTAAAGATTCACTTCGGATTCAACGAAGATATCGAGTCGGGTTCGAAAAGGTCCGATTAAACTTCAAATTTTTTTGGTTTTAATTTACGCGGTAACCCGAGAATCAAGGTGTGACATCCCAAAAGAAACAATACGATGTGACAAAAAAAAAAAGAAACACAGAGACGACGACGACGTGCCCTCGACTTATCATCATCATCACTAAAATACGATCATGGCGATTTGTTAATCCTTCTCTATTTTTTTTGTTTTTCCGGGAAAAGCAAGTGAGGGAGAGGGAGAGAGAGAGAGAACAAAGAAAAAAGAAAAGTAAACAAAAAAAAACAGAGTTTTCTCCCTCCATTAACGTATTAGCTCCTCTCTCTCCACTTTATTTTCAATTAAGTTCCTGCAAATTTTTATAAACCCTAGTTTTGATTCAATTGTTTCTGGGGATTCTTTTTTTAAATCAAAGTAGGGATTTTGAAGACTTGAGATTATTGGGTTCGTCGTGAATTGAGATTATTGGGTTCGTCGTGAATCTCATTCAAAAATCGAAACTTTTTGTTGTTTAATTGATCAATTTCGACTATTTGATTACAAATTTAGAAAGAAAGAAAAAAATGTCAGACTTTGGCGATTCGCCGATTTTATCGCCACCAGCACCGCCAGCTGATTCCGCTCCTCCACCGGAAACTTCAACCGGAAACGCTGCTCCTCCACCTGTTGATTCGACCCCTCCTAGCCCACCGGCTGATTCATCACCACCGCCGCCGTCAGAACCATCGCCTCCTCCTCCCGATTCAGTGTTTCCTCCTTTGCCTTCAATTTTTCCTCCGATAACAGCTTCTCCGCCTCCACCGTCTGATTCTTCTCCACCGGCTGATTCAACCCCTTCGCCGCCGCCACCTGCTTCAAACAAATCTCCTTCTCCTCCGGCAGATTCAGAAACACCACCGGCTCCACCAGCTGAATCAGATAACAACCCTCCTCCTTCGTCTCCAGACATTCAACCGCCACCTTCTCCATCATCTTCGCCCAATGTAGATCCTACAAACCCGGAATCACCACCTTTGCAAACTCCTCCGGCTCCACCATCATCAGATCCTACCAATACACCCCCAGCTCCACCATTTGACCCTACCAACCCTCCGCCAATTCAACCATCAGTACCAGCCAATTCTCCTCCGGCTAATCCCAACGCGCCGCCTAGCCCATTCCTCACAGCGCCACCCAAAACTGCTTCCGGTGGACCTGTGTCCTCTCCATCTCTCAATTCTCCCAGCAAAGGAACACCTTCCTCAAACCAAGGCAATGGAGACGGCGGCTATCAAGGGAAGACTATGGTCGGTATGGCTGTCGCCGGTGTCGCAATCATGGCGCTAATAGCCGTTGTGTTCTTAGTGAGAAGAAAGAAGAAGAGAAAGGCTGATAGCTATAATCACTCACAGTACTTGCCACACCCCAATTTCTCTGTTAAATCAGGTTCAAAATCTTTGCTTTATCTCTCTGATTCATCTCTGTTGCTTGGGTTTTAATCAGGATTTAGAAATGAACAGCATTGTTATATTTCCTTTGATGTTAGATGGATTCGTATATGGTCAAGACCCTGGTAAAGGATACTCTTCTGGTCCTGGTGGTTCAATGTACAACTCACAGCAACAACATTCTACTATGGGAAATAGCTTCGGCCCACCTGGTGGTTATCCTCCTCATCAAATGCAATCTAGTGGCACACATGACTCTGCAATCCTCGGAAGTGGCCAGACTCATTTCAGTTACGATGAGCTTGCATCAATAACTCAAGGCTTTTCTCGTCAGAATATTCTTGGAGAAGGAGGATTTGGATGCGTTTATAAAGGTACATTGCAGGATGGTAAAGTTGTAGCAGTTAAGCAGCTTAAAGCTGGAAGCGGACAAGGTGACCGTGAGTTTAAGGCAGAGGTTGAGATCATCAGCCGCGTTCACCATCGCCATTTGGTCTCTCTGGTTGGTTACTGCATTTCAGACCAGCATAGATTGCTTATTTATGAGTATGTCTCTAATCAAACGTTAGAGCATCATTTGCATGGTGAGTGGCTTTTACCATTTCCGCGATAGATAAAAACTGTATGTGTTAGACTAACTCACTTTACTCTTTAGGAAAGGGAATGCCGGTTTTAGAGTGGTCTAAGAGAGTCCGGATCGCTATAGGATCAGCCAAAGGGTTGGCATATCTGCACGAAGACTGTAAGTAATTTCCTCATCCATTTGTTAAGAAACTGTTAATGGTTCAGAGCAAACAGGATCACAGCCTTCAAATTGGTTTTGGTTGTGTGTTTTGGTGAAGCTTTTCATAGTTCATAATATTAGCCAGAGTCACATTCTTGTTTTGTCTTACAGGTCATCCAAAAATCATTCACAGGGACATTAAATCAGCAAACATTCTGCTGGATGATGAATATGAAGCTCAGGTATTAAAGAAATCCCCCTTAATTATCTAAATATGACTCTATAAAGTTGTAGCTGTTGAGACTTGTTCTTGGTCTTATGAATTTTTGTTTTCTGGTGTTTAGGTTGCTGATTTTGGACTTGCTAGACTCAATGATACAACACAAACTCATGTATCAACTCGCGTTATGGGGACCTTTGGGTAAGTATACATCACAAACTCTTCTCCAACTGGACCTTTATTGATTCCTGCTTGAAGACAAGGTTTCTTCTCTGTGCAATGAGAAAATGCTTTTGATAGTGCCTAGTAGTATCCCATTGGATCGAAGCTAACATTTTCGTGTTCAGGTACCTAGCGCCGGAATATGCTTCTAGTGGAAAATTGACTGATAGATCCGATGTTTTCTCGTTTGGGGTTGTTCTCTTAGAGCTTGTAACTGGACGGAAACCAGTTGACCAAAGTCAGCCTCTAGGAGAAGAGAGTTTGGTGGAATGGGTAAAGAACCAATCTTCAACATATATTCTTCAACTACAGTAAAGCATTGGCTCTAGTTTACTCATGCAGTACTTATTCATGAACTCACAGGCACGCCCACTGCTTCTCAAAGCCATTGAGACCGGAGATTTTAGCGAACTGATTGATACACGGCTCGAAAAACATTATGTGGAGCATGAAGTCTTCAGAATGATCGAGACAGCTGCTGCATGTGTTAGACATTCTGGTCCAAAACGTCCACGCATGGTTCAGGTAATTCTGACTAACCAAAAGTCCAAAGCTCCCATATACAGCAACAAGTAATTGCTCTATACAGTTCTTGATTCTAACCTCATCACATCTGGAAACATATCTACTCTTTAAAATAAGGTTGTGAGAGCATTGGACTGTGACGAAGACTCAGGAGATATTAGCAACGGAATAAAAGTTGGGCAAAGCACAGCTTATGACTCAGGGCAATACAATGAAGATATCCTGAAATTCAGAAAAATGGCATTTGGTTTTGACAAAGACACAGAGTCAGGATTGTACAGTGGAAACTACTCTGCCAAAAGCTCTTCTGATTTCTCAGGGAACGAATCTGAGACTCGACCTTTCAATAACCGACGGTTCTGATCAAACAATAGGTGAAAGTAACACATACATCTCCCTCCTCCTTGAGCTCTGTAAAGCCATTCTTTTCGTATATTGTGAGATGCTTTTCTTGGTAGGTGCCTTTAGATTTTGTTCTCTAATGGCTAAATTCCTCAGAAAAGGTAAATACATAGAAACCAGATAAGTTGTGAAAGAGTTAAATGTCTTGTTTTGCTTTTTCTCCGTTCTGTGTTCCTAATTTTTGTTCGAGTTAAAGAGGATAGTGAAGAACTCTGTATTCTGTATAAAAACGTTCTTCCATAAATCTGTTTACCATGATACTTACAAAATTTACTTAGAAAATGCTACATATATTGGATTTATTCAGTACCTTATATATGTCGAGAGTATCTCCTTACAATATACTAATCACACCACGGGATTATAAGAAGTTTGATAGCTTCAGCTCTAAGTTCCATACAGATAAGAAGGAGAACAAATCAAACCAGAAAAGCAAAAGCACAAAACAAATCAAAGTTAGGAAGCAATTAAGGCATTAACATAAAAGTAGTTTGTTCTCAGACAAACTAAGATCATTAGTGTCCTGGTCGGAACTCAAACTCAGGACCTCCACGTCTGATCTCGCCTTTAGATTGATGGTCTCCATTTTCCGGTAGCTTGAACCTCACTGCATGTTTGATACTCGGTGGAGGTGGGCCTCCTCCGCCTCCGCCTCCGCCTCTTTCTCCTCTCTTGTTATCAAATCCGAATTCTATATCATCTTCGTCTCTACCAGAAGGTTTCTCAATTGGCTCAGGCCGTTTCATATCTAACCCAAACTCCATATCGCCTCTCTCCCTCGGCTCACGCTCCACAGGGCGAATCTCACGGCTCTTCTTGGACGAAGTCTTCTCATTCTTTTGATGCTTGCTATGGTGCTGCTTAGCCGCACGGCTTTCACGGTTACATACCCTCCCAAAGACACAAGCCAGAGCCGACAAGACAAAGATCACAGCTAGGACTATGAAGACCGTCCCAAAGTTTCCGCTTGAACCGGAGGAAGAAGAATGTTTTGAAGAAGAAGATGGGTTTGGATACTGATTATTATATGCGTTAGGATACACAACAATAGGCTGTTGCATTTGTTGTACTCCTTGATCTCCCATTTTTCTTCTTCTAGGTTTTGGTTTTCTTTGTTTGGTTCTTAAAGATAAATCAAGAACTGTTATAAGAAGATATATGTTGGAGTTGTTAGATGTTGGGGAAGTCTTGTTTTTGGAGTTCCTTGAGTAAAGACCAAGGAGGGTTACTGAGAAGGTACTTGTGAAACAAGAAAGGTGAATATGCTTCATTCCATGTGAGATTAGGGGCAATGTATTAGTAGCATTTGTGGTTAGAAACGAACTTTAATATTTAATATGTATCATACAAAAGTGACAGGTAACGCAAAGAATAAGACTTATGCGTCTGAAACCAACATTTTGTATTGAAATCGAACATTCGTTGTTGTTTTTTCTTTCTTTTCTTTTTATAAAGATAGAACGCAAAAGAGATTCTTTGTGATGTGTAAGTGCATGGAGAGAGAGGTGCACTTTGGAACAAATCTGTTTTCTTTGTGAGGAGATAAAGTGTGATTTTGTACAATTTAATTTAATCTTTCCAACTAAAATTCAAAAAAAGAAGATTATGGAGTGGGCTTTACCAATCATTGGCTCTTTTATATTCCCATTTACTCACATATTTTTGCATAAGTCAGCTTTTAAGAGTTTACCAAACATATAGATTGCTTTAATTTTTTCTATGCATTTTTATTAGATTATATCAAAAAAAAAAAAGAATACTGTTGGTTTATAGTTATATAAATTTGTTAATCACAAGTAATAGAGTAATAGACACATTTGCTCGCATAAAGAGATTTATATTGTTCAAGTTTAAACAAGTGTAGGATTAGCGTAAAAAGCACATTTTTGTGTTATTTCATGCCTCTTTAAATAGTTGAATGTTACTTTCATACCTAATGCTAAGGTATGTAATTTCCATCATCTTCAAACAAACAACTCAATCTTGAATAGTAATCACTAACCCTAATGGGCTTGTAGGCATATATTAACAATTCCTCATGTAGTTCTTGCTTGTACGTCAAGAAAGAAGTCACAAGAATTGAGCTTCCTAGTTTCTCTTTTTCTCAGTAAGTAAACGTATCCTACAACTCCACCTTTCTCCTCTTCTTTCAATCTCTCTAAAACCTTACATTTTTCCGTTGACTTCTTTTCCTCATTACGTCAACCATCTCTTTGTTGCTCTATTGGGAAACTCTATATTAGTCGTCATTTCCTCTTTGTGGACTAAAGTTTTTAGAGAGGTGATGGGTAGATCTCCTGGATTTGGTGGCTGGATCAATCAGAACACTCAACAGCCTTCTAAGGTCAGTTTCATTTCCATGATAACTCAAATCACATAAACTTTTGTTGAATAGATAATGATTATGTTGGTTGTTGTAGGATGAGTGTAAGAGATCTGAAAATGTTAAATCTAAGTCAAGGCCAGAGATAAATACTCAAGAGGAAAGAGATGAAATGAAGGAGCAATTAAAACTTTGGAGACATGCAGAGAAGAAAGAGCAATGGGAAGATTTCCCTCCTAAGGTAAAGGTAAGATCAAAGAAGCTAACAAAAATCTCAATACTGTAATCTTTTGCCATTAGATTGAGATTTGAGAGTTAGGATATATATAGTAGTCTTAAGAAAGAAAGATCCTAAAAATTTTCTATGTTTGAAGGTGGAAACAGAAGATGGCATTTGCCATGTGGACATAGTGTTTGTATTAGGATTGCCTCCTCAAGCAGCTTACGACGTTTTAACTAATCCAGACAACCAACCATACTCTAGAATAATCAATCGGCGTCACGAACTTTTGGTTTTTCTTTGATTTTTCTTATCATTAATGTATGATTCAAAAAGAGTATTAGCTGGTTATATAACAATCTTTGAGAATTGTGATATTTATTTTCTTACCAAGGAAAACGTGTCAAGAAAAGTGGTGTCCGATGATGGATCAAGGAAGACAGTGGAGGCGGAGAAAGCTGTGGCTTGGAAGTTTCGCTCGTGGTCTGGAACTATCCCTATAACTCTAGATTTCGTCGAAAACCGTAAAAATCTTTCTGTGAGAAACCTCTTTCTATCTCTAATGAGAATCAATCTTTTTGTTATATTTATCTTGGAAAAACTAATCTCTTGCTCATTGTAAGTAGGCAGTGTATGTGAAAAACAAAATGATGTTCATGAAAACTTTTGAGGGTAGTTGGAAAGTGGAACCAATATACGTGGTTTCAGAACGCTTGTGCAAGAACGTGAAGCCAAGGAGTCGAGAAGAATACAAGAAATGTAGCGGTGGACAAGGAAAGATTGCGTCCAAGGTGACAATGAACCAGACCTTTCAACCCTCTTCTCTTTTGAATCTGCCACCACTTTCTTGGTACATCCGTAAGATCACTGTCAAGATCACCAAGACTCTCGTAGAAGATCTTCAAGATATGGGCGCCAAGATTCGTGGTGTTTGAAAATGCCCTCAAATTTTAGTTGCTACCGTTTTGGTATAAACATTTAATAGTGTTCTTGAATCACTTTATTATATCATCCGAATAGAAGAATACTAATATTTAAAGTCACTTTGTTCATCACAATACTAGTATGCTTTACTGAATACAAAAGTTTGAGTATCATGTTATTATTTACAAATAATTTTGAACAAAAAAATTGTGTTATAATGTAGCATCAGTTGAATGAGAATTTGGGAAATAAAATTCCAAAACTATAGTACTTTCGCCAAAAAATCTATAGTGTTGTTTAAAACTATAACTTATTCTAAAACAATGCAAATGAAAAACACTAAAAAGCTATCGAACAAGTAATAATCCTGGTTTAAGTCCACGATGATCGGATTTCTCATAACTAAGGCCTAGCAGAAACATTCCACATGCAGCTCTCTAGCTTGTACCACAAGATACAAGTCACGAGAATTGAGCTGCCTAGTTAATTTCTCTTTTTCGTGGTAACGTATCGTACACTCCACCTTTGCTCTTCTTTCAGTTTCATGTTATATTTCGTCTACATCTGAAATCCATCTTTGTCCCTGAAACCTTATATTTTGACTTCTTTCCTCTGTAAGTCAACTCTGTCTCTGTCTCTCTATCATCTATCTCTCGGACACCGTCTTTGGATCATCATTTTACTCTTTGTGGACTTAATTTTGAAGAGAAGAAATGGGTATATTTCCTGAGTTTGGTGGCTGGATCGATCAGAACACTCAGCAAGAGCCTCTTAAGGTTAATTTCATTTTCCATATATTAGAGAACCCGAGAACTCAAATCAAAGAAACTATCATTGTATTATGGGATAGATAGATTAAGTATGATTTATGTTTGTTGTTGTAGGCTGACTCCAAGAGGTCTGAGAATGTGAAATCAGAGTCAGGGTCGTCAGATATAAATACTTGCGAGGAGAGAGATGAGATGAAGGAGCAGTTAACACTTTGGAGAGAATCCGAGAAGAAGAAACAATGGTACGATCCTCCTCCTAAGGTGAAGGTACAAAGATCAAATCCGCTAACAAAATTCTCAATTACTTCAAAATTTTTATGGCCTTTTTAAGGATAAAGATCTCAAAATCTATAACATTTTCTTTTTATAATTGGAGGTGGAAAGAAGAAATGATCTAGTTAAGGGTATGACAACTATAGATATGGAGTTTACATTAGGATTACCTCCTCAAGCAGCCTACGACGTTTTAACTAATCCAGACAACCAACAATACTCCAGAATAATAAAAGGACATTACCTTCTGGTTTCTTCTTATAACTTATCATTTTACGATTCAACAACTAAAAGAGTACAATAACAATATTTCAGTGTGTGAATGTTTTCAATCTTTATGTAGGAAAACATATCAAGAAAAGTTGTGTCGCCCGATACTGGAAAAGGAAAGATGGTGCAAACGAAGAAAGCTATTGGATGGAACTTTCTTTATTGGTCTGGAGCTATCCCTATAACCGCAAGTTTCCTCGAACAACGAAAACTCCTCACTGTACAAAAACATCCCTCACGCTGCTGAATCCATCCTCTTTTGTTTTTGTCAGTCTTGGAAAGTTTTATATAGGTTTGTGTTGCTATATATGGTTGGCAGGTAGACTATTCGATAGAGAATGAGATGTTCATAAATATGCTTGAGGGTCAGTATAAGTTGGAGCCTTTATTTGTAGATTCAGAACGCTTTTGCAAACACATGAAGCCGAAGTGTAGAGAAGAATACGAGAAATGTAGTTGCGGACAAGGAAGGATCGCGACGAAAGTGAAAGTAGAGCAGGTGTTTAAGCCTACTTTTCTTTTTAATCTGCCACCGCTTTCTTGGTTAGTTCGTCGTATCACCATCAAGGTAATGAAAACCATCATCCAAGATCTTCAAATTAATGGAGCCGTGATCCGAGGTGTTTGATCAATTGATAAAACATCAAGAAGAATCAAACTATACAAATCCTAGCAAAATTATCATAAACAAAGCATCGAATGTAAATCTGTAACTTGATTCATACAAATCCTAAAGCCAGCTCTTATCAAGTAGTAGATTAAATCTTCGATTATAGTTAATTTTAGCAAAACTATATAGAAATGTATTTTTCCTAAGACCACCATTAATGGTGATATCTTAGAATCAAAATTTACTCTATAGAGTATCTTATATAAGTTCTACATACAAAAGACCCCTCCTTACACAATCAGAACAACAAATCACAAAAGCAGCAGAAACAACAAAAGCAGATACCATAAAAAAAAAAATGTCACATACCGAAATTACCCTTATCAGAATGCTTACGCGGTTTACATGCGTGACGGGTCATTGGTCGTAGGTGGCAGCTAACAAATCAAAAACCGCCACGTCATTTAAAACATCTTCAAATCATTTGGCGTTTGAGTTGTATATTTGTATATATGATACAATTCGCAAACAAAAACACAAATCATAATTTAAAAAAAAAATGTTACGTATGATTAATGAGAAGTTCATAATAATAAGTTACATTGAACAGATACAAGGGTTTAACTTGGTTTAACCAAGATCCAGTCACCTAATAATGTGGTCTAATCAAATAGCCAAAATAAAACACATTTGCTATCTCAAAATACAAAAGTCTAGTTTTTCTAAACGGTTGGAACAAATGTGCCAATATAACCAACACCAGCAACAAAGAATGCACAAGACTGTAGAAACAGATAAACATAGAAGTATGATCCTCCATATGCGAAATCGTAGCATCCGCATAAGAATATGTATAGCCCAACAACGAGTTCTCTCCAGTTGAGTCTGCCAAAAAAAATCGTTAAATTAGATTTAGTTACGACGACGTTTTAGAATGCTTTAAGGATCAAGTAATTGTAAGTGTGTGTAGTAAGTATGTACCTTTGTCCAAATCTTGTATAAAGCTTAGTTGTGGCTTTGGCTATTAACTTAGACTTGAGAGTGTCACCTAGTTTTTCAGTAACTACCCATTCGTTAACCCGTCCTGCCTCGAGTAATCCGATGAAAGTCGCCTTTGTTCGATGCATTGACATTACGTTCTCGAATAAGATCCAGAAGACAAGAAGATGGAATGATCTACACTTGACAATATTGTCAAACTTTTTGTCATACTAAGAAATGAGAGAACAGAGTTTTTATGAAAGTAGAGAGACAATGTTAATTACCGAGGTGTGGCGATTGCGTTGAGGATAGTGATTGTAGTAGGGAAATAAACAGTTGCCCATTTAGGAACTTGGAGCTCAGGGAATAGCACAGTTGTTGGTAGGATCAGACAGTAGAAGACAAATGTGAAGATGTGTACAACAATCTTTCTTATGAAGAAGAAGTTGTATATGAGATATAACTTCTTCCACGCTGACACTTTCTTGTTCTGTAAGATTTCCATTGTCATCTTCCTCCACAGGTTAGCTGGTCCACAAGACCATCTATGTTGCTGAAACCTGTATGCTTTGAATGTACTTGGCAATTCATTTTTCACCTGATTTTTTTAGAAAGGAGTGTCTTGAATGTAACCTTTAAAGTTCTTAGTTATATAGTGATTGAGTTTAAAACGGTTTATAGTAAGTAGTACCTCGACATCATGGACATATACAAATTTCCAACCATGAAGACAAGCTCTTACAGCCAAATCCATGTCTTCGACTGTTGTTCGATCTTTCCATCCTCCAGCTTCGTTTAAAGCTGCGATTCTCCAAACACCCGCGGTTCCATTGAATCCAAAGAAAGCATGGATTGAAGAACCAGATTCTTGCTCAGCCACAAAATGGTAGTTTAGTGACATCTCCTGCATTCTTGTCATTAAGCACTCGTTTGCATTCACTACATGTAACACATCCCCTACATTAGAGTCACAATACTGACTTAACATAATAACCATTACTTTTCCAAAAAGATTGATGAGTCTTACCAAACTTCCAACGGCATTGGACAAGTGAGATCTCGTGGTTGTGAATAAGAAAAGGAATGGTTCGTTCTAGAAAGTCAGGATCAGGCTGGAAATCAGCATCGAAAATGGCGACAAACTCGCATTGTTTCACATAGTTGTGCATCATTCCTGCCTTCAATGCTCCAGCTTTGTATCCTATTCTGTTGTCTCTAATCTCTGACATTATGTTTATACCTTTCCTCGCCCATTTATCGCACTCCGCATTCACCAGTTCCTGTCTTTTCCAAAACCATTTCATATGTCAACACTCTGCATTAAGTCAGAGGAATCAATCATATTTTGAAAAAAAGAAAAACAAAAAAATTGAACAAAGGACCTTACTAGCTGGATCTGTGGAATCATCAAGAACTTGAACTATCATTCGATCCAACGGCCAAGATAGCCTACAGGCTGCTCCTATAGATAACTGACAAACCTGTGACAAAACAAGAATATGATTAGAAGAAAGAGTATAATTTAGTTGGCTACAATATAAATTAATAGTAGTTACCTCTTTCTCATTGTACATTGGGATCTGAATCAGAACCATTGGGTAGTTTGTATTGGCCAGCTCAAGATCATCATCCTTGATAGCTTCCCATTTGTGTACTTTCTCAGGTGTTCTTCTCAGTAGTTTCACAAACACTACAACTATGCTCATATAAACTCTTTCTATGAACAACAAAAAGGACATCACCAAACATATCGTCACTAAGCATTTCAAGATTGGTATGAACACAAAGATTCTTGTCTGCTTCCAAATGTATATAACATCTCCAATTATGCCACTTGTAACAACCCCATCTGTATCTAATGATCCTGCTAAGTCGTGTCTTTGAACCTTCAAACCCACAAAACAAGATTACATATAATGTGAAATCAAGAATCAAAAAGTAAGTGAAAGAGAGAGAGAAGAGATGATGAATTTACCAGAAACCAAGAGGAAGGTGAAAGAGAATCATAGAGAAAGAGAAAGAATTTCATAAATGGTGACATGTTTTTCTTCAACAGGACTTGAAGAAACTCTCCAGAAGCTCAAAACTTAAACATGGAGCTAAGCTAGGAAAGATGTTTTTTATTTTTTTGTCTTTCCCTCCTAGCGAGCAGAGAGATCTTGGGTTTGTGTCCTGAGTTTGAAGATTCAGAACAATGTCAGGACCAGATCTTGTTTTTATTCCTCATTTAAATAATAGTAACAAGCATCGCATACACATTCTCTTCATCTCCTATTATTGTAAATCTAAACAACTTTTGAGAGAAAAGGAAAATGATTAGTCTTTGTATTATTATAAGTTTTATAACAATGAGCTATATGATTTTGAGTTGAGGGATGCATCTTTAGTCTATTAACATCCCCACTTGTTCAATCTCCTCTCTGGTAGATAAAGTCGAAGTAAATGTTACAGTTGTACTCGTTATATTTTTTTCTATTCTTTGTAAAAGGGGTGTTTGACTTTTTTGGTCCTATTTTTTTTTCTAAGTATTGAACATTCCTCCTCCTTTGCTAATGACTTTTTATTTTCTCAAGACTGTTAAAAAAAAAATCTTTTTTTTTGTCTTTTTTTTGTCAGATTGAAAATATTTGCAGTCAAAGCTTCTTTATACTTTTATTACTCGAAGAACATATGTCACAAAAAATATACTGTCACAAAAAATATACTGTCACAACTCACAAGAAGATATGTCACAAGTAATATATATCAAAAAGAGTAATACTAAAGTCATAAACCTTTAGAGACTTATCAGAGAACTTGAAAGCAAATACAAATATGAGTACAACTAAATCAGATTTTGTAAAAATGGAGAGTTTTGTGATGTTACCTCAGAAGCTTTCTCTCTGCCCCAACTTGAGTTTTGCCACACAAAATAAACTTAGTGCTTCTTCACAACTTTGCACTCACTCTCTTTTTTTTTTTTTTTGCTACAATAATTTTGCAATAAGATGGAACATTATTTGGTTTAAATGGTAAACAAAATCATTATTCTCGCACGTCTTAAGATTCCCCGGGGAGATGGCCATTGTACCATAATTAGTTTTTGGTTATTTCTTTCGTTTTAAGGAAATCATTTCTTTATATGCATTCTTCTGTATATGGACAAACCAATATTACCCTATACGACTTCTATACCATATGAAAATGAAACAAAGCAAATTGTTTTTTTTTTTTTTGGTTAAAGAAACAAAACAAATTGTTGAAAAAAGAAATATATATATTTTCATATACATTATCTTATAGATTGGTCGTTTGATTATATACACATTACAAGCAAATTGCAAAGCCAAGACTAGATCGTTTAGGTGATTTAGTTGTTGAGTTGTTTCATTGAAAGAGTAAAATAAAAATGGGTTTGGTATTGGTCATTGATGTTTACAGCTACACATACAAAATTGTGAAAATATATAAAGAGATGAGTGTGGCACGTGCCAAACATATCAAACCATTCAATCTATCAATCAAACAACTCAATCAAAGCAATTGCGACCTTTGGAGTCTCCATGTGCCTCTCTAATCCTAATTCCTAAAGTCAAATTTTTTTGTTTTCCTTTTTTTCTATTTTCATATGTGGGAGTACTACTAGCACAAATACAAAATTTAAAATTCATTCACAAAAAAAAATTGCTGTATATGAAATTTTTATATAAGAAAGATGTGATACAAAAGGTGGAGAAATGCTGTTAAGTGAACAACCTTATGGTTGATTATAAAAGTGAAAAAATAAAATTCTTGTTTACTATATCATATGCTTCAGAAAACTATTTTACAATATCATCCATCCCTCACTACAACACTTTAGAGCATCAGAGCTCGTCGTGGCCAGTCTCTGACTTGTAACTTTGGTACATGCCCTTGTCGTCGTGCGAGTAGAGACAATCCGCAGACGGATGGATCACTCCATACCCAAAACCTTCCGCTGAGTTACAGTAGGCTTCAACTTGACCGTCTTTGCCTTCAAGATTCACATTGTTGAGGACAATGTGGCTGCAAGGGACTGTGTCGCTGCACGCAAATTTGATGGCTTTTGCACTTTTGGTTGTCCCGGTTACGTTCTTGTACATTATCTGGCTGATTTTAACCGCTGAGGTCTGCATTTATACCAAACAAAAAGAAAGAAAGAAAAAAAAACAGTTTTCATCTTTGAGTGTTGTTTTGAATCTTTTGATAGAATAATCACAGTCATGAGGTTGTATTGATATTGTAAGGTAACCTGATTTTGACATGTAGTTGGAGAATCACAGTAGAACTGATCAATGAGTATCGGATTTGCGACATCTTGCATCTCTACGTTTGAGAATCGAATACCCTGAACGTAACCAGAACCTCCCTGTTTTTCGAAAGAGAAACAATGAACTAAAATTGCTGTGGATCTCGCCAAATGAAAGGTTATTAGATTGAAGCCTTTTTTTGTTTACCTGATATGTTTTGATTCTGAGTCCATTAGTCGTCCCTCTCAATAAGGCAGTGTCCAACACTACTTGTGTTACAATGCCTGTTGTGTTATCCTTCCCAAGACTTCCAATGCTGCAAGAAATTCCAAATCAATATGTTTGATTTGTAACAGACATTATATAAAAGCTTGCTGATGTACCTGATTCCATGTCCAGGTCCGCAATAGATGTTCTTCATCTTTATATTCGAGCTCGCATTCACAATGGAGACACAATCATCCCCTGTGCCGATTTTACAGTCTTGAAGGATAACATTGGTAGATCCAGTGATATGGATTCCATCAGTGTTGGGACTATCTCCTGGAGAAGAGACCATAACTTTGGAGACACGAACTGAATTTGACCTAGCAATGATGAAGTTCATCTGCTGGCTGTTCTGGATCGTCAACCCACTCACTTTCACACCTGAACTAGATTCTATAGTTAGTGCCTGCAGGGAGAAAACGAAAACAGATTGGTGAACCAAACAAGCCATTTGTCAGGAGAAACTGGTAAATGATGATGGCAGTGTTTCTTACCGTTGGTGCACTTTTGCAAGGCTGTAAGAGAGCAAGTAAGATGTGTAAGATTATATTCGAAACCTCAACATTTAGTTTTTGAGTTATAGAAATCTAAATTTGGGTATAGAAGATTTTACGTTAGACTTGTTTTTCTTGCAAGAAGCAGCCCACCATTTGCTGCCAGAACCATCTATAACTCCTTTCCCTTGGAACACGACCCCTTTGAGTTTCGAAAACTCGAGCCAAATTCTTTGGAACTTTGAGTCCCAATTGCTTGGCTCATCTGGTGCCACTATTGTTCCGTCAATCTGTAGACAAAGACAAGTTTCTGAATTGTATAAGACATACTTGTATATATATATTAACGGTCTAGTTTCTGTTTTCCTACAGAAGACAACAAAAATTCAAGACTCAAAACGTCAAACTGACCTGAATGATCAACTTTTGTTGACATGGACCATTGAACTTTGTTGCATTTACTAAATACCGCCGTCCTTCTGGAACCAGGAAAACAGATTTTGGTGTATCACAGGCCTTGCTCCAAGCGCTAACGAATGCCTGAGTTGAGAAGAGCTCTGACAGATCAGTGACGCAAAAATATTGAATTAAACCACGCAAAATCAATAGGTCAAGTCTACAATACACAAAATTTTGTTTATAAATTTTCTCCATGATTTCAAGTTTGGGGATAGATTTTATTCCAGACATACCACTCAACTAATGGCGTTTTAGGTATCTACAAAACCTGTCACTTCCATGGAATAAGCAAATGATCGCAAATGTACCTGAGTATCATCAGAAACTCCATCTCCAGCTGCACCAAATGTATCCACATTCACCAGATTCTTACCAGAATTCCGGCTTGTAAATGACGGCAAATCAAAGAGTTTTGTATCATCATCATCATCTAGCATTACATCAAAGTTCTCCAGCTCCTCAAGGATGTCGAGATCGGTGTACACCATTTTCCCTGCAGCTCCATAAGCAGAGGCCAATAACAGACCTAGAAGGGAAAGAATAAAAAGCTTATCCATCATATGCTTCAATCAAAATCCCAAGAGAAGATTCCTGTTTGATTTTTAAATCCAGTGCCCACTAATGAGATTTCTTTGCTAGAGATGATTGGTTTTGGGTTGAATTTATATGCAGAGTAATTAATTGGGTTTGTGGGGTTTATTGGCTTGGCTTAAAAGTACATGAAGATAAGGCCTTGTTTTTCTATATATCTATGCTTAAAGCACAAGTCATGTGCTTTTTCACTTCTTTGCTTTACTCCAAAACCTCCACACAAAACCTTTGTGGTCAACTTGTTCGTGATAAAAATATTGTCCCATGATGTCTGAAATAAAAACAAAACGAGAAAGAAGGCCCTGAAGTTCTCGTAACTTTTTTACCTCAAGATGCTATTTTTAGAATTTTATACATGATTTGGTAATGAAGAACGAAGAACAGACAAACTATACTATATCAAAAGACAAAAATAGAAGAGGTCAATGAGTTGGTTGCACCAACCTGGCAATTAAAGAATCTTAGCCTCCTGTGTTGTCTCTGTAGAGTGTCAATCATGTGTTAAGGCTTCAAGCAAAAGAACCCATTTCCAGATATGTAGAAAAAAAGTGTGAACCTTTTGCAACTAGTTCGTTCTTCTTTTTCATGAAGCTCAAGCAAAAAACACCCTCTTGCAATTTTAGGTATTCAGTTTTTTACAATTACTGAACTGTAACCGATCTCCCTCATGAGCTCTCGTGAAGCAGCGATCTCTCTGATTTGTCTGGAGAATTCAAAGTCACCGATCTCAAAGTAAAATTTTGAAACTTGAATGTAAACAGTGAAATCCTCGGGTTCAAGATCCATCAAGACTTCCGCTGCTCTTCTTCCTATTGATTTGTTTTTATGAATCCTGCAGCTCTGCAGTAATGAGCTCCATGCGATGCAGTCTGCATCTCCATGTGCCTGAAGAAGCAGCCTTTCGGCTTTTTCCACCAAACCAGCACGCCCAAGCAAATCCACCATGCACGCATAGAGTTTCCTTCCTGGAGAAATTCCGTACCTTGATTCCATTGAGTCGAAAATCAGCTCCCCTTCTTCGACAAGCCCAGAATGACTGCAACCTGATAGTACAGACAAGATTGTAACTTCGTCTGGCATGAGATTCTTTTGATCCATTTCTCTCAGCATCTCAAGACACTCTCTTCCCATACCATTTCTAGCATACCCATTGATGATCGAAGTCCAGCAGAAGATGTTAGGTGACTCAAGCTCAATAAACACCTTCCGAGATACTTCATTCTGACCGCTCTTTGAATACGCATCAATTAGAGAGCACGAGACTGCAACATCAGAAGCATAACCAGATTTCATAGACCAGCAATGTATAAGCGCGCAGCTATGTAAATTTGCTGGAACAGAGAGTGAGAAAGCCTTGAGAACAGTAGAAAGAGTGACTTCGTCAATTCCAGTTCCTTCACTGATCATCGAACCAAACATCTCGATGATATCTTTAGTAATGCCACAGTGCATCAGAGAAGTCATCAACGAGTTACAACACTCAAGGCTCAAGCCAGGCAAACTCTGGTAAACCAACAGAGAACTGTCAATGTCATTGCACTTTCCATACATGTCAATTAGGGCAGACTGCACATGAAGACTTGAAACGTCAAAACCCATTTTGAGGACATAGCAATGGATCTGCTTACCGGACTGAATATCGCTGTTTCTACTGCAGAAATTTAGAAAAGACATGAATGACCGTATCGAAGGTCTCTTCCCCCAAAACTGCATCTTGCTAAACAAATCAACAGAATCAAGCACAGACCCATAATCTGCACATACAGAAACAATCGAGTTCCACGATATCACATCCTTTTCTGGGACAGCATTGAATGCTCTCATAGAATCAAATAAATCACCACAAGCAGAGTAGAAGTCCACAAGCGCATTAGCTACAAATATATTAGACATGTCCCATCCAGATTTAATCACTTGGGAATGCAATTGCTTCCCTTCATAATACAACTGATCATTAGAGCAACCACGGATCATATAACAATAAGTTAACCCATTTTCAGTAACACCTTCAAGTTCCATCCTATGAAACACACCAAACAACCGCTTGGAATCTCCAGCCTCGCAAAAACATCTCAACAGCAAATTACAAACTGGTAAATTTCTCTCAGGCATTTCATCAAACAACTTCAAAGTAACATCTACAAGCTGCAAACAGGCATAAAGACCCACAAGTGCAGATCTAACAAACAAATTACATTCAAACCCGAGTGAAACCACCCTACAATGAACTTGAATCCCTTCTCTACAGAACAATCCATCACTACATACACTCAGAACCGAAGGAAACGTGGAAGCACTCTCTCTAAGACCACAAGTAACCATCTTTGCATAGAGTTCAAAAGCTCTTAAAGAACACCCATTCCGACTATAGCCAGAAATAAGAAGATTATAAGTAACAACATCTCGTACAGACATTCCATCGAACACTTCCTGTGCAGTGATCAAGTTCCCGGATTTAATCAATTCATCAATTTTACGGTTATGGGTATAGACGATGCCGCTAGGGTTTTCTTGAAGAAACGAACTAAACTCCAAACGAGGCATCACAACAAGCGGTGCAGGATGACACAAATGCTGAGCTAAGCTCGTTGTTGCTCTTTGGAGAAAGTATAAAGCTTGAGCACCTCGCATGTCTCCGACACTTTGAAATTTGAATGAAGATTAAAATACACAAGTATAAAGAATGTAATCTCTCTCCAAACTGTAGTTAGCATTTGAATCAAGCTTAGGAAAAACAATAAATTGAATGCGTTCTTTCTCCTTGCACAGCAAGTATCATTGTCCTCACGAGAAACCGGCTTATATACAAGCCTGAGCACTCGAACCGAACTGATTTGGCCGGTTTAATAAAATTATCGAAATTTACGGGATTACCAAAATAAACCAAATGTAGCAAATTTAACCAAACAGAATCCAAGCTTTTTCACATTTTTCTTCAATAAAGAGATCCTTTTTTTATTACACAGAAAGATCACAAAGGCTCTTTGAGAGCCAAAAGCAATCTGTCTTTTTTAGTATCCTCAAACAATCCAACAAAAGAACACGAAGAGCTTCGTAGAGAGACGCAAATGGATCATATACATAAGATACTTACAATATTTGGCTTTTTAGTGGATTATAAACACTAGCAGGTAGCTGCAATTGCCTCCAAGAGAGAAGCCACAAACTGCATTTGAGTATCTTCATCGATTTTGGAGAAGAGAGGAACGTGAACGAACAGAGACTTGTGTCCCTTTTGCTCTGCGAACCTCAGAGAGTGGTAGTACACGTAGTTGCAAACGAAACGTCCAGCGTCGTCTGATTGGACAACTTCAAAGCCTTTCTTCTTTAATAACTCGAAAATGGACTCCGTCGAGCATGAACTCTTCAAGATACCCCAAAACACATTCAAATACTCAAATCCAATTAAAATGTCTAGAAAACCATGATTTTTGCGGTGAAGAATATACATCCACACGTACCTCTTTCGCCTTTGAAATGCTTCCATCCTCAACAACTATAGGAAGCCGCTGTGTAAAGAAATGTTAAAAAGAGAGGTGTAATAAGTGTCTTTCTTGGATGACATAGTGGATCCTATTGAAGTGAATTCATACGCATATGTTGTCGGTTTTTACCTGTGGTTGCCATCCCAATTCATCAGGACAACGGAAATGAGCTTCGTTCACTGCTTGTCTTTCAATTGCAAATTTTGTTGCTCCGCTATTCACCCCTAGATGAAGCTATAAAGAAGCACCACAGATTCATGAGCAAAGACAGTGTTTTTAGATCTTTTAACCATCAGAAGACATTCTCAAATCACAAGAAGAAAAACTAAACTAACAAATTTAGTTAGAAGTTAGAAGTTCTTACAAACTTAAACTTTCTAAGACCTTAACTAACAAATTTTACCCAAAACAAATTTCAAATCAAGAACCATGAATATAAAAAATCCTTAGTCTTATGTTCTCTCTTGAGTATATAAACACAACTCCAATACAAACACGAAGGCCGACTCATCACTGAAGATGGAAAGGAAACACAGCTGAATCACACACCATTAACGGTCTAAGTCTATAATTTGTCTCAAATAGTCCATAATCAAGTGCATAAAATCAATTTCATACAACTTTTCAGGTCCACAAGCTGAGATTTCTGAGAGAGCTAACAGAGGGTCACCATTCAATCATATATTGCAGCCATCTCAAGTGAAGCTAAAACACAATTCAAAAACCAAAAACAGAGGAAAGCTCCCAAAGAGATAACTCTCTTTCCAATGGTGATGATGACCACCAACGAGAGCTTTAACCCTATACATATATGACAATATAATTCCCAGGAAAAGAACACAAAAGCACAAGATCCTATTGTTGGACTTAGATTTAAGCTATCAGTCTAAGTCTAAAAAACAGAATACAAAATTGATTACCACAGGATCATCAGTCATATAGAGAAAATAAATTAGACTGAGACACTAGAGTAAATAATGATGACATCAAGAAACAGATGAAAATGATAACATTAAGAAACGAGTATAAGCCTTACCCAGACAACAGTTCCATTGCTGTTCTGATCACCAGAGACAACACTAGACTCCAAAACCTCATAAAGCTTAGATTTTGCACCTTCCCCTGCAGTGTCAAGAACACTGCAGCTACCAAGACTCAACCCAGAAGGCAAACCTCGTTTCTCAACATAAGATATCAGATTAGTAGCTATCTTCTCAGTAGGATTATCAGAAACCCCAAGAAATTTCTTGAACCCAGTCACATGAATCGTAATTGCTTTTGGACCTTCAGAACCCATCTCCACCTTCATAGTACAATAACATATACAAAATCAATAATCCCAAATCAAAAACCAAATCAATTTATCAGTTGTTAACGAAACTTAATCGATTTGATCATGAATACACATAAAAGGATAAGAGTTTGGCACAGCTCGTGAATTAAAAATTAAAGATCAGATCTTTTTTTGTTTTGTTTCTTACCTGAATTTTTCTACAAATTGCGATTGAAGATAATCAAAAATAAAAAACTCGAGCTTTTTGTGTTTTGACTTTTTTGGATTGAGGAAACAAAATTGGGTTTTGGTTTCTTTGTTGTGGAGAAGAAAATAATAGAGAGAGTTTTCGCGGTGGAGTAGGTTATAAACACACCACTGGTTTCGAATTTATTTACGAAAAAATGCCACTATAGGTGTTGTGCCGGAGAAATGAAACGTCTCCGACACCGTCTGAGGTTAATTGATGACAGTGAAGGATGATAACGTGGCGTTTCTTTATTGGACGATATGTTTTTTTTTGGAAAAAGAGGGAATAAGTTTGTTGAGAGACGCGCGGTGCCAACGAAACACAGTTTGCTTTTACGATATTGCCCCTGTCATCAGATTGGGAAAACGTGCAAAAATTACTTACTAACTCCATTTGTTAAAAATAATAAAAATAATTAATTTCATTTATTGAAATATTATAAAAGGAAAGTAGTTGTGACGTCAAAAGTAAACAAATATACTGTAGTATTTATATATAAAAAAAAACTAAACCTTATTTTATTAGAAATTAACTTTAAAAAAAAAATAGAGATTTCATTTTGATGTTGAATACTGATGAAGAAAAAAAAGTAATCACTATTAAAAATATTTCAAAAATCTAAAGAAATATCATTTTAATTAGCTGAAATAATTCATCAAAGGGATGTTAAATATTGAAAACAAAAACTATTAACACAAGTACTCACTATCATTTTTTTTTTTGACATTATACTCACTAATTCACTATCATCTTTATATGGGTAAAATGGTTTCACAGTAAGTAGTAAATTAAACGTGTATAATATATTTAGTCATATACAGAAAAATTTCCATCAAGTGTTAGAGATTAAGATACCAATATGTTCTGAAATGCAATAATCAATCTTCTTCTAGTTATTTTATTATTATACTATTCACAAATCCCAATTGGGGACTGACTATACGTAAACGAGTTTTGGTATGTGATATGATTCGGTTCAGGTTTAAGTTTAACTATGGTTTTTGAAATATACATATGTACTTGCAAAAAGGACATGTTTAGTTTAGTTGGTCCAACTACTCTAATAAGTTTGTCGTATCGTATACAAAGATTACAAGGTGATTTTTTATATTTCATGTTCAACTACATACACATAACATTAAGCAAAGTCAACAAGTAAAAAAGATTCGTACTAAAGTGTGTCATGGAATGTCAAAACAATATTCATGGAACAAGCTAGTAGTCATGAATGCAAAAGTAGGATTTGGTAAATAGCGTCAAAGTCTTTTCAAATCACTGAACAAACTCGCTCATTCCCAAGACTCTTCTCGAAACAGCACACACAAATTCCTACGTACGATTTCAGAGATTCTTCTTAGTTTCTCACTACCTCTCTCTCCAAACAAAGAACAGAAACCCTAAAGCAAACATACTCGAAACCCTAAAAGAAAATGGTCACCGTCACATTTTCATACGCCATTATTATTATTTTGTTAAAAGTTCATCATAGGCCAAGTTGTTACTCAAATGGAGATTTTCCCCAAATGGAATGCCTCTGAGCCTTTCTCTCTCGGAACCCATTATTGCTTTCTTCATGGTCCTGCATCCCAAACATTTCAAACAATTAATATTGGTAAATTTATTAAAAATATATACATATTCAGCTCCACTGCTTTAAATTAGTTGAATGGGTTTCTATAAAAGTAAACTGTGTGCAGTGTAAGCTTCAATACTATAAGAAGGGCTTAGGTCATAAATTTCACACATTGTAGTAGTTGAGGATCAATGATTCTCTCATCACTACCCTTCTCTCCTTGACGACTTCACTCTAATAATCAGTAAATAATCATTACTCTAGCTAGGGTTCTGAATTTTTTACTGAAAGTGATGCAAATTATCGAGGATAAAATATAATTAGTTACTAGAATTACCTCGAGAGCATTGCATGGTGGTATTGCATTGTTATCTTGATCCTCACAATAACAATGATCTGATGAAGCAGCTCTCTTGTTGAGCACTGGAGGGAAATGTGCCCACTTCACCATTCCCACCCAAATCAAAGAAAATGAAATAACAAAATGGTATTAGCTAGCTTGATTTCCCAATTAAGCTGATTAAAATTAAGATCAAACTAAATTAGGGTTTTTATTGTAGATTGCTTTAAGTTACATTTTTAGCAGCTAGGCTAAAAGCTTCCTTGTGAGCCATGCTTGGATTCTGAGACTTTAACCTCCTGATCTCTTCCCTATAGTCCAATTCAACACCCAAAAAGTAAAAAAAATTAGCTCAAAAGCTTGTTATAATAATTATGTAAAAATACGCATACGCATATGTCAAGAAGGTGTTGAGTTGGATTGATCGATCATGTCTTACTTGATGAAGCAATTGTAAGCTGAAGGAGCTCTTTGTCGTTTCTCAGGTGCTGTGTATACAAACTCAAAACATATAATTAGACTGATCAAAATCCAAGAAATCACAAAACCAAAATATATATACTAATTAAAAAACGTACGTTTATTAACAACTTGGTAAACACGAGTTACATCTTCATCTTCATTGTCTGAAGATGAAACCAAAGTCGTTGGACTGTTCTCCTTCTCCTGAGAATTCACCTTCAATGCTTCTTCTTCCTCCACACCAGTTGTTGCTGCAACCTCCTCTTTTCCCGCCTGCACACATATGCATATACATATATAACCAAGATCAGAAAATGTAAATTCGTCATATGTGGGCGCATATGTTTTCTCTATGTATAGATGTTATGGGAACCTCATCCAGATGGGACAGAGAAGCTAGGAGATGGAGAGGGATGAAGGAAGCCTTCATCAAATTGACTGAGAGAAGGCTGGAGCAATGTCCACATCTCACAGTCACCACCATTGACAAGCTTGTGAACGGTACACTCACCTGCAACACATATATATATTCATCAAATTCAATGATCATAAACATGAAAAGAAGGAGGGAGATATGAATTGAGGAAGAGAAAGAGAAGAAGTCAAAAGGTAGACCAGCAAAATAGTGGTACAAAAACCACACTGGACATGGCAAATCTGCCCCGGCAGATCAAACAGATGGTTGAGTGTTGTCGTCATGTTGGGGATTTTTGTCATAGAGTGAGATTATGTGTGTGTGTGTGTGTGTGTACGATGAATGATAGGAGATATCGATATAAGTGTGTGTGGGTGAGTGTGTATATATAGATAGAGAGATAGGTATTGTATATATCATTAATGCAAAAATACATGATAAAATTAATATTTCATGTGGAATACTTTGGTTATATGCTAAAATGCACTACACAATTCATCTTATGTGCGTCTCTATCTCACTTGTAATAATTGGAATCTTCATCTTCTCGATGAGCTGTAAGCAGTAAATGATTCTCATTCTTTCTATTAATCACATTCCTAACTCCTTTGTATTAAACTAGAATTTCTTCTCTAAAATGAAATCAATTAAAATGATGCATATATATACATGATATTTTGGTGATGATGGAGTTCTAGAGACCATTCACTTGACTTGTCTCTAATTAAAATCAGGTTCCCGTTACATAAAAGTATATATTAGCTAAGATCTTTGCAGCTAAATATATTCTTATGCCACACTCACACGCATACAATAAATGAAAATAATACATAATGCTAAGTTTACCATTAGAGGAGAGAATTTGTTGTCAAAACAGATTATACACACTCACATATTAGATCCCTTGAAAATCATTTCACATTCTTTCTTCTGTTGTAAGTACATTTTTATGTATACCGTGCAAGAGATTATCATGAATCATTGTAATAACATTGTTTGAACAATAGAACAACAAAATAATACTAACATATTGGTAAAAATGTAGTGTAAAAAAAGGAAACCCACGTTGCACAAAAGTTGATAGACAGTAAATCGAAGAGAGACATGTAATAAATGATATGATATGGTGTGGTTTGGTTTGCAAGTTAGAAAGAAAAAAACAAGTGAAGTTGAGAAAGAAATGCCTCTTTGTCTCATGTGTAGTTGTCTCTTTAAATGGGATTTAATGAGTCTCTCACAAAAACTCAACAGTCTTTTGGAGTTTAGGTTGAAGTGAGACTGAAAATGAAAGTGCAGTGAGTCGAGACTAGTGCGGGTGTTTCTAGGAGACTCATCACTTTTAGTAACTCGGAATCTTGGGGCTTTTGTCTTTCTTTCTCTCTACAAAATTTTGTCTAACTGTTTTCTTGTGACCATTTTACCCAAAACTCTTTCTCACTCTCTCAATCCTTTCTCCAAGTTTCAGTGCTCTCTCACTCAGTCATGTTATTTCTTCTACTGTCCCTCTCTTTATTGCTCTCTCTCTCTCTCTCTCTCTCACTTACTCTCATCTCCTATGTTGTGTTCAACCACAAGAAAAAGACTTTACATAATACTTTTACTCAATTTTCTTTACCCATTTTGTGTGTAGAGAATCCAATGCAATGAACCAGGCCCGGACTGGACAATTCTCGACCCATTTTGAATTTATGATTGAGCACAGTATTATTTACCCAAAACACAGTACAACAAATTTCGACCCGTTTTGATAAGCTTTTGGTGAGTAGTGGCCAAGATTTGGTTGAAGTTTCACAAAACAGGTTCACAGTAAAGATAGTTATGGTTTTGGTCTAACACTTATCATTTCTAATTTGTTGAGATTTCACAAAACATGTTCGTTGTCAAGTGAGACGAGCACAAAATATGTTCATAGTATATACTTCTCATTTCTAATTTCCACCAAACTCAAATTATACGCTGACAGCTACTGAAAAAGAAGAAATTTCAACTATATACAATTTTGATAGATTGGTCAAATCCCTCTGCTAATATATAAGAGAAGCTGAGAAATCAAAGACAAGACACGCTAGACAACCCATGTCAAGGTCTAAACACACATGACACCAATAGCCTAATACTGATCGTAGCAAAAAAGCTATCAGAGCCGACAGCAACAAAACCTAAGACATCGGTGCAAAAACATCATAAGAATCAACTATTGATAATTCAACATAATATGTGAACTTTGCCTTGCAAATGCAGAAGAACAAGACTAAAACTATAGCAATCTAGCAAATCAAGACGATCAAGCAATACATTGAATCAACACAACATCCTAATTCTACAGCCACAAATCACCATTTCTACATCAGTCGAAGCAAAATGAAAACATTTCGAATCAAAGATAATATAATGTATTGATGCAACGATATAAGGTATCCTCAATAGAACAAAACCCATCTCAAAATATCTTAATTAACCATATCCAATTCTAAATTCCAGAATCATAAAAACTGAAACTTCAAAACAATAATAAAAAAAGACAAAACATAACCTAATCTCAGATCATTTCACTCTTCATCAGGCTTCTTGAACACGTAAGTAGTCCCACACTTGCCACAGTAATGCCTATCGAAATGACTCGCCATGAACGTTCCCGGACCACAGCTAGCAGAAGGACACTCCTTCCTCAGCCTCTGAACCTTACCACTCCCATCAACCTTGTAAAACTGCAGAACAGCGAGCTTCACTTTCTTGTGCTTGTGCTTGATCTTCTTTGGTTTCGTGTACGTCTTCTTCTTCCTCTTCTTTGCACCTCCTCTCAGACGGAGCACCAAATGAAGCGTCGACTCTTTCTGGATGTTGTAGTCGGCGAGTGTTCTCCCGTCTTCCAGCTGTTTCCCGGCGAAGATCAGACGCTGCTGGTCCGGTGGGATCCCTTCCTTGTCTTGGATCTTCGCTTTCACATTGTCGATCGTGTCTGATGACTCTACCTCTAGGGTTATTGTCTTCCCCGTTAAGGTTTTCACAAAGATCTGCATTTTTTGAGGTTTCTCTCGGAGGAGGAAGACGATGAGAGTTTTAGCAAATGGCTTTTATATGGTTCACTTGACTGAGAATTTTAGGGTTTCGAGCTCATGGACTAGTATAATTGATAAATATATGGGCCTTAGGCCCAATGAGATATATAAGCATCTATTGATAAAACGATGTCGTTTTCGTTGATTAATATCGTTTAAAATTGATTTTTTTTTATCCTTTCGGTTTGATTTCATTATCTATCTATCAATGGCGATTGTATCTTCTCTACGAGACATTAATCTCTTCTCCTCACTCCCTTCGACGCCACCAACGGCGGATTCATCACCAGGAACACTCCGACCACCTCCTCCGCCGATATCGATTCCCAAATACTCACCGTCCCGTCGAAATCGTAATCCGAAAACTAACCATCAAACCGATACACAGCCGAAGAAACAACAATCGAATCCAGCTCTAAAGCTTCCGCATCACCGAACCAGATACTACAAACCGGTTAAAGAAGGAGTCATCTCCTCCGAAGGCGACCGCACAATTTTAATTGGCGATTCTGGCGTCTCCTACCAGCTTCCCGGTGCTCCGTTCGAGTTTCAGTTCAGTTACTCCGAGACCCCCAAGGTTAAACCGGTTGGGATACGTGAACCGGCGTTTATGCCGTTTGCGCCTCCGACGATGCCGAGACCGTGGACTGGGAAAGCTCCGTTGAAGAAATCGAAGAAGAAGATTCCGTTGTTCGATTCGTTCAATCCACCGCCGGCGGGGAAGTCTGGGGTTAAGTATGTGGAAATGCCTGGGCCGTTGCCGTTTGGGAGGTATCCTAAAGAAGGGTTGAATAGAGATGAGATTTTAGGAGAGCCATTGAAGAGATGGGAGAAAGGGATGTTGATTAAGCCTCATATGCATGATAATCGTCAGGTTAATTTGGGTGAGTGTTGTTTTGTCTTCACGTTTTGAACTTGAGAGTTTTGGAGATTGTAGTTTTTGAACTTATTGGATTTGATTGTTTATTATAGGAAGAGATGGATTTACACATAATATGTTGGAATTGATACATTCGCATTGGAAGAGACGACGTGTGTGTAAGGTTCGATGTAAAGGAGTTCCTACTGTGGATATGGATAACGTGTGTCGTGTTCTTGAGGTATCTGTTTGGATTCTTGATTGTAGTTTTTTTAGAACTAGAACCTTTGTTTAAGTGGAGATATACAGGAGACTAGAACTAGAAAGATTTGGGTTGTTTGATATATTATTCCAAGTTTTATCTTTGATAGTTGATGTTTTGTGACTTGAGAAAGTAATAAAAGATAACTTCTTTGAATGTTTACTTCGTATTGATGGACTAGTGATGGACCGAAGCTTCTAGTTTCTTAAACTTTCCAGTCTCTTTTCATGTTGCTCTTATCTAGGAAAAGACAGGAGGCGAGATCATTCACAGAGTCGGAGGTGTGGTGTACCTATTCAGGGGTAGAAATTACAACTACCGCACACGTCCGCAGTACCCATTAATGCTGTGGAAACCAGCAGCTCCTGTTTATCCAAAGCTCATTCAAGAAGTTCCTGAAGGATTGACTAAAGAAGAAGCTCATGAGTTCAGGGTTAAGGGCAAGTCTCTTAGGCCCATATGCAAGTTGTGTAAGTGTATCTTATCATTAAAGCTTTTTATCCTGTTTTGTTACTTTCAGCATTCATTGAAGTCAATTGGCACGTAGTGTGTAAGAAGAGGTTAGACACTTGGTTATATATTTACTGTTATTGTCTCTGTTTTGCATTGCAGCTAAAAATGGAGTCTACGTGTCGCTGGTCAAAGATGTTAGAGATGCCTTCGAACTGAGTTCATTGGTGAAAGTTGATTGCCCAGGACTTGAACCAAGCGATTATAAGAAAATAGGCGCTAAGCTTAAGGTCTATGAATCCTTCAGGTTTTTCTTTTATTTGCATTTATACTTTGCACATTTCTGCATCTTCAGTGGAATCACTTTTGGTCGATCTCAAATGTGGAAATTAGAAACATTTTAAGTATAAAAATTTTAAATTTCTTTTCACGTAGTTTAGGAATTCTGTAGTTTTATAACCTTCAACGGCTGCTTGTCAGGAAGACAAAAGTTCCTTATACTCTTTATTTTCTATACTGATCAATTTCTTGGTTTCATATAAATATTTTGTGTTTGAGTATTTTTCAACTATACAGTTGTTTTCATGTTCCATCTCATAATTGTGGTCTTAGTATTCAGTTGTCAAAGCTTCATCATCCAACATTTATGAATATACATCTGAAAAAGTTTCTCTTCATTTACCAGGAGTTAGTTCCTTGCGTGCTTCTGTCTTTCGATGATGAGCAAATACTCATGTGGAGAGGACGAGAGTGGAAGTCGCGGTTTCTGGATAATCCTTTAATTCCAAACCTTTCTGAAACCAACATAGTGAACGAACTTGATCCCTCAGGTATAAGATTCTTGAGTACTCATAAACCTCTTACATGTTTTCAGTCTTCAACCATTACACTTTCTGAAGAAAAAAAAAAATTATTTTCCAATAGATAATTCCAAAAAAAAAAAGTTCTCATATATCATTCTATCTTTCTTTGCTTTTCAGACAAAGCCATTGAAGAAGAACCAGTGTCTGATCCAAATACAGTGATCTCAAGCCCCAAAATGATCTCTCTCTGGAAACGGGCGTTGGAAACATCCAAGGCAGTGATTCTTGAAGAGCTTGACCTAGGTCCGGACGATCTATTGAAGAAGGTGGAAGAATTAGAAGGCACTTCACTAGCTGCAGAACACACTTACACAGCCTTGGTCTTACCGGATAGTGATGGTGCAGCCGAGGAATACGTGGAAGACAAGGATCAGTCTGTAGAGTATTACAGTGACATAGACGATGACTTTGACGACGAGGGTTCGGATGATGAATCGCTTGATCCGGTGGGTCCAGTGGGATCTTTACCCGTTGACAAGATAGTTAGAAAGCTGAGGGAGCGACTAAAATAGATCCAATAGTTTTAATTACTCTGTAATTTCATCCTTTTGTGTAAATGTTGTAAACATACTTAAAAACCCCAAAGTGTCACAACGAAGTGCTTATAGATTGAATTCCTCACCCCTCCAAATCACAATAAGAGTGAGTGGTATTTATGTTTTATAATCTCATTGACCGTGAAGCTTTCAAGAGTGTTAGTGACATCTCACATCTCTTTCTCAAAGCCTTATCATGTAGTAGTAGAGGTTATCATTATTTATTGGTCTTCTAATCAATTATTTATTCTCCGATTCTTTTTTCTTTTTTGCATAAATATATTTTCTCCTGGTCATTTTAATCTGAGGTTTATGTCACTGTTCTTTAATATCTTCTTATCTGTACCATAAGTAGAGAATTTGGAGCCACAGATATCAACCAGTGAGAGTAAAATGGTACCTGGGAAGGTAGCCAATGGTACAGGCTTAACATTTATTCCTCAGGTTGTATTTATCATCTAATCCATTTATTTCTTCAGATTTGGAAGAGAAGATAAAAGACTCATAAACAAGTAGTATACAATAACATTACATAATGATCAAGCATTGTTAACTGCTTCTAGACTTCTAGTATCACATATTACCATTGATTTGGAACTCCCTCTGAGCATGAACTTTGTATTAAGATGAGTTAACGTATTTGGCTCCACTCCGTATCGGATAAACTCATTGATACATGGGGACAACATGAATGGTCATTATGATAATTAGGTGTGCATTGGTCAATTTACATTTATGAGTAGAGTTGGTGGATGGATAAGGTAGATGATGTTGTGTTGGTCAATGTACATGTACGTAGTTTAAACTTAAGATCTTGTAATTAGTTCCCTTTCTCCTCTGCTAATCTTTTCATGATTTGTTTTTGTAATCAGTTTAGCTTATAAATTTGTAAAATACAATACATAGATGAATTTATAATCACATAAGAACTAATATCACGCACGTGCCATTTATTCTCTACGCCTCTCCCTATATAAAGACTTTGTTCCCTCCTTGAGCTTCCTCTGCATTATATAAAAATGGCGAATAACAGCTTCAACAATGGTGAAGGAGAAGGTTCCATCGACGGAGACATACTCGAATCGATTCTCTCTTATCTACCACTTCTCGACCTCGATTCCGCTTGCCAAGTCTCCAAATCATGGAACCGCGCCGTCTTCTTCTCTCTACGCCGGTTTAAAATTGTGCCGTGGTTGTTCCTCTACAGCCAGAAGACTTCTCCGCCGTATACCATGTCGGCGACTGCGATGGCTTACGATCCTAAGTCCGATTCATGGACCGAGCTTAAGTCCACGTCATCATCTTCCGTCCAACACGTGTCCGTAGCTCGATCCTCTCACTCCACGTTGCTCTACGCTTTGTCTCCGGCGGGGTTGTCCTTCTCGATCGACGCGTTTCACCTCACATGGAGACACGTGGCGCCACCGAGAGTGTGGAGGGTCGATCCGATCGTCGCCGTTGTCGGACGGAGTTTGATCGTAGCCGGCGGCGTTTGCGATTTCGAGGAGGATAGATTTGCCGTTGAGATTTTCGACGTCGGATCCGACGACGGCGCGTGGGAGAGATGCGAATCGATGCCGGATTTTCTCTACGGATCCGCGTCGTCCACGTGGCTTTCCGTCGCGGTTTGTTCGGAGAAGATGTACGTGACGGAGAAGAGATCAGGCGTCGCGTGTAGCTTCGATCCAGAAACCAAATCGTGGACGAAGCTTCTGGAACTCTGTCCCGGCGGGTGTAGACTATACTCTCGTTCGATTGGATTCTCAGGTGAGAGTCTAATCATGGCTGGGATCACCGGAGGAGAAGATAATCCGACGGGAATCGAACTTTGGAAAGTTATAGTTTCCGACGAATCACCGATGGATGCGAGATTCGAATCGATTGGGTCTATGCCGAGGGCGTGTTTTGATAAACTCAGAAGAGCTGATTCTGATTGGCCGTTGACGACGATAACGTTTAACGCGGTGGGAGATATGGTTTACATACATGACGCGGCGGAGAACGGCGGAGAGATTGTGGCGGCGGAGATTGAAGGAGGAAAGCTTTGTAAGTGGAGGACTCTGCCAAACGCAGACGCTATTTTGAATAAAAGTCACGCCGCGGAGAGAGTTATCGTTGCGTGTTCAAACGTTGGTTTTAGCGATTTGAAATTCGCGTTTAAGAATAATTTGAGTTTCTCAACGTAGAATGATCTAACAATCGTGTCCGTTAAAATTATCAAAGTTTCAAGTTAATTTCATCGTCTGTAGTGTACGTACTATTGTTCATTGTATTCATTAGATGAATTAAGTTACTAATAAACGAATTAGCTAAATGTGAAAGGGATTTTAGAAAATGTGATTATCTTTAATAGTTTGTTTGAAGTTGGGTTACGTGAATGATAATCCAAAGAAGTTAAGAGGCGTAGGAAGAGTGAAGGAAGAAGAAGCTATTAGATAATTTTAGAGTTGTTGGTCCAATTATTTACGTTACGTACGCTATAAGGAAATGAGTGTGAAGTTTGAAAGTACTCGAAGGCATTATTATACGAATCAGGCCACAAGGCCCAAGTCCATTTAAGTGCTGCTGCATACTGCATGGATATGTGTCATTGTGTGGGAGTGTTATTATCACTTATCAGTGTGTGTGTATCAGACTATCATCAGTATGTGAATTTGAAACGAAACGAAACAAAACGAAAAAGATTATAGCAATATGCAATTATTAGTTTGTTTGTCTTGTTGTTGAATTATATGCAATTATTAGTTGTAAACATGTTTGAAATAATTGTTGATGAGTTGGAGTTAGTTTGTAAGAAAATTTCGCATTCACATTACAGAAATTCATTAAATTAAAGTTTAGTAAAAATCAAGTTGGACCAAATCATATGATTTAGTTGAACAACAAATCCCTAGTAACTTTGACAAAAGTGAACACCTAATTCAACAACTTTATTCCTTACAGTTTTTTACCAATTCAACCTATACGAATTATTGAAGAAATAGTTCATTGGAAACGACCTATTTCAACTTTATATATTTTTGAAGCATACGACTAAACGTAGTGATCAGTAACTCCTTAAGAAAACTGTATAAAACAAAGACAAACGAACATAATGGCTCAACAAGAACATCAAGGCACTGAGAACACTGATACTAATGGGGAAAATAAAAAAGCAAAACCCTTATAAGCGTAGAGAAGAGGTATCAGCAGATAGTAAGCTAAAAACACCTTGGGAGGCTCGAAAAGGATCGAGCCCATCCGCCGTTACATGACTTGCCGGTTCAACCCATCCGGTTAAACGTAGGGAGTGAACGTTAACATTCTTACTTGGTGGTGGAGTAGCCGTAGCAAACCCTCAGGTCCACCTAGAAGCTCCCGAGGAAAGCTCAAGCTCCCTTATTCAGAATTCAACCAATGACCTTATGAGTTTGATACATAAATGGGGGAGAGAGTGTTTGTATCATTCTTTATTGTTTATATATATATATAAACAGCAATTTGCCCTTTACTGTTTTGACGGTGATAATACTGTATTTTATGTATTTTTAATCATCTTTGTGAAATTAGGTGATTAAGATTTTAATATATATAAATTACTTTTTAAATTATTTAAATCCAAAACTCCATATATTATTTATGCGTAAGTAGGCATTTCTTAATAGATTGTCCTTTTTGGATGTATAGTTTGATAATATGTCTATTTCCAATTGGTCATTCCTTGTTCACCCACCAAATTGCAAGAACCACTATACAACTTAAATTGCTATATCACTACAACACAAAAGTGATCACAATACCATTTGTCTTAAACAGGCTCACAAGGTCGGCCCACTAAATGTTTCGTATGTTTGTTAACCCATGATTGACTAGATATTTGGAATGAATTGGTTTAATGGATCATCAACAATCGTAACAATTTATTGCCTCGTGGGTTAAGATTCTAAACATTTGACATCATTAATCGTAAAAAAAAAACGTTTTGTACATCATGAAGCACGAGCTAGCGTTAATGCTTGCAACTTGCAGCCTTGTTCAATCAAGATTTGTAATACATGTAGTTATGAGCCACCAAAGCAGCGTCATCCATACACATCATATGAGCTACTGATCATGGACCTTCTTTTTTTTTTTTCATCCAAATAATTAACTTGTATCTAGTTAGATAGGTTAATATATATCTAGATAATTATATATATAGTTGTATTTGAATAAGTATTTAGATTAATGGCTATCAACGAGCAAGTGGATACAAATTCAGAAACATATTATGCGTTCGACTTTAAACGAACACATGATGTGTTGGGTCGAAAACAAGTATGCGTGGAAGTATCTGTCATGTTGTTGTATATAAACTTATAATTAAACCAAACCCGTGGCCGTGGAAGAGTCAAAAGTACAATTATATTCTTTCGTAAGACAATGAATATATATTGTAATTATGCACTAATGCGTACACATGTTTTGTCTGGTTACTAAACTAATTATTTCACTTACAGAACCGGAGAGGGTGATGAGTGAGGCAAAAGATCCACGCAATCTAATTTAAATTCGATAATAGCATAATTAAATTGATTGTTGAAGTAGTTTATCATATCTCTTTGCTTATAAAAGACATCATGAAAGATAGCATCATGTTCACTGGAATGTTTTGAAACTGTACGCTTTTTCTCGAATTTAATTTCCCAAACAAAATACTCATTTTTATTCAGATAAGAAAAAGAATGATATCTTTGTCGAAAATGGAAAATGGAATATTTTTCGTTCGCTTTAATTATGTTTTCTCTTTTGACATTATAAAAAAGTAGGTTATATGGGAAAATATGTTTTGTTCCCGAAGAGACTATAATACTATATGGCCGGAGTTAATAATCATCCACAGTTGCATAATAAAAAGAGGCCATAAACCGCTTTCTCAAAATATATATACTTTTTTTTTACTTTCTTATTATTCTTAAGACTTAATAAAAGAATGTACAAGGCTCATTTAGTTTTGTAAAGTGGTTATTTTATTAGCTTCCATTGATGCAATAATATTGTTTTTTTTTTTTCAACACAAATCAACGTTGATTAACGTGGCCATATATCATATAATTTGGACTTTGACTTAATTGCTTATTTTCATTTTTTTTTATATGCATGCACCGAACTTGATGAGCTAGATGAGATTAAACCTAAACTTTGAATCCACGAAAATAGAATATTATTTGACTTTGCGCAGAGCGGGGAGCTCACAAGTCACAAACGACGATAACAATTAGGCCACGTTTAAAAGCAAATAATAGAAGAGGCATATAGTTAAAGAAATCATTCTGAAGGTATTTTAAAACTTATCTATATGTATTTGTCAAATTTTTAGTTTGATCTTTGTGAGTAAGTCAGCTGATACTTTTACATAAATTAACAAAATAGGGGTTGAACCGGATCAGGCCCACATCAAGTGCAATAGGGTTTCAAAATAAAATAAAAATTGTTGGGTTTCGTTTCTCTTCAATCTTTTTTGGTTTCACCAAATTTTTTGTTCTTCTATGTATCTTTGTTTCGTATTGGTAAAGTAAGGACCACAAAGGAAAAGAAGCTAACGTGAAGGAATGAATCAGAGACAACTTTCTTGCTTCTGTTTGATCGAAACCTTAATTAGCTAACTTTCGAGACAGTTTTAAGATTATATATGTAACAAAATCAAAGACAAAAAAAAAAGAGTTTTGTATATTTGATGGACCACAGACACAAAACTTAGGACCACTTCCAACAACAAAAGAGAATATTATTAACTCAACAACAACAACCATCTCTCATAACACTTTGCATATCATATGTATATGATGATGATGATGACGATGATGTTTCGATCTTTCCTTTCTGTTTCAATGCATGCCCACAACATCACCAGATTTTTGGGGTTTCTGCTTTATAACACAAAACACGCACGTGGCTGTTTTGTCTGTAAGAACATTAAAACTAGTATTAGTAATAGTACTAGTAACATATACACCAACTTGAAACTTGTTTACTAGAGTAATAGTGATTATGGACGTAGTACAAATAGTAAAGTGAAAGCCAATCCTGACTAAAATAATATATGAGACGCATATATTCTCCGACCGCAGTGGGCATATAACACTATAACAGTGCTGATGCACTTTTTAATTCTATATAATTGAAAGCACCTTTGTTCATTTTGTTAGTTTGTTGTATTCTAAAGCTAATTTTAATTTGTTTATTATTATAAAGAAGATTTCCTTTTGTATCTTCATTTGTTTATATATGGTCTAGATTTTAGACCGGATCTCGACTTAAATTTTGAAAAAAAATTACATCAAACTTGAAATCCATGAAATATTAATATCTTTATAATTAAGTAGTTGGCTGATCAATCTAACTCTAAGAAGAAGAAAAAAAAACAGATTTTGATTCTATATATTTTTGTAGAATTTTCTTACTACTGTTTAGTTTTAACTAATTAAATCTTCATTAATACTCAAATAGTTCAGTTCTTGATCTTTTACAACTTAGATGATAGTTGGAGATGTTGTGTGTAATATATATACGAAAAGAATAAATTCCACGATTACTAGACGAGACTGAATAAAATAAAACTTTGACCCCAAAAGAAATTATATATTAACAACCAATATGGTGGCATATGATTACTAACTAACTCAATAAGCATATGACACTATGTTTCGTGCTACTTAAGCTGCATTTCACTAGGTTTATTCCCCCATATTTTTTTAAAAAAACATACCTAATCCATAATTAGTCAATACTAGTGATCTTTTACAGCTAATGAAAACCACAATCAAAATGTAAACAAATTGATTGTCAGACTCTGTCCACGAACCGTATTTGGACTGTTTTTGTATTTTTCTTGTCACGTCTGGATTGGCTAAAGATGATATTATATAATTTGGTTGAAAATGGAAAATTTATTCATATAAAAATATAGTTAGAATTCAAAGAATTTGGCTTACGTCCATCAAGAAGATGTGATGGAATATATCTGTGTATATAAGGCTTGATTAGGAACAACAAAGACCGAGATATATGTTAGGCATGCTCTAATCAGATTTATAAAACCTGAAGTTTTTGGTCTATCGTAGTCCACAAATATCTATCTATTCTCGGTTACTTTGTCCGTTTCCAATAATAGTAGCAGGTATGTTCACATTTAACTTTCTTGGATGTGAGGTTTTTTTTTGTTTATTACATGAGATCAATAATTAATATTTTTATGCTCAATCATTTCAAGTGGTTATATATAATTCTCTCTATATGTTAAAACCAGTGATAATAACATCGACCAAAGATGCTATTAACACTGATTCCTAACTTTTAAACCAAAAGATTTTCAAATGATTACTAAATTTTTACCACACAGAATATTAAAAAAAAAACACAGATTCTTATCAGTTAGGAATGCATATGGGGCATATACAATACAACCATCACTCGAATCATATCAATTATATGTATCTTACACACATTGCTCGAATCATATCAAATATTTGTTCTACATCATATTCTAAGACTAAGATATCACTAAAGAAAAAGTGTTTTGTATCACTTGTTTTATATATTTAGTTACTTCTAATTGATTCAAACAAACTTTAGTAATAGTAATGCATGAGAGTAAAAATAGACTAATGTTATCATATTTGAATACAAATATGGTATATCATTAGGTCTGTAAGAGATAACCAAACTAGTCAGCACAAAATAACAGTACCAACATGCCTAATATAAATTACTCCTTGATGTAAAACACTTGAATAGTCGGCTATATACGCTTATAACCATTGCTACATTGGGACCAGATATAACTATCAATTCGAATATTAAAGTGTAACAAGTGGTTCATGCTGATTGCATGGGTCTATGAACTAGTAATCCTAACATGTATAAAAATATGAGTGGATCAACGGTCGAGATCCAAGGGAGTGGGATGGGAGGGACCAAACCTGTGTTTGTTTTTTACATGGATTCATACGAAACCGTAGCTTTGTGTCAGATTATTTTCGAACAAACATGGCCCGAAAATGGATGGGTCAATCAACCTGTCCATCAACGAAAAGACCCTTTAACACCTTTTTTTTTTTTTTGAGAAATAAAGAAACATATTCGATAAAAAAAACGGGTTATCGAGTAGGATGATTTACATTTATCGAAAGAAAAATCGACAATAATTTGTGTATCTGATCCTAGGTCACAAATAGAATGGACCACGAACCGAATTATACAAGTGTAGTACGTTAGCTGCATGTGTAGGTCGTAGGTATAGACGAATTTTATGGTATGGTTACATATATTTATGTCGTATTGCATTATTTTGGTGATAAATTATTGCAATTATATGGATAGGGTAGGGAGATAGGTTAGAGAAAATTGAAAAGAATCTATCAAATCACACAAAGCCTACACATATGGTGAACAACCAATTACAAGAACTCTAATAAAGCATCGCATGTAGTTCGGAGAGCTCAGTACTTAACATGCCGCATCCAAGTGGCGCATCGCATGGATAATAAGAGAAATTGGTAAAGAAAATATTTCTAGCTTTTATTTTAGTCTTCACCTTGTATTGAACATTTTGATTTATAATGAATCATAAACTTAATTAAAATCACAATAAACATTCACCATTAAGAAATAAATAAAATTTTCTTTAATTAAGAATTTTAGGATTAGAATGGTTACATGAGTTCAGCGGACAAAACCATTTATAGATTAAATCATTATTTATTTATTATTCACCAATTATATATGCGTAGTGGTACAAATTAAGTAGTATATGTTTCCAACGAAAATTCTCAACATACAAATTTAAATATAGATCATGTTATATCGACTCTTGGACAACCCTATACATTATGGTCTAGTGGTTTGATTAATATTATTGTTTTTTTCTTTTATCTTATCAATTCAGTCATTTTTAGAATAGAGAGTTCCATGATGCAAAAAAATAATTTACCTAATGTCTTCGTCTTCGTCTTATTTTCAAACATCATTTTTTTTTTTGGGCAAACCCATTTTCAAATCTCATGTCTTTATTTACCCTAATTTCTCCCTTGATTATTCATGATACCTTAGGTGATTTAAAGCAACCAATAGTTCACAACTACCTTTAAAATGAAAATGACTTTCTCTAGTCTTTAAAAGAAGAAAAACAGAAACAAAGTTTATATTAAAAGTAGTATGATAGAACATGCCACTTCCTAATTGATAATTATTTGATAGACTTAAAAAGCTGTCGACAAAACTAAAAAGAATGGTTCTATTCGAAATATTATAGATGCTCCTCGTTTTTTTTTTCCCTTTCACTTTTGTATTAAAGTGCTCGTTTCTTTCTTGATTAAATACTCCCTTCAAATTACGGCCAATTTCAAATTTATAAATATAGAATAATAAAATCAGGAAATATTCTAAATTGCTTATGTCTAATTTTGTTAATAATGACTTGGTTCGTTTTCATTTGCTAAAGTCGTCATGTATATGACACACAAAAAAGATTACTTTTGGCTTAATCAGTAATCACATTCATAAACTTAATGATATATCAGAATATCGTCAAAAATATATAGCTTAGCTAATAAGACCACTGATCTTGTAGCTCCTCCTACTCCTAGACCTATGTTTATCTTATTCTTGATTTTATCCACAAACTTTGCTTTACTCAGAGATTAACTATTCTAAAGCAAAATACTAGTAGAGATACTAGATACTAAATTTTAATTTTAATTAGAACAAAAGAAGGAACAATTTTCCATAGGGACTTGTCTAGGAAGTAGGAACGGAGACCTTCGCTTCTTGAAACCCGTTTTGGTTCCGTACAATGGAAACGTCTAACGTCGGATGTATATAATTAATATTATGTATCCAAACTCTATGATCTCTATATTAAAAGTCCCAAGCTAAAAGCATCGCTAATCTTATCCATATGCTCTTCAGATTTGATATCAACCACTCATCAAATATTTTGCATATCATCATTTTTTTTTTTTTGCATATCATCATTTTAGATTTAGAATATTAAGGGGTATCGCAATATAAACGTTGCAAATTTAGTGATCATCAATATGTATATGTACTACGATTTTTACCACTATGACAAGATTAGTGATCACAATATATAATTTTTTTTTTGGTAAGAATCACAATATAATAAACAAAATTGCTCTTCTTTTTTATTTCCCGTTAAAATTAAATAAACTAGTATCCTTAACCGGTTTAATCGGTTTTAAATTTTTGCGGCTCTTAGTAGTCTACTTTTGAGTTATATTAACAACCCAACCCAACGATGCATTCGGTTCATGGTTCAACCAGGTCCGACCATCGGTTTGGTTTGAGTTTAAAAACACTAATTATTTCACATATTTGCAATCAAGTAACAATCTTTGCAAATTGTAATTAGGCTTTGGAGATGGTTTAGACTCTTTGGTTTACGACAAACTAATAACCTATATCAAACTATATTATGCCCAGCATCTTTCAATATTAAATTGTAGTAACAGGGTTAACATAAATTGTATTAAATTATGGCCATTTTCTCTGATTTTCTTCTCGTGACAACAAATTATATCTAACAGTATTCCCGATCATGATGTTTTCATCTAAACAAAAAATACTTTTGGAAAATGATTATAACAACCAGCACAAAAGTAAATGATTAAATGTATTAAAAATAAGATTTAAATAAAAGCACATAATCAAAACTCAAAAGACATATATATACACGTAACTCCATACTAATTAGTTTATTTTCACAAAATCTCTTTTAAGCATTTATTTAATTGAAAAACTGTTTACTAATATATACTTTTTGATAATTTATATACAAACACTGAGATAGTACCCAATTTTTATATATTAAAACTCTTATGTATCGTCTACAACTCACACACGCATATCCCACAACAACAACATTAATATACATCACAATATCGCGTGTTCACATGTTTAGATCCAACACTAATACATCAAACATATGTTGCTGCTAAAACATTGCAAATACTAAGGCATAACACAGCCTTGGACCTTTGGTATGTTAGTTAAGGAGGAGGGCCTTATTTACTCTTAACTGTGAAGCCTGAAGGCTCAAATCGAGCCTTATAGCATTTGTCCTTTTTCGTAATTATCTTTTCTTCTCCATTCCAACTTTTTTTTTTTTTTAATTATCTTTTTATTTTATTTTTTTCCCTTTTCGCATAAAAAAGAGAAAATAAAAATATGATCCTTGCCTCCACTCTCTCCTTCACCGTATCTCTCTCTACACAAGAAAAATAAAAACACTCCCCATAGATATATATCGTAAGAACCACAAAAAAAAGCTTTGCGGTTTCGTATTCTTCTTCATTGATTCTTGATTCTTGTAGAAGAAAGATTGAATAATAAGAAGAAGACGATAGAGTTGGGTCACTTCCCACCGACGATCTTCTCCTACTCCATGGATGGAATGTACAATTTTCATTCGGCCGGTGATTACTCAGATAAGGCGGTGCTGATGATGTCACCGGAGAGTCTCATGTTCCCTTCCGATTACCAAGCCTTGCTATGTTCCTCCGCCGGTGAGAATCGTGTCTCTGATGTTTTCGGATCCGACGAGCTACTCTCAGCAGCCGCCTCAGCTTTGTCCTCGGAGGCTGCTTCGATCGCTCCGGAGATCCGTAGAAACGATGATAACGTTTCTCTCAGTGTCATCAAGTCCAAAATCGCTTCACATCCTTCGTATCCTCGCCTACTTCAAGCCTACATCGATTGCCAAAAGGTGATCATCTAGACAAAAAAATCTAGGTTTCACTTTTTATGTTCTTTAAGGATAAAGATAACAAAAGATTGAGATGCTTTGTCTAAACGGTATTGATTAGTTTTGTAATTTTATGGTTTTAACAAGGTCGGAGCACCACCGGAGATAGCGTGTTTGCTTGAGGAGATTCAAAGGGAGAGTGATGTGTATAAGCGAGACGTTGTTCCTTTGTCTTGCTACGGAGCTGATCCTGAGCTTGATGAATTTATGGTCTCTCTCTCTCTCACTTTTTCTTGATTTTTGTGGATTTTATGTTTTTCTTTTTTTGTTGTACTAAAAAAAAAAGGGAAAAATTAATATCAGGAAACGTACTGTGATATATTGGTGAAATACAAATCGGATCTTGCAAGGCCGTTTGATGAGGCAACTAGTTTCTTGAACAAGATTGAGATGCAGCTACGGAACCTATGTACTGGTGTGGATTCTGCTAGGAACGTTTCGGGTATGTCTTCCATTATTAACCCTCTGGTTCACTTGTTCGATTTGGTGTTTATGTCTTTTTTTAAAATCTTTGATGATATTTTACTTTTTAATATATATTATTATGCTTCTTTGTATCTCAGTTAGAGTAACTTACCACACCAACCCGGTGGATACTAAATTCGTTAACTTAAGTTTTGATTCATATGAACAGTTTTTTTAAATAAATGATTGGGAGCTTAGAGTGATAGAAGAACCCTAGGTTTTTTATGTGTGATAAAAGCTAACTAGTAAAAATGATAAACCCTAGTTTTGGTGACTGAGCCACATCTTTCAACTCTATAGCTACTTTTTTTCTATGTGTTTTGTGTTTGTGTCTGCTTTTCTTTGCCCACGGGTGAAACTCAGGTCTGTTTTTAAGGTGTTGTGTAATTATGTTTTTCTCGTTCATTTTTTAAGAGCCATAAGATTAAGGTGGTGTTTGGAGTGTGGTGGGCTTTCTTCTTTCTCTTGATAGTTTTTTTTTTCTTTTTCTTGTTGATCTTTGTGCTAATCATACATTTTTTTGCTTTTATATATCTTTTTTTCTCTTCTTTCTTTCTCTGTCAGAAAGAAAATGGTGTAGAAAGCAATAAACTTTTGCGGTAGAGATTCTGATTTTGACGTTTCAGAGGCTTGTTGCGTACTGAATGTTTTTTCAACTTCGTTGCTTTTTTTTCCAGTGAAAATAAAAAAGAAACCCCAATTGACAGAAAAACCTAGTCATAACTTTTTAACAATAAGTGTAGTTGATGATTCTCATGAACTTATTTTCCTTCAACTCTCGTTTAACAAGAAGTGTAAAAGTTCACAAGTTTTTTAAGATATTGCTCTTGTTTTACCTTGTGTTCTTCTTAGTTATGGTAACAAACCTTATCAAAGGACTCCAATGTCTCTTGCTGTGATATTTTTTATAACCAATAAACCAAAAGAGTAATTAGCAATAAAGTAAGTTTTCATTATAAGAGTTATTAAATTTTCACTATAAAAATTTCTATTAGACATCTACTATAATAATAAGGATAAGACTATTTCAGTTTAATAGTAGTACTATGAAAGTTATACAACACACATTCTTTGTCAAATGAAAATTGAAAGACATTTATTATGCTGAGCTTAACTTTGGTCGATTTCAAGTTCCAATGATCTGAGAAAGATTTTTGTTGATCATCGGAAATAGTATCATTGCCAAGTGGCTGCTCTTATCTGCATGTCCTTGTTGGAGTCTTGTTGGACTTACATTACATGTGAGTAATAATAAACTAAAAACTACTGACTCAGTTTTTATGGGGTTTAGAGGTCTCTCTCTAGGTTTTATTGTTAAATGAAAGTGAAACGCTTCAACAAATTTTTGCCCTTCTTTGTGTGTTTGCTGATATTATCTATCAGTGTTCTAAAACTAGCAAAAACAATGTAGACACAACTAACAAATCAACTGGTCACTTTAGCTAGAAATACCTTAGATAATTCTTTTATAATTAATAAACATCCACCTGATAGAACTAGCTGTAAAGAAATGAAAACTCAATAGTATGGTGGACTTTGTTCAGCTTTGCAGAGTTTTTTCCCTTATGGTGGTAGATCTCAAATGCAGCTTCAACTTGTACTTTGGTAAGATTGTTTATTGCGGAACCCAAAAAAAGCTGCTGATATAGAAAAACATATCAGCTTATTTTTTATTAACTAATCGAGAGTTAAGCATTAGAGAGAATCAGCTGGAAAAGGTTGAAAATAGATCAGTGCAGGGGTTGTCCATAATGGGGCGAATGTTTATGATTAATTTATTTTAAAATTTGTTCCAAGTACAAGTTGCCTTTTTGAATGATCTCATCTGGTTTTTTCATTTCTTTTATATTGGTTGTCATGAGCTTTATTAACCATCTTTTTTTCTTTCTGATTGGAGTTTCTTTCACCTGAATGAATCTTAAAAACTAATAAAGAACAAAATTAGCTTACAATTGTTTTACAAGATTGGTGTACATGCTTTGGTTTCTTTCTTGTTAATCTGCTTTAGTAATACAATACTTCCACCCAAGTTGATTATAATGATTGTTAATTTAGCACAAGCTTTTCTTTGAACTACCTGAACACATTCTTTTCTAACATGTAGCTAATAGGATGAGTTCCTTCCATGATGTTGTTGACTATTTATGTCAACATGTTTCTTGTCTGTCTGATCCAGTTTTCTCATATTCCTATCATATAAGTTAATACTGCATGCAACCTGGGGGATGTTTAGCATATTTGAGATCTAGAAGACAAAGAATATAGCAATGAGATCAAGAATAAGAAGATAGTGGCATGATAAGCTTGAATTAGAGGTCCTTTTGGTTTTTTGCTCGTAAAGTAATAAGTAAAAAGGTAGGAAAGTCACATGGACTCCCGCGGATTCCGCTAAAGACCCTACCAGCTTCTTTTGCTCTCCTAAGATTTTATTTTTGATTTGGTTATAAAGAAAGAAAAAAAAAGGGAGACATAGGGTTCTCTACACACCACAATCAAATCATCTATAAGACGGTGACTATGCTTCTGTTATCTTTTCTCAACTCTTTTGCTTGCCTATAGTGTGGTTGCCATGCCCTCTTGTTCCGTTGTTCCCTTGGTGGGTCGTATTGTGTCTCTCTCCGGCACGCTACTTGCACGTGTCTACTTGCATGTTATCTTCTTCGGTCGACCCTAGTTTCCAACCAGTCAACCTAACTTGTTTTGTCATTAAACTATTAACCTAACGAGTCATATGTGATTATGTGAAGTGTGGACGTATAATGGTCTCTCTGATTTTTTATCAACTCATGCCTTATGCATTACAGTATACATTTCCCAATTTTGTATTCACCTGTTTGATCTCTCTACTAGTATTTTTGACTTTGTTCTACGTGGTAAAAGTACGTGACTAACATTGTGTGTGTATATATTATATAGTCCATTATTTTTTGTAGGACTGACTAGATCTTTTAAATTGGACTAACCACGGTTGCTTGGTCCGACTATAGTTTCTGTCACATAGTGAAAACTATTGTAAAATCAGGTAATGTTCTTGAATCATCATCTTTGGGTCAGAGAAGCTGGGTAAGTGGGTCAGTAGAGTCGTTGGGGCATACTAATATATAAATGTGCAATTCATTTAAGAAAGAGAGAGAGAGAGCTGAGTGAAAAGGAAATTTGGGTTTTGGGGTGTTGTGGAGAACATAAATGAGAGGTGTAGCGTTATTTCCGGGGGTTCACACAACCCTCTACGTGGTATTCGCACGTGTCTTAGTCATATTGGGTAATGAGTAGGCCAAAGGAGGGATGTCTCCTCATGGGGACAAGACTATTAGTCCTCTCCTGACAAATGACAATGGAGGTAACTATTCACTGCGGCGGTTTTTTGACTGCTGCACTCAATCGTGTGCGTCCTCGATCTTCCCTTCCCTCTCTTTTTCCTTTTCTGCCCCTCTCTCTTTTCTCTTTAGCCACTTAGCCGTTTAGCCAAGAAAAGCCTACTTTTCACTTTTTTGAAGTAAGTTACAAATAGTTTACTGTTTCCATAGTCGTTACTTCTTATTTACGTGCTACAAACCATTTTCTTGGCTGTTTTGTCTACGTGCATGTGAGCGTATGTTTTAAGTCCTAAAACGTTACTGATTTGTATGTTAATTTGTGTCTAACAGAGGATGGTGCAATATCATCAGACGAGGAACTGAGTGGAGGAGATCATGAGGTAGCGGAGGACGGGAGACAAAGATGCGAGGACCGTGATCTCAAGGATAGGTTGCTACGCAAATTTGGAAGCCGTATAAGTTCTCTAAAGCTGGAGTTTTCAAAGAAGAAGAAGAAAGGAAAGCTACCTAGAGAAGCAAGACAAGCTCTTCTTGATTGGTGGAATCTCCATTACAAGTGGCCTTACCCTACCGTAAGCAAATAAAACAACACTTATAAACATCTCAACCATTACACTTTCTTATATTTACATGAGTGTGATATGAATGTGTGTACATTACACAGGAAGGAGATAAGATAGCATTAGCTGATGCAACAGGGTTAGACCAGAAACAAATCAACAACTGGTTTATAAACCAAAGGAAACGCCATTGGAAGCCGTCAGAGAATATGCCATTCGCTATGATGGATGATTCTAGTGGATCATTCTTCACCGAGGAATGAATTTTATTTATTATGGTGGTATCATTTATTTTAACCTTCGAAAAGAAAAATTAAAGATGGGTGTATTTGAAAATGTATAATTCTGCCTTGCTTTGCCGACAAAGAAAAGAAAAGAGTGAAGCATGGACGAGATCTGGATGAAATGTTTAACACTCACTCACTCACATGTAGGATGGAACAAGGAGACAAGTCAAAAATGCTTTGTAACTATTATTGTCAGTGAATAAAATAACTTCTTTGGTCTCTTCCTAAATGTTTTGTCCTAGCTCTCGTGATTTTTATAAGTCAAATGGACTATATAGCCTCTTGTTTGCAAAACGACATATGTAAAAAAAAATATAGTTAAATTAATTAACTTATCAATATTTGTTTTCCAAAATAATTTGGATTTGACGTGAGTTATTTTTTTTCCGCATATACGTTGTAATCAATCACACACTCATTCACGCATGACGAAACGTTTGGGTCTCAAATTAATACGATTGGGCCAAAATAGGCCCATTAGCTAACTGAAATAAGTTTTTTAAAACCCAATCCGAGTAATCGGAACAAAAGAACATGATTGGTTAATTAACGACCAAACATGGCTGCTCTACTTGGTATCGTCTCTCCGGTGACCTTCACCGGCAAGCTCCCGGTAAATTTCCGATCCCGTCGGATAACGGTGGTCAAATGCTCGGAGGAACGCCGTATTCTATTCAACCGCATTGCTCCGGTTTATGATAACGTTTGAATCACTCCCTTCCTTTTGTCTTATCTCCTTCTTATCTTTAAGCTTATCCCTGATAAAAATAATCGTGTTCTTATATGGTTTTGTAGTTGAATGATCTCTTAAGCTTAGGTCAGCATCGAATTTGGAAGAACATGGCTGTCTCATGGAGCGGGTATATATATATCTCTATTGTCTAAGTTGCTCTGTGTTTAATTAGTCTTCTCAAATTCCTGATTTTTTGTTGTTTAATTTGTAAATTAGAGCAAAAAATGGAGATTACGCTCTTGATTTGTGTTGTGGAAGTGGTGATTTAGCGTTTCTCTTGTCTGAGAAAGTTGGTCCAGCCGGCAAGGTTTGTTTTTGCTAAGTCTGGTCTGGTCTGTGTTCTTGAAATGTGGATTCTTTCTTGTTTTAATAACTTGGTGATATAATATAGGTGATGGGTTTGGATTTCTCATCTGAACAACTAGCTGTTGCAGCATCGAGACAGAAACTTAAGGCAAGGTCTTGTTACAAGTCTATAGAGTGAGCACTGGTAAAATCATGCTTGTTGTTTGTTTTCTAACCTCTCTTGAGGAAAGACTCAAAATTGATAACTATATCAATGTGTTGTTAGGTGGATTGAAGGTGATGCTCTTGATTTGCCATTTGGTGATTGTGAATTCGATGCGATAACGATGGGTTATGGTCTTAGAAACGTTGTTGATAGACTTAGAGCCATGAGGGAGATGTATCGGGTTTTGAAACCAGGTCTGTGATTCTTTTTCTATATCTCTGAGTTTTAGCCAAGCCTTTTGTGCTATGCTTAGCTATCTCCTGTTGGTTTTCAGGTTCAAGAGTCTCCATACTTGATTTCAATAAGAGCAACCAATCCGTTACTACATTTATGCAGGTACTTGTTATTCTATACAGACTGTGGTGTGTGATTTCGTTTGATTTGCTAATTACATTTTGAGGAAATAGTTTGGTTGGTGATTTGGTTTTGTTAGGATTGGATGATAGACAATGTAGTTGTCCCTGTGGCTACTGTTTATAGTCTTTCAAAGGAGTATGAATATCTGAAAGATTCAATCAATGGTTACCTAACAGGTTCGTTCTCCATCAATATCTATATGTCATTTCATTACATGGCACAGCTGATATATGTGTGTTTTAATCGGATTTGCCACATTTTGCACCCATTTTTAATTCCCTCAGATTCCAAAGTTTGTAACTGGAATTAAAGATCCAAACTTGAAGGGCTTATACTATATGTGTTTTGATTAGCTGAGTGGAATGTCATATGTCCTTTTGGCAGGAGAAGAGCTAGAGACTCTTGCTCTAGAAGCTGGCTTCTCAAGTGTCCGCCATTATGAGATAAGCGGTGGTTTCATGGGGAATTTAGTCGCTGTGAGGTAAGCAAATAACGTTCAACCTTCTACACCAGATAGATTGACACTATCTTTATCTGGATTTGTATAAGAAAAGAGAAAGGCTTGGCGTTAAGATGATGCAAATTGATCTATAAATGTTGAGAAATTTTATTGATCTGTATAACTTACTCTTCTGATCAAACTGTCAGTGTCATCTGTCTCTGGTACACTACTCTCTTAGCTATCCCAACGATGATCATGAATCTTTTCTCCCAGTTTAAGTATTTTGCCTAAAAGGTAGAGATATAAAGAAGATTTCAATAAGAGCAACGTATCTGATTCAAAGGTTTTACTATTGCTTGCATTCTTTGTTTGTTAATCGCTTGATCCAAAAAGATTCATCCTTTTTTGATCTTATCAATTAAAATTCGTTTAAAAGTAAAACTAGATATAACTAAAAATTCAACTCAATTTCACGGTAGAACAAATCTAGTTTTGCCCCCAAATATAGAACAACAAGATAAGTTGAAAAAAACAAAATAATAAATTAACAAAGATCAAACGATAAACCCATTAAAATACCTAATTAACAAAACATACCAAAATAGTTATGTCCGGTCTAATTCACCGGTGGCAAATTAGTCTGAAACTTACTAAATATAACCATTTATTTTACTGCATAATTAAGCATATATAAAACTAAAACTCACCTCCCTCCTCCTCATCAAAACTAATCCACCACCCGGTGTTCAAATCACAAACACAAGAACGTATATATATTACACAATATATACGTTTCCGTGTAATATATTACACACGCACACGATGTCTATCAATCCCTACATCACCTTCCTCGGGACTATCTTCGTCCTCCTTGCCACCACCTCAAGCCAAAGCGTGGCAGCATTGGGCCTTCCTCTCATCGACCCATGCACGGTGTCGGATTTCCCAGCATTGTGCAGAGGCACCATCAAGGGTCAAACGAATGTGAACGCGGCAACGGATATGGCCATAAGGGAGCTGATGAAACGTACGAGGCAAGCCAAAGAAATCGCCGAGAAAGAGCTGAAACGTGAAGGAGGAGTCGCGACTTGTTTGTCCAACTTCAATAGCGCGTTTGACAATTTGGACAAGGCCCTTAAGAACATTAAGGAGAATGATGCTTTTAGCCTTAACATTAACCTTAGCGCTGCGTTGACAGACTACGATTCTTGCAGCGACGCGATGAAGGAGACTCGGGAGGTTAACGTCGTTTATAAATCCGCAGGAGTTTTGTACCAAATGGCTGATAATTGCTTGGCGCTCTCTACCCTCGTTAAACAATGATCAAGAACTTGGAGATTTCGAAGAAAAACAAGAAAACGTTATTATGGGTTTATTTCTTTGTTATTATATTTCTTTAATTTAATTTAAGTTCACTTAAAAACAAGAAAAAGAGCAATGAAAAAAAAAAGAGAGGAAGATCATGTGTGTGTGTGTGTGTATCGAGATGAAAAATGTAATTTTGGACACCGGGTTCTAATTTCAAACATGTCAAGTTCTGTTAATTTATGTCTTAAATGTTTCATTCGTATATAGTTAGAAACTGATCTACTTCTTTTTTTTCTATCTTTTTTTTTGAGGTTCTGATTTTGTAGGTTAATTTTGGGAGGAAACAAGCATATTAAACCTTAGGAATTGTTCAAAATTTCTCCATGATCAAATAGGTTAACTAAAAATGTGGAGGAGGGAGTTCGTATTTAAAAATCCTTAAAATGGTAGATATCACAAGTTCAATGTTGTTATCTTGAAATATATAAGTACGTGTAATCTTGAATCTGTGCAGGCTGTAATATATTGTTTTCATGGTTACATGACCAATGGACAACTCATAAAGAAGCTTCATGATGATGTACCCTAAACAAAGTTCATGCATGGTCCGAACAATAACGTCCCAAACCTTACACGCCGCTTTTGTAAATCATGTCTCATCATATCACAGTTAATAACTCCAACGCCGAATCGTACTTTGTTTTCATACTGTATACACTATAGTCCATAACGATCTTAATTAACTTAGATATATACTTACTGGTATATACTATATAGTGGTATGGATCGAAATCAAATTTGGAAAAAAGCTGAGCTCTTGAGTCTTGAGGCTACTTTAGAGACACTATCATTGCTCTTACATCAAACTGTTTCCATTCTCCTTTTGATAGCTTTTTAATGTTCATCTTTAATTTTCTTCGCTTTTTCTCTTTCCCTATCAAATTGATGATTAAAATGTTACGTTTTTTATGCATAGTTGATAGGATTCGATTCTTTTGAAGGCATTGCTAAGTTAAAACAAAATCTTCGTTTGGTCAACTTTGCTCTGTAATTTATATTTATTGTTTTGGTAAAAAGGAAAGTAATTAATGAGGAAAAAAAATGATTGGAAGGAACATTCATAATTAACGCAGCTAATCATGTATTTTTCTTGAATAATGAAATTAAATATAGAAATCCAAAGGGCAACATTACATGTTTGCATGCTTTGGGGTCTCAATCATTCCCTCGATTTAAAAGACTGGACAATATCATTCGAACAAATACACTCTCGAGGTCCATATCTCACACTTTGTACTTGTCTACTTGTTTCATTATGAACGATTCTTCTAAGCCAAATTACATAAGTTTAACATTTGTAAATAGTTAATTCTAAAAAAAAAAAGGTGAAAATTGGTCCACAGATTTGACAAACACAATAATCAAACCACTTGCTTTTTATTTGGTTGTCTAATGGAAATATTTCAAGTGGACGATGAACTTCCATAGATGATGGACTCGGAGCCAAAAAATCCAACATATCAGCTATGCATCTCAAGTAGTAGTAGTACTATACTTAACGAAACTTATGACTTATCTCTTTTTGTGTCCAACTGTCCATATAATGAATATATGTTCATATATATTGGCCTATAGTTTTATAAAATGTTATTAGCTAACTAATGTGGATAGTTATGTTTTTTTTTCTAAATGAGTTTATATAATAATTAACGAACGTGCTCTTGTCTTGGAGTTTGGATGTTGGAGCCTATGAGTACTTCATGCATGTATATGAGTATATCCTTGTAGGTTTGTTTAGTCACATGAAACTTCATGCTTTACGGATCATTGTACCCAATTGCTTGAGATTTATGAGGAAATTCTATAATTAACTAAAATAATTTGGGACGTTTACAAAAAAAAAAAAAAAAAAAAAAAAAACTAAAATAATTTGGGACAAAGGACAATTAATGTACCCTTTGGTATATTCAAGAGAAATCGAACAACACATACGTACCAAAATTAATTTGACAAAAATGTTGGATTGGATAGTTAAAGTAGCTGGATATTCAAAGATGTGGAAAGTAGAAACAGAATTTTAACTTTAAAGTTTGAGAATAGCTGAGAGAATCAAGATTTAAAGTTTTCAACTTTCATCTTTCAAACCAAATCCAAGTTTTACCACAAAATTAAGTACTTTTTTCACAAAAACGATAAAGCCGCATCAAAATCTCTTCTCTTCTTTTCATCATTTAATATAATACTGCCCCCAAAACCCTAAATAAAATATTCAACACCATGCCATGATTTCATCACTACCCTTAGTATTTATATCACCTTGTTTGTGTAAACCCACATGCTCCAAAACCTTTCTCAACAAAGAATTTTATTAATTTACGCTACGTATATACTCTACTGTAATTCATTAATTTTTGAGGGGTGAGTTTGATTCATTAACTCTTGGATCTTTGGGTTGGGGTCTAGGTTTTCTTAGAGAAGTGACTTTATGTCTTTAATGGGTTTGTTGAAAGATGTGTCAGTGACATGAAGAAGACGAACAACAACACTAAGCTTGCAATAAATGTTTTGCATTCATCTTCATTACACAACACCACCACACAAAACAGTGTTTTCATGATACTCTTCTGAAAAAGTCAATACCGTGAAAAAGAGGAGTCTCTTCATCAGCCATTACAATGTCTTCTTCTTGCTTGATGATCTTCATTTTCATCCTCTTACTCTGTCTCTTGTCTTCCTCTGCTTCTGCACCAAATTCGACATCCGAGACTGTGACTCTCCGGCCACAAAGAGAGATTCAGAAGCTGAAATACATCAGAAAACAGCTAGAAAAGATCAATAAACCAGCCATCAAGACCATTCAGGCAAATCCAAACTCTTAAAATGTTTATTTCTTCTATATATCTAAATAAAGTTATGAATCTTCTTCTAATGTTCTTTTAACTTGCAGAGCTCAGATGGAGATAAGATAGATTGTGTTCCATCTCATCACCAGCCTGCTTTTGACCATCCTTTGTTACAGGGACAAACACCAATGGTACTCACATTTTCTTGTTATTCCTATAATTCTTTTCATCTCAAAAAAAAACAAAATGTCTCTAAAGCTTTCTCAACATGTTTAGGATCCACCGGAGATGCCCATAGGACATCATAGCCAAGAAAACGAATCCCACGAAAATTTTCAGCTTTGGAGCTTATCCGGTGAGTCTTGTCCGGAAGGTACGATTCCGATCAGAAGAACGACGGAGCAAGACATGTTAAGAGCAAGTTATGTCCGTAGATTTGGTCGGAAAATAAGGCGCGTGAGAAGGGATTCGAGTAGTAACGGCCACGAGGTACGTATCATTATGTTAATGAACTTTATCATAAAGTCAAGACGTTTAATATACTTTTCTTAATTAATTATTTTTACAAAACATATAGATAAATACATAATAATACCAAAAACCACCTTTCTCGCAAATCTTTGCAATGCCATAAACAGAATTTTATACTTGTCAGAGTGAATATTATTCTTTGCTCGAATCGAAAAAAAGAAATTAAGAAAAATAAATATCTAGTTACAACTTTTTTTTTTCATTTCTCGATATACAAATTGTAATCTTTTATGGACATATATAAATTTTTGTAGCATGCGGTTGGATACGTATCGGGAAGTCAATACTACGGAGCAAAAGCAAGTATAAACGTCTGGTCGCCACGTGTCACAAGCCAATACGAGTTTAGTCTTTCTCAGATTTGGGTCATCGCCGGTTCTTTCGCCGACGATCTTAATACCATCGAAGCTGGTTGGCAGGCACGTGCCATCATCATCCATCACCTCCTTATTTATTATTGCATATAAAACTAACTGTTTTATTGTAATGTGTTATTTGTATCTCTTGTATTTACTTGATTAAATGTTCCTAAACTTGGTTCTGATTTTGTATGACAGATTAGCCCGGAGCTATACGGAGACACTAACCCAAGATTCTTCACCTATTGGACGGTATATATAAATTTATTTCATCCAACTTCAAAACATTACTCTAAGCGTTATCTTTTCTCTACAGTTGATTAAAATGCTACATTTGTTTTTCTTGCAGTCGGATGCCTACCAGGCAACAGGATGTTATAACCTATTGTGCTCTGGTTTTGTTCAAACGAACAATAGAATCGCGATTGGAGCGGCGATTTCACCCGTTTCGTCGTATGAAGGCGGACAATTCGATATAAGTTTATTGATATGGAAGGTAATTCATTATATATATCTAACTGATTTAGTTTCATCATATACTTAAAACTTAGACTTCTCTTCTTTTTTATATATAACCACTTAGTTTACGTTAAATCTTTTGTCTAGATCCTAATCTCATTTGGTGGGGGCATAAAGAAGGCCCTTAACTTGAGTTTTGAGCACTCAAGTGCCTTACCAAATGATTATTACATGCACGTCATACTAATTTAATAGAATTGTCTCTTAACAATTTAATTCAAATTTAATATCTCCCTTGAATCATACGACTACTTTTCATTAAAACCATGCACATGGCTTATTTATCAAACCTTTGCACGGTCAACACAGCTCACTCATCTTTTACATGTACGTATGTATGATTTATTTCATCTTTGATCATTTAGGACCCAAAGCATGGACACTGGTGGCTTCAGTTTGGGTCGGGTACACTAGTTGGGTATTGGCCGGTATCATTGTTCACACATCTGAGAGAGCATGGGAACATGGTCCAGTTCGGGGGCGAGATCGTGAACACACGACCAGGTGGTTCACATACTACAACTCAAATGGGTAGTGGCCATTTTGCCGGTGAAGGTTTTGGAAAAGCGTCTTACTTTAGGAATCTTCAAATGGTAGATTGGGACAACACTCTTATTCCGATATCTAATCTTAAAGTACTTGCGGATCATCCGAATTGTTACGACATAAGAGGAGGAGTAAACCGGGTTTGGGGTAACTATTTTTACTACGGAGGACCGGGTAAAAACTCGAAATGTCCATAGAGAAAAAAAAAAGTCAGTAGTGTTTTTGAGCATACGTAGATGAGAATTTTTTTTGGGATTGTGAGGGACGGCTCAGGACAAAGATCCGGAGATTTTTTTGTTGGTTGGTAAGAAAAGAAACGTATCGATTGATTAATATGTTATCAAATATGTAAATTTATAATATGAAAATGTTAAAATTGGGGTGATAAATTTTCCTACGTCTGTCTTTGTATCTTACTATCTATATATGCATGACTGAAAGAATTTATAACAAATAATATACAAACTGACTAATGTGGTTTACACTACTTAACACGAAACGAATCAACATCCCAAATAATTTTGCAATCGGAGAAATGAGAAAAATATATCACTACTGGTTTATAGAATTGGAAACACTACATATGAAGCTATTTGTCTAATTGTCTCTCATGCATGATGCATGCGCCATGCTATCAAACTTTAATATAGTTATGGTTTATTTACACTGAACTAACTAAAACAGGGAAAAAGGTATTACAGATAATTTTGGACAAAGTTTTGCAGCAGGTTGCTTATCATTTACGGTATAAATAGAATTTTGACTTTATAATGACATTTATTTATTTATTTATTCTACTATATATTGATATGATTAATCTTTCAACAAGATAAATACAGATCAAAATCAAATCATTATAGAAGAAGATTACATCGAGATAATTGGACCCTAGGAGCTTATAGGAAGACAGAAGAATCTATCATCTGAAAATGTAAGTAATCGATATTTTGTTCCTTGTATCTATTTTTGCTTTCTGACCTCTTCTTCTTGTATTCCGATTTAAATCCTTTTTTTTTGTGTCCCAATCATCAGTTCTCTCTTCATCCATCAGTTGATATACCATATCTCTTAGTATGGAATTGCTACCCAACGATGTGTTTGAGCAAATCCTAGAGAGACTTGCGGTGAAACCTCTCCTTATAATCAAGTGTGTATCGAAACAATGGAGATCTACAATAGAATCTAGAAAATTCCAAGAAACACAGTTGATCCGTAGGCAATCACATGATCAACCAGATATCCTTTTCTTGTCCGTGTCTGATGAAACTGTGGCTTATCTACTGTGTAGAATCTCTAAAAACGTTAGTGGTTGGGTCATCAGTTTAACATCTAAGTCAAGTTCTTATATTCTCTCTTATTTCCAGAGTTTGATATCTATATTGTAAAAGTAGCGTGCATCATTCATTGCGTGTTTGTCTATAAGAGTCGACTAATTTTGAATGATACGACGACTATACTCTCTCACTCGCAAAGAAATCTATCAAGAAGCTTCTAGGCTAGTCTTTACCACAGCCGCACAGGCTTGACGTTGACTATAACATGCTTATAGTCCTAGAGAATTCAAAACAAAATAGTCCATATCAAATTGCCATTCATGGAAGAAACATATAAGAAGCGTGGACGGGTGTGACTAATGTGGTCCACAAAAAAATAAACTTATTGGAAATTTCACGAAACATGAAGAAGGCTACTTGGGAAACTTGTATGTATACTGTATAGTATATTTGACTTGACAGTTCAGCCACTACCTCCTACTTATACCAACCAAACGTTACTCTTTATATAAAATTTACGTTTAAAACAGTTCACCATATCTATCTCTCGATGGAACCCACTTTATTTCCCCCAAAACCATACACGTTTCTTCTACACACAACTACACAAGAAAGCATCAACCACGAAACACACAGTTTTGACAGTCTTTGTTTTTTTTCGAGATTTTTCTTATAAAAACAAAAAGAGAAAATAAAATTGAAGTGTGCGTTTTTCATTGGTCCGTAAACAGAGCTTGTTTTCATGCGTAAGGGGGAACGAGAAAGTTGTGTGTTTGTGAGCCAAAAGAAAAACAAAAACCCATTTGTTTCACACAGAGAAGAGAAGAGAAGAGAAGAGAAGAGAAGCAAACGAAGAATCATCTTTTGCTTTATTAGGGTTTTTACTCATCCTGATTCAATGTTGATACAGAGCATTATCCTCTGTTTTTGACTCGTTTTTTTCTTCTTCTTTATTTCCTTCTTTTACGCTACTTTCTTAGAATTGGGTAGTCCGTAGAATCAGGAATTGGAATTTGGTTCATCTCCATTGTGAAAAATCAGATTTTGATTACTGGGTTTTGATTTGATTTACCCCTGGGTAGTGTTAAAGAGACGAAAGATTTGGGTTTTGGGTTTTTGGTTAAGAAGGATGATTCCGTCGTTGATGGTATCAGCTATACAAGTTGCAGAGCTAACAGTGAGCTCTGTTGTTCATATGGTATATGGGCTTTACATATTCAGCTCCGCCGTCGCCGGAGATCTTACGCAGTCGTTGAGTCAATCCATCTTCAAGCCTAAAGCTACTGTTCAAGTCAAACGAATTGACCAAGAAAAGACAACAGTCGTCAATGATTTGCCTCCCATTGTTTTGGTTCATGGGATTTTCGGATTTGGCAAAGGAGTAAGTTCAAAAGTATCTTTTCTCCTACTACACATGCAAAGGGGTTGTTTTTTGGTTCGTTAATTGGATTTGCCATTGCAGAGATTAGGTGGTTTATCATACTTTGCTGGAGCAGAAAAGAAGGATGAGAGAGTGTTGGTGCCTGATTTGGGATCTTTGACTAGTGTACACGATAGGTGAAAGAGAAAGTTCCAAACTTTTTTTGGTGGATTTTGTTATGAGATTTTTAGTCTCAGGGTGGATTTTTCTGATTAAGGATGTGTGTGTTTGTGTAGGGCAAGAGAACTGTTTTATTACTTGAAAGGTGGGTTAGTTGATTATGGTGAAGATCACAGTAAAGCTTGTGGGCACTCTCAATTTGGTCGTTTTTATGATAAAGGTTTTGACTTTTATGTGTTCACTTTATTCATGTTTCTTGAGTAGACTTAAGATTCACTCTTTTTCTGATGAACTATTGATTAACTTTAGGGGAATACCAAGAATGGGATGAAGATCATCCTATTCACTTTGTTGGTCACTCTGCTGGTGCTCAAGTTGTTCGTGTGTTGCAGCAAATGCTTGCTGACAAGGTAAATTGCGTGTAAATTACTGAACATCGAATCGATCAGTCGAGCAGGGTTTGTTTGTGTTGTTTAACTTCTTTTCTTGTGTTGTGTTGTTATCAGATGTTTGAGGGTTATGAGAATACAAATGAGAATTGGGTGTTGAGTTTAACATCGTTGTCAGGAGCTTTAAATGGGACTACTCGAACCTACATTGATGGAATTCAGTGAGTTTTCTCTCCCTTCTGTTAACTTCTTAGCTAAATATTGAACGATTTATAATCCAAAATGTGTAAATCATTTTCAGGCCAGAGGACGGGAAGTCCCTAAAACCTATATCACTGCTTCAGATTTGCAAAGTTGGAGTCGTAATGTATGACTGGATCGACATTCCTTGGCTCAAATCCTACTACAATTTCGGGTTCGACCATTTTAACATGTCGAGAAAGAAGATAGGTTTTCGTGGTCTAGTCGATTGCCTTCTTGGAAAAGCAGGCCCATTTGCATCATCTGGAGATTGGATATTACCTGACCTCTCGATCCAGGGATCGATGAAGCTCAATGCTCATCTGCAGACTTTCCCAAACACGTTCTACTTCAGCTATGCGACTAAACGTACTAGAAAACGTCTTGGGATGATGACAGTTCCTTCAGGTGTGATGGGAATTCATCCTCTACTTTTCATTCGAGTGTTGCAGATGAGTCATTGGCGATTTCCTCGTGACATTCCCCTGCCTTATAAAGGCTACATGTAAATTCCTTTGGACTTTACATCATCACTTAGAGCTAAACCATACAATATACTAATCTCTGTTCAAATCGATGTGTTGCAGAGATGAAGATTGGCAGGACAATGATGGAGCACTGAACACTATATCCATGACTCATCCACGAATTCCCGTTGAACATTCTAGTCTCACTCTTAGCAGTGAATCAGACTGTCTCCCACTACAACCTGGCATTTGGTTAGTACTCTTCTAGATGTAACCATTACATTTAACCTGGATTAGAGTTTTCTTGGAGATTCAGACAAAGATAAATAGGCTTACTGGGTTTCCTTGAATGTTTCAGGTACTACAAGATAGTGGAGGCAGATCATATTATGTTCATTATAAACCGAGAGCGAGCAGGGGTGGAGTTCGATTTGATCTACGACAGTATCTTTGAGCGGTGCAGGAAACATGTATTCAGGAAGGTTCAACAGACATTGCCGAACGAAGCTCAACACCAGTCAAGGGGAGACCAAGAAGATTAGAGAGACCAAACTATGATCAACTAATGTATAGCTCTGTTTGTAACAACAAGAATTCCAAAGCTCAAGATTGATGTCATGGGCTTAGATATGGCCATATGGGTTTCCATTAGTTTGAGTCCTAACTATGACCCAGCGTCTTAAGATCCAAACCAAAAAAATTGCTGGATTAGGATTTGTAATTGACAGTGTTCACTATTTATGATAACATCTCATTCGAAGATTAATAAAAAGTTTAGGAAATTGGTTTTGGCAGACCAAAGTTTCACTTGGATACTGTACGTACCAAGGGACATGTCAAACATCTTTTTCCCTATGCTTCAGTATTGGTCCATCTAAATCATAGATGTTCGATATGGTTGCCTCTAATTACGTGAGAGTTGAGACGATAGTGTCCAAGTTTGTTTTTCGTTCGTTGCGTCGTATCTCGCATGCGTAAAAGCTTGCCTAGTTTTGACGTTTTAAAGCATGCAATAAAGTGAGTGCATGTAAAGTGAGTGACGTTTTAAACTTCAAATAATTACTATCAAATCTTAAAGAATATCTTTGGACTTAAATACCCATCGATTCCTTCTTCATTCTTTAAGTTGTTGTTTTGATTCATATCACTATAACCGTATAACGTATATACATACATTGTAACGGCGGTGCTATTTATGATCCCAAAGGACCCAAACTATGTGATAATTTATTTCTAATATATATTTATGATAATATTAATAATAATTGTAATTTTTATGATATACTATAATTATATATTTAATAACATGAGGATGTTATGAGTCATTTACATGTATTCGAATTAATAAGTAAAATTAATTTTAAATAGTAACTTTAATGTTATATCTTCTTTGTCAACAACTTATTTTCGCGTTCAAATTTAAATATTTATATTATCCAATAACGGCGCTAACAAATACAAAATAACGGCGCTTACAAATAAAAAAATAACGGCGTTGATATAATTGCATTAACAAATAAAAACTGGCGGCGCTAATGTCTTTTTAGATACGGTTTGATATAACATTTATGTGACACAATAACGGCGTTGTTTATATCTAAATACGTACAAAAAAAATATGTTTGAAGTTAGAATAGTTTTGTCGAATAGAAGAATATATATATTAACTAAATATGAGAGGTCTAAAAGCTAGAATTACTAATGCTAAATTCTAAATTAAAATTTAATATTTTGAATAAATTCTGTCAATCCACATTTACATTTACACTCAACAATTTTTATCAAGTTTGTATTCTATAAAAATTACATAGTTCTATATATCTTAAATACATCAACAAAAATATCTTAACTAATTAGTCCAGATTCTATGTAAGAACAAATAAGGGAAGTGAAAGCAGAAAGATTTAACTCAACACGTGGGAACATAATGCTGGAGCTAATCCTCTGTTCTTATCTTCTACGTGAAAGGTATATGACTTCGAAAACCTGTTAAATACATCCTTAAACAGTAATTAAATAAAATAAAGTATCCACATAAGATTCTATTGACCAGATTTCCCCTTGCCTAAATTGGTTATGTATCTACACAACTAGGATAGATTCTTTATGACATTTGGCGTAGTTAGGAGGATGAACATAAATTATGAGATAACATATTGACCCAAAAGTGTTAAATGAGTAAATGTGATATTGACTACAAAAGTTGGAGCATACGTGTATGTTTCTACAGCTGACAAGTGACAAGATACAACACAAATCTTTTACTTTACCTTTTCCATTTATTGGAGTTAATTGGCTTTACCATTTTGTTATAAATAGGCTCCATACGAGTTTCTAATCATAAAACATTATTACATGCATCTTGTTACATTAGCCAGCAACAGAGTAAACAAGGAGATGGAAAAGATGATTGCGTTTGGAAACTCGAAGAAATCAGACAGCGATTCCAACAAGGACAACAAGTCCTTGTCAGATGGCGTCATCAATCTTGATCAGTATGTGTTTTCATTTCTACCAACAACATCTCACTTTTGTTGCATAAACGAGCCACTCAAAGTCAATTTAATTTTTGTTAAATTGTTTTCTTTAGTTTTTATTTGTTTTAAGACTTTTGTGATCGACACATATATTTTGATGAAAACGCTACTACAAAATGTTATTTCATATTTGAATAAGAATACTCTTAAAACGTCTTGACGTAGATTTTGATGATAAAATTTTGAACGAAGAGATTAATTTGCTTGTGTTCTTTTTTGCAGGGGAGATCCAACAATGTTCGAAGAGTATTGGATGAAGATGAAGGACAGGTGTACGGTGGTGATACCAGCATGGGATCTGATGAGTTACTTCAGCGATACGAAGAACGTGTGTTGGTTCCTAGAGCCAGAGCTTGAGAAGGCGATCAAGGCGTTGCATGGTGCGATCGGTAACGCAGCTACCGAGGAACGCTACATCGTGGTTGGGACTGGCTCGTCACAGCTTTGCCAGGCCGCTTTGTTTGCACTTTCGTCGCTATCTGAGGTCAAACCTGTCAGCATCGTTGCAGCGGTTCCTTATTACTCCGTAAGCCTTCACTTAATCCTTGTATTTCCGTAACCATCAAGTTGGTTTGGTGTAGATGTTTGAGATATTCAGAAATCAGAAAGCATTCTTATGTTAGGGTTGCGAAGTATGTGACATATATATACATCGTCCCAAAAAACCAAAATAATCCTTGCTATGAATTTTGAATTACGCTCAATATGTTTGTTTTATTATAGACATACGTGGAGGAGGCGTCGTATCTTCAGTCGAAGCTATACAAATGGGAAGGAGACGCAAGGACCTTCGACAAAGAGGGACCGTACATAGAGATGGTGACATCACCGAACAACCCTGATGGGACCATGAGAGAGCCGGTGGTGAACCGTAAGGAGGGTGGGAAAGTGATCCATGACTTCGCCTATTACTGGCCACACTACACTCCCATCACTCGTCGTGAAGACCAAGACCTTATGCTCTTCACCTTCTCCAAGATCACCGGCCACGCTGGGTCACGTATTGGGTGAGTGAGACTAATTACTAACCCACATTATAACATTAACAATGTGTGTGAATATGTTTTCTTTTTGCCGAACATAATCAAGATTTGTTATAGATTTAATGAATATGTATATTTTGTTTTGTGAGTGAAGGTGGGCGTTAGTGAAGGACATAGATGTGGCTAAGAAGATGGTGCAGTACTTAACTGTGAACTCCATTGGTGTGTCGAAGGAGTCACAAATTCGAGCCACCAAAATTCTCAACGAACTGACCAAAACCTGTCGAACACAGTCGGAGAGCTTCTTTGAGTATGGCTACGAGAAAATGAACTCACGGTGGGAGAGGCTACGTGAGGTAGTCGACTCCGGTGACGCGTTCACCATCCCTAATCACCCTCAAGCCTTCTGCAACTTCTTTGGCAAAACCATCTCCTCTGCTCCTGGTACGTACTTAAAACTACAAACCCATGCATTTTTGTGTTAGATTTGAAACGGTCGTTAACGGTTTTTGGTTGTTGTTTGCAGCGTTTGCGTGGTTGGGGTTAAAAGCGGAAAGAGATCTCGGAAGCCTCTTGAAGGAAAATAAGGTTTTGACGAGAGGAGGGGACCGATGTGGCTGTGCCAAGAAGTACGTCCGTGTCAGCATGCTTAGCCGCGACGACGACTATGACGTCTTTCTCCATAGACTCGCCACCATCAAGGATCTCAAATGCATTGAGCCTTGAGCTCTTTTATTTAATATCTTGTAATGGCTTTAATAAACTTGTTTCGGTTATGTTAAGCATTATAATTTAGTTTATCTTATAATAATAAAACTAATATTGGTTTTACTCGTTAAGTGCCGTTAAAACAAACAAAAAAAAATGATTTTTTAGCCGCCATGATGATTTTTTAGCTGCCATTATGACTTAAGTCACCTTATTAATTCCAATAAAACAAAATCAATGAAAAAAAATGAATGGCAAATTGAAAATATTGATTTTACACCTTCCCGGCCTTATTTACATTCTTCTATGATATCTAATTTTCGAAGAATTTTGAATCTGCAATTAGTCAATTGGTTATGTAATCTTTAAAAGTTTATAATCGTCTAATGACTTCTAAATTCAATGTTAATTCGGTATAATGCATGAAAATGAGACTACAATACTCATTCTCTCAAATCATCAATCAAAAAAAGACTTACACAACACAATATGTGCTTCGAGTCTCATAATTATTCGGGTTAAGATTCAAATCCGGCCTTATGGGGGTTTCCCATGTTTTCAAAGTGGTTCTCATCATTTCTTCCAGGAACTTGTTTATTTGTTAGAGAAAAAGTTAAAAAATTGGTTAAGTTAGTATGTCATTATCTATAAAATAAAAAAAGATGTTACAACGAATTCAACAAAGGCAGGTTTAGCAGACTTAAACAATAGTATGAGTTATCAAAATTGAATTGTTGAATCCAATTTTGAGCATAGCTAAGCCTTTTGAGAGTACGAGGAGCCAGAGCCAAAGAGGCCCAAGACAGAAGAAAACACAAAACCAGCGTCTAAAAAAGGATGAAAACAAAACCGAAGGGATACGTGGGTCAACCCTATAGGTCGTATCCCAAAACCATGAAGAAGTGACAAATTTTACAATCTTTTCGTTTGGAAATCTCCACCACACTTTTATTCTTTTCAAATTTATCTGTTTCCTTTTATTTTATTTTTTTTAATTCCAAGAACGGTCTTCGTAGCATAAAATTGAGACACGGCGGATAGATATTGTGGAACTGACTTTTGTCTGATAAATCGTTTTTTCAGTGGCTATGCTGCTTCCTTTGTTGTGAAGCCACTTGATTGGATTGAGGAATGCTCCAAATCCATGTCAGACACACAATTGTAATCTGCTAGACAAGTATTTTTTTTTAAATCACACACACACTCTTTTCTCTGCCCTTGGCTCTGGAACAGAACGTGACTCTCCAGATAGACTTTTTTTTTTGGAGTCACAGCATTGAGTTTTAAGGTTTGTGATTTAGTTTTTCTTTCTTTTTGGATCGATCATTTCTCAAATTCTTCTCCTTTTCAATGATTCTGCAAAACCCTTTTGTAAAGGCGTCACCTTTTTTTTTTGTTCCTTTACGATTATGAATTTGTTCTGGAGAATGAGCTTCAGATTTTGGGTTTTGTGATTCATTAATTAGGGATTTTTAGGGACATCTGCTATCTTCATCCAATCTGGCTTTCTGGTTCCAGTTGCTGATGTAAACTTAGATGAACTCTGTCTGACACAAGTTTTTTTAATTCCCAATTGTAGAGGAGAGTGTTGATAAGGTTGAAGTTGAGCTAGTGTTTTGCTTTAGAGTGAAATATAATGGCTATCAAGGCATTAGACTACGATACTCTGAATGAAAACGTCAAGAAGTGTCAGTATGCCGTCAGAGGTGAACTCTATCTCCGAGCTTCTGAGCTTCAGAAAGAAGGCAAAAAGGTAAATCAGTTTTGACTTATCTTGTGCCTTTACATCTGAACAAGGAGCTTTAGATAGACATGTGGTTCCTTGTTGGTTTTGGACTTTGATATGCATCTGCTATTGTGATCTTAGCACTTGATTTGTCCATAGTTATTGGCAGTTCCTAACTTTGGGATAAATATTAAATAACAGATTATTTTCACCAACGTTGGGAACCCTCATGCTTTAGGCCAGAAGCCATTGACATTTCCTCGCCAGGTGTGTATAGACAATTCTTAGACAGAGAGACTCAAATCTAAGTTGAGCCTATATAGTAAAAAGAATCAACCATTTGCAGGTGGTTGCGCTTTGTCAAGCTCCGTTTCTACTAGATGACCCGAATGTTGGAATGATATTTCCAGCTGATGCTATTGCAAGAGCTAAACATTATCTTTCCTTGACTTCAGGCGGTTTAGGTATGACCTTATGATCCCCATCTATGATTTGTTTATTAGTGTTGATCATCAGAAAAGCTAGTTATATTGCTTTTTCTGTTTCATTAGGTGCCTACAGTGACTCAAGAGGCCTTCCAGGAGTAAGGAAAGAGGTTGCTGAGTTCATTCAACGGCGTGATGGGTATCCAAGGTGATTGCTTTCATTTCAGTGTTTTCTTGCATCATGAAATATATTTTGTTGTAGAAACAGACCCAGCTTAGGCTTTCTGCTTCTATATGTACAGTGACCCAGAACTCATATTTCTCACTGATGGAGCTAGCAAAGGTGTGATGCAAATCTTGAATTGTGTTATACGCGGTGATGGAGACGGGGTATGCTCTGTCCCAGCAGGTCTTTCTACTGTGATGTACCCCTGAAATTTCATTTATAAGTGTTTTTTATTTTATTTTTCTGTTTGGCAGATTCTAGTTCCGGTTCCACAGTATCCCCTCTACTCAGCTACCATATCACTTTTAGGTGGTACTCTTGTTCCTTACTATCTTGATGAGTCTGAAAATTGGGGACTTGATGTTAATAACCTTCGACAATCCGTTGCTCAGGCTCGTTCGCAAGGGATAACAGTAAGCACTAAGCACTCTTATTCCTTCTACTCTTGCAATTATAGATGATGCAGTTAGCATAGATGCATATGTCATTCTTTCCCCAGTTACAATTTCTTTTTGAATGGGTATACAGGTAAGGGCAATGGTGATCATTAACCCTGGGAACCCGACTGGTCAGTGTCTAAGTGAAGCTAACTTAAGAGAGATATTGAAGTTCTGTTATAACGAGAAATTAGTTCTTCTGGGAGACGAAGTTTATCAGCAAAACATATACCAGGATGAGCGTCCCTTTATCAGCTCCAAGAAGGTCAGCTTCTATCTTTGCCTTCATGCTTCTGAAACTTGTGCCTAATTTGTGATCCTTCATCTGACTTTATCATTCTTTAAAAATTCAAAGGTTTTGATGGATATGGGTTCGCCATTCAGCAAGGGAGTTCAGCTTGTATCCTTCCACACCGTCTCTAAAGGATATTGGGGAGAATGTGGACAGCGAGGTGGATACTTTGAGATGACCAATATCCCTCCCAGGGTTTGTCTTGAAGCTCTGTTTAAACCTCTGTGTAGTTAGTTATGTTATGTGCCCTGTGTCAAACATAAACATAATTTCTGGTTTTTGCAGGTTGTTGAGGAGATATACAAGGTTGCATCAATTGCCCTCAGTCCCAATGTCTCTGCGCAGATCTTTGTAAGTGAAAAGACTTCATGAAATGTGGATTTGATTTTGTAGAAATCGTTAGTATGTTCTGAGAGTGATATGGCCTGTGTAGATGGGTTTGATGGTTAGTCCTCCAAAGCCTGGAGATATTTCATATGACCAGTTTGCCCGTGAAAGGTATACACAAAAGCTTCAACACACTCATGATAGCTGATCATAATGCTCAGACTGAATCATTAAATTCTTTTTGAACTATTCTCTAGCAAGGGGATTCTTGAATCACTGAGAAGGAGAGCAAAGATCATGACTGATGGATTTAACAGCTGCAAAAACGTTGTATGCAATTTCACAGAAGGTAGAAACAACACAAAGCAATCAAAGCCGCTCACTTTTAGAATTTTGGATATGGTTCTTGATGATTCTTGTGTAACATGTTAGGTGCAATGTATTCGTTTCCTCAAATACGGTTACCACCGGGAGCTCTCCAAGCTGCAAAACAAGCTGGAAAAGTTCCAGACGTTTTCTACTGTCTCAAGCTCTTAGAAGCCACAGGAATCTCCACAGTCCCTGGCTCTGGATTTGGACAGAAAGAAGGGTAAAGAATCTCCAAATACGATTCCATTCATGCTCTTTTGATATCTTCTTATAAACTTATTCCTCTTTGTGGATTTTGACAGTGTTTTCCATCTGAGGACAACGATCCTTCCCGCGGAAGAAGAAATGCCAGAGATCATGGACAGTTTCAAGAAGTTCAACGACGAGTTCATGACTCAGTATGATAATAACGTTGGTTATTCCAGAATGTGATTACTTTCTCCTTCTTCTGAACAACTATTGTGTTCTGCTATACTTCTTAAAGCTAAATCTCTGTAGTACTCTTTCTATTTGTCATATTCTCTAAACTCTCTCTATCTCTCGTTGTGTCTCTACTTCTATTTTCAATTGGAAACTGATTTAAGATCTTTCTCTCAATGGAATAGAGTTTAGGCAATGGTCTCTTTTTTTTTGTGGTAATATGAAATTTGTAGTTATGCAAATTAAATAATTAATCAAAGAAAAGAAAATAGAATCCTTGTCCAAATTGGAGTTTGTTTTTGATTATGAAAAAACGAAGCCAACTTAATATTTCTTATAATAAAACAATATGATAAATCCATACGTGATAAAGTCGTATAAAACAAACTTTTATAAGATCAAAGTCCAAAGCTATATATGTATTTGTCCTCTATTTATTCTTAATCTTTGCTAACAATTGTTACTTCTCAGTTCTCTGTTTTCGATTTTTTGGTAAGCTCTATGGATATTGAGGGTAATAAGAAGGATAAAGAAGATAGTAGAGAAAGAGAAAGACATGAGAAGAATATGATTCGTAATGAAGAGCAACTGATCAGATTAGTTCTGTCTCCAGTGAAGACGGTTGAGAAGCCAGAAGAAGAAAAAGGAAAGCTAAGCGGAGAAACAACAGAGGAAGAAGAAGGGTACACGACGCCTAAAGCAGAGCAGTTTAGGATTCCACAGCCGTTAGAATGTCCGCCGGCTCCCAAACATCGAGGAGGCTGAGATCTTTCTTCTCTGCCGGCGTCAACGAATAATTTTCAAACTTATGATTTTTCGTTTGCTTTTGGTGCAGCTTTAGGAGTTATGACTTTTGAGGTAGAGATAACAATTTTGTTTGCTTCATACGTTTGTATTTGGTTTTGTTTCGTTTTGGTGTTTTGATAATGTTTGAATATCGTGCATGCATGTGTACGAGTTGTTTCGGCTTCAACTGCGACTAAGACAAAACTCATACACTGGCTTATGCTTATGGATTTAGGTATTGACAAATTAGGACATATCTTACTCTGTTTTTTTTTTTTTTATTGACAGAGATAATTATTATTGTTTATTTAGCAACGAATCAACAATATATTTAGATTTATTTAAAGTAGTTTTTGATAAGAAAATTAATTAGTAATTGTTATTTAAATAATCCTCACTGTTGAATTGGATAGATACCAAATTACTTAGGTCATTAATTCAACTAATTTCAGAAAGTTAAAATTGGGTGGTAAAGTCGATATTATCACTCACAGAAAAGTTTGGAGCATATATAACAATAGTTAGACCTCTTTCATTTTCGTACTCTCCCACAGCATATCTAAATTAAGGAACAATACTAAGATTTTGAAAAGCCAATACTAAGTTTATAGAACCTAACATGATGTATATTGCATTTAAACAAAAATAAATCTTAAAGCAAATATTGCATAGACATAAATATATGCATTATGCATGCATGTCCAAGAAATTACAACAATATCTTTAGTAGCTCGTAAGAACTATGGAAACTCTCAACGTTGATCATGAAGAAGATGATGTCGCCTCGGAAGAAGAACATCGAGCACATACCAAATCCGACACCGACATGCCTCCGATCTCCGATGGTAGAGACTTCCTCCGGCAGTTCGCGGCTGAGTCAAAGAAACTATGGTGGCTCGCTGGTCCGGCGATATTCACATCTTTCTGTCAATACTCTCTTGGCGCTGTCACGCAGATCCTCGCTGGACATGTCAACACGTTGGCTCTAGCTGCCGTCTCCATACAGAACTCAGTCATCTCCGGCTTCTCTGTCGGTGTTATGGTAATTAAGCGTCATTCATTACGTTAATAAAACTTTAACTCATGCATTTTAATTGATCCCCTTAGGAAAAATATAAATAATTAAACGTTAAATCATGCTGTTCTTGTTTGTAACTAACGAATTATTCATATATCGATTTTTACAAGCATATGTATTTGCCAATTATAAACTTTTAGTTATCTTTAAATTTGATATAAAAGCTTGGGATGGGGAGTGCACTAGCAACGCTTTGTGGGCAAGCGTATGGAGCAGGGCAACTAGAGATGATGGGAATATATCTACAGAGGTCTTGGATCATCCTTAACTCTTGTGCCCTTCTTCTTTCCCTTTTCTACGTTTTTGCTACTCCACTTTTGAGTCTCCTCGGACAGTCGCCGGAGATTTCTAAAGCCGCCGGGAAATTCTCCCTCTGGATGATCCCTCAGCTCTTTGCTTACGCCGTCAACTTCGCCACGGCCAAGTTCTTGCAGGTAAAACAATAATCAAAATATACCTTTACCTTGAGATATATTCAACTAGTTTAATTAGGAGACTGTTGATAGGCACAAAGCAAGGTGAATGCAATGGCGATTATAGCGGCAACCGTGCTGTTTCAGCATGCTCTATTGAGTTGGTTGCTGATGCTAAAACTCGGTTGGGGAATGGCTGGAGGAGCTGCTGTACTGAATGTGTCGTGGTGGTTAATAGATGGAGCTCAAATAGTTTACATCTGTGGAGGTTCTTGTGGCAGAGCTTGGTCAGGGCTCTCATGGAAGGCTTTCAAGAATCTCAGAGGCTTTGCAAGATTGTCTCTTGCCTCTGCAGTCATGGTTTGGTGAGATATCAAATTTGGTTTGGAATCTGATTACGGCTCATCATTGTGTAGGTAGTGACTTGGTGTTTTTGGTTTCAGTCTAGAGGTTTGGTATTTCATGGCGTTGATTCTGTTTGCGGGTTACCTCAAGAACCCTCAAGTCTCGGTGGCTGCTCTTTCGATATGGTGAGTTCTATGTCCCTATGAAACTTGTGTTTTGGTTAAGAACGGAATTAACGGTTTGGTTATTTAGCATGAACATATTGGGATGGCCGATCATGGTGGCCTTTGGCTTCAATGCGGCTGTGAGGTACATCACAAAGACTCTATGAGAAAGATTTTTTTTTTTTTAATGATTGGATGATGAAAAATATGTGTTAAATGTGCAGTGTAAGAGTGTCGAACGAGCTTGGAGCTGAACACCCAAGAAGGGCGAAATTCTTATTGATAGTGGCTATGATAACTTCTGTCTCGATCGGAGCTGTGATATCGATGACGCTCATCGCGTTACGAGACAAATATCCAGCAATGTTCTCTAATGATGAAGAAGTGAGAGGACTCGTGAAACAGCTGACTCCATTGCTGGCTCTCACAATCGTCATCAACAACGTTCAGCCTGTTCTTTCTGGTAGTACTTCTCTTGCAACATTAGAAGCCTAAACTTTGAATCAACATTAAGGCCAATGTGAAAAAAGTTAACATTGCTATTCTTTTAAACAAAAGGTGTAGCAGTTGGAGCTGGATGGCAAGGCATAGTTGCATATGTGAACATTGGGTGTTACTATTTATGCGGTATCCCTATTGGTCTTGTGCTCGGTTACAAAATGGAACTTGGAGTAAAAGTATGTATAATCTTCATTTCTAATCGGAAACATGACAAGCTGTGAAGCTGATGTTGGTACACACGAATACAGGGGATATGAACAGGAATGCTAACAGGAACAGTGGTTCAGACATGTGTTCTTCTTTTGATGATCTATAGAACCAACTGGAACAACGAGGTGAAACAATTCTTATTTTTCAAGTACCAGTTTCAGTTTTTACGTATTAATGTTCAGAAATTTACAGGCTTCATTAGCAGAGGCTAGAATAAGAAAATGGGGAGGTGAAACAGAGAGAGTAGAGGAGATTGAAGAGATAAAATGATTCTTTTCAGATGGTGAAAGTGAAAACAATCAAAGGATATGGTCATTGAACAAGACATCATGGATTCGAAATAAACAAAATGGATAACCACAGAGGAAGAACAGTGATTCGCAGATTGATCAAGCTATAACTTTCTCTATAAGAACCTATACACTATAAGCGACATCTAAGTTCAAGGTTTACACATACATCATCCTTAAACACCATCAAACTAAACTTGCATTTTCGAAATAACACGCAGTTGTCTATTGGGAACATTGATGAAACAACTGTAAAAGCAGAGATGAATCAAATATAGCAGTGGGCAACTAACAAAATCAAAAATTCCCAACAACACAGAGCAAAAATATAATCCATTGCCATTGATTAAAAGATCTCTCAATTCCAAAAATCCAACAAAGCAGAGTTCAAAAAGCTTGAAAATAATAATTTAAAAGTGAAGACTTTAATAAACTTTTAAAAACCTAAGCAGTGAGGACGACGGCACCACCAGCTTCCTTAATCTTCTTCTCAGCAGTCTTAGAGATAAGCTTAGCCTTCACGACGAAAGGCTTGTTCTCTGGCAAATGACCTTTCCCCAAAACCTTGAAGAAACCATGCTGCGTCACATCGATCAACGGAACATTGTCCTTGTTCGATTTCGCCTTCACATCTTCGGGCACGAGCGACCAGAGCTTGTCGAGGTTAACGATCGGGCAGAAGAACTTGTTACGGAGCTTGTGGAAGTACCTCATACCGACTTTGCCGAAGTAACCTGGATGGTACTTGTCGAACAGGATACGGTGGTGATGCATACCTCCGGCGTTACCACGACCTCCGGGATGCTTGCGATGCTTTCCGATACGTCCATGACCGGCGCTGACGTGACCTCTCTTCTTCCTGTTCTTCTTCAACGCCGTCGCCATTTTAGGATTTAAGATCTTAGGGATTTGCTGAAATGTGTAGTAGAATGGTTTTTATATAAAACATGCGGCTAGGGTTTTATTAAGGAGAGATACAAAGAAAGGGTTTTGAAGTTTGGGCTTTTTATTAACTTGGGCATCATTTTATATCAGTCCATCAGGCCCAAAATAGTTATCCCTAGTATCATCAAACTGAGTGATTTCGCTACCAATTCGTTCTTTTCGACGACAGTTGATCGCCGCCGTCCTCTAAACCCTAAAGCCTCGCCGAATTCTAAACCCTTTACCAGATTTTTAAGCTTTTCGCCGTGAAAGATGCAGCACGATGAGGTTATATGGCAGGTCATCAGGCACAAGCACTGCAGTTACATGGCCAAGTATGTATTCAAATCGTCACTTATCATCTTTTCAATTTTCATCTGATGTATCTCGATTTTTGTTGATGGGTTTGGGTCTCTTTTGCTTTTTGTAGAATCGAAACTGGAATATTCTGCAGAAACCAATATAATGTAACGGGAATCTGTAATCGAAGCTCTTGTCCTCTTGCTAATAGTCGATACGCCACTATCCGAGACCATGATGGTAATTTTTTAAAAAAATCTGTAAAATTGAATTCAAAAAGAGTCTATCTTTGAGCTGGTTTTGAGTTTAGTATAGTCTAGGATTAGGAGTTTGTTTGCTTGATGTAGTTATAAAGATGGTTCTTTTGAGTTCAGTGTTTTGATGGTCTCTTACAACGGAGTCCTGTCTCTTGTGTTGTTGTTGTTTTCTTTGTAGGGGTGTTTTATTTATATATGAAGACTATAGAGAGAGCTCACATGCCAAAGAACTTGTGGGAGAGAATTAAGCTGCCAAGAAACTATGAGCAGGCTCTTGAAATGATTGACAAACACTTGGTGAGCTGCTTCTGATCACTTCCTTCTTCTTCTTCTTCTATCTTTGTTTATATATTAAGATCTGGGGTTTAATTCTGTTTTTTTTACGTGTGGCAGTTGTACTGGCCCAAGTTGTTGCAGCATAAGGTTAAACAAAGACTGACTAAAATGACTCAGATGCGTATTCGTATGAGAAAACTTGCTCTGAAAACAAGGTCTTTTCCTCTTCTGCTTTTTGTTTGTGGAGTTTGGTATCTTGTTTGATTTACATGTAGCTAGTTCTTTTCTTGTTCTGATTAATTAGTTGGTATTTTTGTTTTCGAATGACAGGGAGACTGTACTTCCTATGCCGAGGAGGCAAATAAAGAGGGAGAAGAGAAGAGAGGAGAAGGCTCTAAAAGCAGCGGTGTTGGATAAGGTCACGATTTGTTGTTTTTGGGTTTATATCTCTGCACATTAGTTCTGAGGTTTTCATGATAGTCCTGGTTCTTTTTTACAGGCCATTGAAACCGAGTTGTTAACTCGTTTGAAGACAGGCATTTACCCTACTGACATATACAATTACCCAGAAGCTGTGTTTAACAAAGTTCTTGATACTGGAAACGAAGTGGAAGAGGAAGTGGAAGAGGTACTTTTGTATATGCGCGTAATTTTGGTAGTAGTCCATCAAACCTATGCAATGTCTTCCTACTGATCTTCTTTTGTTAAAATATATATCTCAGGATGGAGTGATTGAATATGTTGAAGGTGATGATGAACTCGAGGAGGAGTTAGAAGAAGATATAGAAGACTTCTCTGGTTTTCCATCTAAAGAGTCTTACCTTGAAGATGGTGACGATCATGGTAATGCTCATCTCCCTCCTTCTTCTTTCTTTTTCACCATTTAACTAAAATATTGAAGTTCATGCATTTATATCTGGAGAAACTATTCAATCCTTGTAATAGGTTTGAATGCATTTGAGTGTTGATGATAAAGTCAAGGGTTCATTACTACATCATATATAGCTTTTTTTCTTCATATAAATAATTCCAATCATTAAACTCTCTCTACAGACTCAGATGATGAGGATGAGGACGATGATGCTGAAGAGCAAGTTGTGATTCATAAAAAGGGAAGACCTTTAAAGGGGTCTGATGATAAAGGAAAATCAAAGAAGAAATCAAGAGTAGTTGTCGAGGTGAGATTCCACAAGCTTGGCTTTAATAATTCGCAAGCATACTTTTCTCTGCGATTTCAATGTGTTCTTACATATGTGTATGTCTTCCAGGTTGAGCAGGAAGATGGAGCCACAAGGAGTTCCCTGAAAAGCCTCAAACTCTGAGAAAGCTAGTGAAAAAAGTTTTTGATACTTGATTAAAAGGGTAAATCTTTCTTCTTCAGTTGAGAGGCCTTTGGTTTTGTAGAATTTCTACTTCTATCTTGTATAAGCTTTAGTATGTTCTTCTTACATTTAAATTATAAACCATCTATTTTCAAGTTACAAAATTTTGTTACTGAAAACTCGAAAACAAGAGTCCTTATGTTATGTATCAACAATGTTTTTATTTTTGGGAAAGAAACTCTTTCGAAGATATATAAATAAGTCAATTTTACAGTTATACTACATAGATAAATGAAGTAAATAATATATAATTACAGTTGACTAACAAAACATGAAAATTGGACAATTAACAATTTTTAAACAGAGAAAGAAATGGACATTGAATAGAAAAGATTAGTAAGAATCAATAGACAGCAATTAATATGAATAAAGCATGGTTTCACCACTTAAACAAACAGCACGCATGAATTAGCCCTTGTGTGGGAGAAGGAATCATAGTCTTCTATATATAAGTTATAACCAACGAAGATGTCAAGATTTATCTCTGGTAGAGACTACGATTCAGCTGTGGAGGATCTGCTTTCACAAGCTAAAGATCTCTACGTTATTGAACAAGTCGCCAAAATCAACTGCGCTGGCTTCACCGACGACTCTGCTCCTCCCACTAATCTTGAAACCCGTTTACGTCGTCTCAAGTCTCTTCCGGTTTCTCGACCAGACACGGTTTCGTCTCCCTCAAGGAAGCTTTTCTCTCACTCCAAGAGCATGGCAAGTTGCGTGGACAAGAAGAATCGTGGAAACGTTTCCTCTGTTTCTTCTTTGTCCAATCCAGCTAGAAACGACTCTTGTCCTTTGGATTCATCTGTTGAAGAGACACAGACTTTCTCCGGAAGCAAACGCAATACGGGTGTGAATTCAGGAGGTCACCTTGGAGATTTCTTAGATTATGGGAGAACTGGTTCGAGTTCAGCGAGGTTTTCTCAACAAGACAAGATTTGGCCTCCAACAACACAACTTAGCTCATCGTCTTTTGTCTCCATTGATTTAGCTTCACCGCGGTTTGAGGAGAATTCACAAGGTGGGCTTGGGGAAGGTTCTAGGAGAATTGGTTCTTCTAGTTCAACGAGAGCTTCTCAAGAAGGTGAGATTTTGACTCCAACAACACAAACCCTAAAGCTTCTTCCTAAAGAGAACTCAAGAATCAGTCCATCTTCACTAACCTCAATTGATTTAGCCTCCCAATCATCTTATCTAGACAAAGGAAAGAACAAATCGAAATCGAAGTTTTTAATATCATGGTTTGATAAGTTGTCCCTAGCACGAGCCATGGGTTGCTTACATGGCAAGCCATCATCCAAAAGCAAAAAGACAAAAGAGTTGTCTTGGGAAGAAGAATTCAAGAAGGCAAAGAAGAGAGTTAAGGAAAAATCGAAGAAGATGAAAAAAAACTCGTCAAAATGTCAAAGAAGGGGAGGACTGACTCAATAATTGATCGACTACGTACAAGGAATATAGTTTGCAACTAACTTTTATTTTGATATTATAACCCAAAGATTTAATTTGCATATCCGATATTACTATTCAAATATTTAACCTGCTTCAGTCTTGTGATGGCTAAACAAAAGCTACTCATTTGTTTCCACCTTCATCTTTCCCTCATAACATAGATTTTTTAAGACTATAGCTCGAAATTCGAATGAAAACAAAAATCTTAAATATTCGAGGATATGATACGTGAGATAAGAGCATGCAAAACAAAGACATGACGGGGAGGGCCTAGGCTGATGACAACGCTTCTTACCCATACTCGGCTACGTTCACCTTTATGTAGAAAGTTGCATCTCTAGCAGCCATGAGTTTCTCATTTGGCGGCATAGTTTCTATTGTTACATGCAAAATCACCAATTTAAACACCATATCCGCAAGAATAATTCGTAAGGGTTTCAAGAAATTGATTGGTCTATGGATCAGATGGACTACTCTTTTATGAACCTTTGCTTCCTTGTTTTTTATCTATTTTTTTGCCAAGGAACCAAACAATTGGGTTAACTCTATGTAAAACCATCCTGTTTCATTTATATGATTTTATACAATCTTAACAAAAAAAGAATCACCAATTTTGACAGATTGCGACTTATAAGCTTTGCATTCCTCGACAAAAGCAAGTTCCGTGTCTAGACGAATCCGGTCATATCCGTAAAATGCCACTCAGTGGAATTCATATCCGTGGCACCACCCAGCTCCTGTTCCGTAATGAAGACCCTTTGGGTTGTGTCTCTACACACAAAACTCACATTACATTGAGTGTGTCGAAAGCATATAAAAACATTATTCAGAGAAACTAGAAGACTTTGTTGTTGTTTTTCATTCAAAGGACTGCCTTGTGATTTGGGCTTAGGTCTATCAATAAAACAAGTGAGGGACTTCTCGCCACGTTCTCGTTTGAAGATTAAACTCGTTTAAAGATTAAAAAGGGAAACTCGTTTGAAGATTAAACAAAATTACAAGTCAACTTTATAATGGAAAATTAACATTTTTTCAAGGGCTTAGTAAAAAAAGGAATTTATCAAACAAAAATAGAAGAATTGAAAGCCAAAAATAATTATATAAATGCATGGTCTCACATGCATGAATGAATTGGCAGAATCATAGTTTCATCGTTATTCTCTCTCACACACAAAAGAAAACTCGAAAACCCTAAACAAAATCGACGAAGATGTCCATATTTATCCCTAGTGAATACGAATCAGCTGTGGATGATCTGCTTTCACAAGCTAAAGATCTTTACGTTCTTGAACAAGTCGCCAAAATCAACTGCGCTGGCTTCACGGACGACGACTCTGTTCTTCCCACTAATCTCGAAACCCGTTTACGTCGTCTTAAGTCTCTTCCGGTTTCTCGACCCAAACCTGTTTCTTCTTCTTCTTCAAGGAAGCTTCTCTCTCACTCCAAGAGCATGGCAAGTTACGTGGAGAAGAAGAATCGTGGAAACGTTTCTTCTTTTTCCAATCTAGCTAGAAACGACTCTTGTCCTTTGGATTCATCTGTTGAGGAAACACGGATTCTTCCGTGTACCAAACTTTATCCGAGTGTGAATTCGCGATTTGAGCTTGGAGAAACCTCAGATTCTAGAAGAATCGGTTCGAGTTCATCGAGTTTTTCTCGTGGAAACGTGTCCTCTGTTTCTGATCTTTCCAATTTCTCGAGAGCGTATTGTCCTCTGGATTCTGGGAGAATCGGTTCGAGTTCGTCAAGAATCTCTCGAGAAGGTAATATTTTGACTCCGACGACACAAACCCTAAAACTTCTTCCTAAAGAAACATCAAGAACCATCAGTTCACATTCATCGACGTCCACTGATTTAGCTTCACCATCATCTGATCAAGACCAAAAAGAAGGAATGGACCGGAAGTCGAAATTGAAATCGAAGTTTTTGAGTTCATGGTTTGATAAGTTATCTCCAGCAAAAACTATGAGTTGCTTTAGACGTTCTCAAGACAAATCATCACCAAACAGCAAAAAGACAACGGTTAAGGTCTGAACTACTACTAGGATTGTTATTTGGACGACTAGTACTAGTTGCAGTTTTCTCATGATCTTTATTTAGTTACAACAAAACCTTTTATTTGATTTGATATGTTTTTTTAATCTTGTAATCGTAAGAATTAAATTAAACATATTACATTTTGTTCGACTTCTATAATTTTTTTCTTAGGCATCTTAAGCACATGAATTCACATGATAAACAAGAAAAAAAAACTATAATAAGAGTTCTTATGGATTGATTATCCAACCTCAAGTAAATATTTCAACCATTACAAAGCAAAAAAATAGTTTGAAAAAAAAAAAGCCAGATGTGAAATTTCTTCTATGAAAAATATACGTACTCCAATTAATTTAAAAAATTCCACAAAATATATAAATCGTATATATAATTTTGACATATATAAGAAGCTTTATGTTTGTCTAATTTATACATTTGAGGACAATAGGCATTTTCATTTTTCTCTTTAATATCCAAATTTCCTAAGTAATATTATTATTTTTCTATCGAAAGCCTTCTTCTTCTGCTAAAACAGTACTTCTTGAATAGTCTCTCTCTCTCTCTCTCTCTGAGATTGCTTCATTCGCTATTGCTCTGATTCTATCGCTCACCTAACCCTAATTATTATTTCCTGAGATTCATATCTCCGATCCGGCGATGAGTTCGGATGAAGCCAAGGTCGTTGGTAAGTTCGATCGATCTCTCTTTCATTTTCATCAAATTGGAATTTTGAGATCTAGGTTTGTCTATTTGTTTGGTATTGATTCGATTTGCAAAAAGTTTGTGTCTCGAGCTTTAATATATCAGAATGTGACGGGATCCATGGTCTTGATTTAGGTATCTCTGATCTGTGAAAGGATTGATTTTTGTGGGAGTATATAATGAATATGGTTGATTCATGTGGTTTTTGTAGTTCCGAGGAATTTTAGATTGTTGGAAGAGCTTGAAAGAGGTGAGAAAGGTATTGGAGATGGTACTGTGAGCTATGGAATGGATGATGCTGATGATATTTATATGCAGTCTTGGACAGGCACCATTCTTGGTCCTCCTAATGTATGTATCTCTCTTCTCTTTGTGTGTCTCTTTATTGGTTTGGGTTTTATTTGTGTTTCTGTGTTTGAATAGAGTAAAAAGATGCAGTTTTTAGCATTTTTAGGAAGAGAATTGTTTAGATAGGGATTTTAGTGTTCATACATTTTTGGATATGGTTTGGAGTTTTCTTCTACTTTTTGTCCCTCTGTTTTGGGTAATACTGCTTTGTGTTTCTCAAGTAACTAGTCCAGTTGTATGCCTTTTACTTGAATTGATATATAACTGTTAGCTTTCTCATTTGAGACCCTTTACTCCAAATGGTCTGTACTTTCTAGTTACATTTTCTTGATTACTATTGATTAGAATGGAGAAAAAAGAATGGAAATTGTTGGTGTTTTTGCTTTTTGGATCTTGAGAGGATTGATGTTTTTTGAATATCAGACTGCGTATGAAGGGAAAATCTTCCAGTTGAAGCTGTTCTGTGGTAAGGAATACCCAGAGAGTCCACCGAGTGTGAGGTTCCAGACCAGGATAAACATGGCTTGTGTTAACCCTGAAAGTGGAGTGGTAATAACCTTTTGACATCATTGCTGGTATATATGTTTGTGTGTGGGGATATGGAATATTTCCTTATTCTAACAAGTTGTATTGAAATATATAAAATCAGGTTGAACCGAGTCTCTTCCCTATGCTCACTAACTGGCGGCGAGAATATACAATGGAGGACATACTGGTTAAGCTCAAAAAAGAAATGATGACTTCGCATAACCGCAAGTTAGCTCAACCCCCAGAAGGTAATTTCTATAGTTACATAACCCAAAATGCAGTGTACAATAACTATCACGGATTTGATGAGGATGACTAAATGAGATATCGCTGTCTTGAACCCCTTTGATAGACAAACTTGGACAGTTCTTGGAGTTACTTAGATTGAGAAATGTTTGCTTTTGTGAAAACTCTAAAGACCATCGGGCTCTAATCAAAGTCTTGTTGTTTCTCCAGGTAACGAGGAAGCTAGGGCAGGGGCAGATCCAAAGGGACCAGCTAAATGTTGTGTGATGTGAAGAGAGATCTTGGTGAATCGGCTACTTTGTATTAATATTAATAGAAGGAACAGTGTATATAAAACATCATTTGAAGCTTTGAAATTGCCGCCTACAACTTCCTAATGTTATAGCCCTTGTTTGAGAATCTATATATATGTCCACCAATAACAGATGATGATTATCTTAATAAAAACCTTTATCTCTCTTTCTCTTCATAGTTCCTAGATGATTTCTAAGTTGTTCTTTGCATGCCCCAATTTTTCCCAAAAATGGTGAGTATAGTAATGACATGAAAATCAAAGACGAGAAACTGAAAAATCCTGGATTAATCAGCATTTCTAATTATCTCATGCAAATAAAACAAGATTTAATGTCCAGATTGGTGAATGAACAAGGAGACTTTCAAGCAATGGGAAGAGAATCACACTTTCTGATCCTTTAGGTATAAAATGAGGAATGCGTCTACGCATGACAATACATGTCCAAGACACATAGATAAAGAGGACACACACAAACGTCTCTAGCTATACACACTTGGCGTCGAATCGAATCTTTGTTTATGTATAGCTAACACCTAGCAAACAATATCAATAACAACTTAGAATATCATTTTATTTATTTATATAAACTCAAAGAATGATCCTAATAAGCTAATTAGAAATCTTATGTTAGTTTACAGTGTTGTGTGATCTCACTCATCTCCTGTCTTTGATTTATTTCTCATCATGTCTCATCGGGATGTAGCGCCTTCCACTGGTTCCCACAAGTCCAAAGGTAAAATGTATTCATGACCGTTTTAGCTTATCATATGCAACTAAAGCATCCAAAGAAACATGATCCTTAATTGTCATATTTTCTATAGGTTGGAATGGTCCTTAATTATATATATTGTTTCTTTCTAATTTTTGGGAAAAGTTAAATGTTGTTTTGTTTTTCTTGTTGTAAGTGTAAAGAAGGCTCTATGGAAACATATTTTTGGGGTTATGTTGTTATGTAGGAGAAGAATCAGTTCAGGAAGGAAGGACTGCATTGGAGAAACATGTGGCCTTCTTCGACAGGAATGGTGACGGCGTTGTTTATCCATGGGAAACCTATCAAGGTAAGAAGTTTTTTTTGGACCATAAAGTAAGAAGTAAGAAAATGTCAATAGGATTTTGATGTGTTGCTTATTCTTATGTTCGATTTATATTACATACAAAAGGATTTAGAGCGCTTGGGACAGGGCGTCTCGCATCGGCTTTTGCTGCTATCTTCATCAACATGGGACTCAGCCGGAAAACTCGTCCGGTATAGTAATCAATAATACTCTTCTCTTTTCTTATTTTTCTCACCCTTGGTTGAGCAGTGCCATCAACCATACTATAACTTAACAATGGTAACGGCTTAAGGATAGTTTTTTGAAGCCATATTTGTGTGGATGTTAAGTAGGGAAAGGGATTCTCACCCTTGTTTCCAATAGAAGTGAAGAATAGTCGTTTTGGCATTCATGGTAGTGACACCAACGTCTACGACAAGGATGGAAGGTTTTTTCATTTCTTCCTTGACATCTCTTGTTTAAACCTTATGCAGTTATGTGTGTGTGTTTTGTGCGTATTCAAACTTAAACTACAACATACAACTTTACAAATGTTCATTACTCTCTTCCTAAACGTTAACAGATTTGTGGAATCTAAATTCGAGGAGATATTCAAGAAGCATGCTCATAAACATAAAGATGCTCTTACCGAAAAGGAAATTAAACAATTGCTTAAGACTAACAGAGAACCTCGCGATTTCGAAGGATGGTTCGTTAATTAATTCGTTGTTACACATTTTCCTACCAAATTAAAACTATAGCCACAACAAACCTAGTACCGTGGCACGATGCTTATACTTTTGAGAATATATATATGAACACAGGATTTCAGCTTTTTCGGAATGGAAAATATTACATAACTTAGCCAAAGACAAAAATGGTTTGTTGACAAAAGATGCAGTAAGGGGAGTCTACGATGGCAGCCTTTTCCTACAATTGGAGAAACAAAAATCGTCTTCTTCTCCTTCTTCTCGTGGCAGGAAACAAAAGCTACCTTAAACTTTTACAACCATGTTTTACATGATTCTTCTTACATTATTATATAATTTTTGTTATGAATATTTCTATAATTTGGAGATCAAATAAGTACGTATTGTGTTATACAATGTGCAATACCGGTTGATATTACGTCAAAAACAATGAGATTGACTAAAAAAACAAAATCATCCAAATTCATTACAACACTTTACTTTTATGTAAAATACCTAAGCTCGTTCTATCATCTAACGATTATTTAAACTCTAGATTTCATAAATAAGAGGAAAAAATGTTATACACAATGTAAGCAATCTTCTTCTGTGTTTTTATTGCTCTACGACTTTACTTCCACCACTGACACGCATTACCATCTTGGTGTATATTAAGAGGTGTTGGTCTTTGCAGTATTCTGATGAGCAGCTGCGTATATCGAAGAATTGGGGTCGGTTTTGAGGTGAGCGAGAAGGTGTTGTACATCTGGTCGGAGAGAGTCTGCTGCTCTTCCGATTAATACCAAGATGTCTGGTCTCGGCTTGCTGCTAGTTTGAACAGCTCCTCCTTGTCCCTCGTAGTGAATAATATGGTGTCTGCAATAATTGACATCTAATCATCCAAACAAACCCTCACAAGAAGTTGCAGGGAAATATTTTTAAATGGCTTGGGATAAATAAAACAGTTTTAAGATTAATCAATAAAGACAATTGTGGATTCATGGTTTTGCTATGGTAATATGGAAAGCTTACAGGAAATCAATAAGATCTGCGATCTGGGATGCTTCAACAGGGGCTGTTGTCTGTGCGTTCTTTCCAAAAACATCGACCAACGCGGTTAAGAGAAGGGTTAGCGTCTGTTGAGAAACAAAAAAAAGATTACCAAAGTCAAATTACAAGAATTATTTAGTCGAGTTTTGTGATGAACATGATCTGAAAATGGAAGATGGTTCCATTAAAGTTGTTTACTCGAGAGACTGTGTGTTAACATGCTAGAAGACAGCAACTACATAATATTCAGATTTTATCCAGCCAAAATGATATGAACAGCATGTTACATAGACTCTCACAAGCATATACTTGAAAAGACTGACCACTTCATATGGGTACAAGCCATAGGATTACCTTGTTAAAGAGCGTATGTGTGTTGGCAAGCCTCGGAAGCAGTGGCCCCATAATACGGAATACAACTCTGAGCATTGCGACAGATGTCACAGGCCGGAGATTCTTGATGATGGCATTCGTGCCATCAAGCCATTCTTGTGGGAGGTTGCTGAAGAAGGCATGAAGCAAGGCGACTATATTTCCTGGAAGAAGACAGCGATACACATGTAAACGTAAAATCCAAACAAACATTCACTTATAGATCCAGTAGCTATAGGTTACCTATGGCAGTAGAGGTGTTGTCCTGAGCAGCCCATGTAGGATCCATCAAAGCGTAGCCAACAGCCGAGTCTAGTTCACCTTGTGATCTCTTCCCATCCTTAAGCCACCATGTTTCCCTTATCACACGTGATGCCTCCAAGTAAAGCTGCATGTGAAAATCTGGAGGGAGCTGAGCCAGCAAAAGCCCACAAGCTTGTATCAACAGACACGACAGTTGCTGACATGTATAACCGCTTCTAGAGACAAAGCTCGCCGTGTTGATACCAGGAATCAGACAAGTGGACCGGCTAGCGCTCATGGAGTCCGTGCTCCCTCCTGAGGGAGACGTTGGCAGCACTGAACCTTGCCCCACCCCGTTTGCAGCACCGTGGAACCCATTTCCAGATTGAATGAGAGTCGATTGTATGTTGACAATTATCTGGACAAGCGAAGAGACAATCTGAGCAGCAGAGACGGGAAGCGAGAGGATCTCGATCACGGCTGTCTCAAGAACCAATTGAGTGTAAGTTCCTGGGTCCTGGATCTGATAGAATGCTTTCTGGCCCTCAGAGGCATTTGCTGGTCCAGGCTGAGATGTTCCTGGAGTTTTTCCATGAGGAGGTCTTGCTGAGCTGTTTAAGATGTCTGCCATTGAGCCAGACCTCGAGCTGCAGTTGCTGCTGCTGCTAAGTGGAGGTATAACGTTGTTTACGAGATTAAGCAGAAGAGTGGCAAAGTAATCTAAAGGTGGGCATACAGCGGCACCAGCAGGGCTAATGTACTGCGGGAACGATTCAGAGAATGGAATCTGCAGGAATGTCAAAAGAGGTGTTATCTTCTGGTGGAAACAGTTACGGTCAAAGGTATATAGACAAAATTGAGAAAAAAATGCCATCTAGTTTGTATGTATCTATTGTGGAAATTGGAAAAATCCGGAGACTCAAATATATAAGAAGTCAATCATACAAAGAAATATATTACAAACCTACTAGAAAATCTTCAAGTGGAACTTAAAAATGAAAATATCTCAGTCAGAATCCAAGAAAACAAAGACTCGTGTGTATGATTGTATCATTACTCTAGAAAAAAGATAACAAGGAAAGTAGTAAAAATCTCTCTGAAACTTTATGAGTTGAAAGTTTATGTGGTGGATGTATTTCAAATAAAGGAATTTTCAAAAATCTCTCTGAAACTTTAAACTGAAATCCGGAAGCAGCATCAACATGAGGTTAATTTCAGAATCAAAATAAGATCGGGAATTTTTAAATTACCTTGCTGAGATCAAGTACTTTAAGCATGCGCAGGACAAGTTTCCCAGGAAGATGACCATAGAAGTAAGCGAGTATGTCACGGACAAACGTGAATCTGAGAGGATGATAAGCTAGAAAATGCGAGTGTTGAAGCAAAAGATTATCAGCTTGCTCCATCGCATTGTTCTCAATGAGCCTGTAGACCACTAGAGGGATAACTGGAAGCAAACGCGCTGCAATATCATCAAAGAACGTTGGGTACCTGCGTTTAACACAATGAAAAGGCTAAACATTTTCCCAATTTTAACAGAATGCAACACAAATTTGCCGGAAAAAAAAAATCACATAATTTCTGGTCATACACCAGTTTGCCAAGTTTCCATGGAAAGTTCCATCACACATTCATGGTTGGATGCCAACAAAACCCATCAATCAATTAAAACCATGTGATTAAGCGAATTTGATAGGCATCAGTTATATAGACGTTGAGAAATGGGCTAGAGATTATATTACCTATCCTTCCAAGAAAGATGGTTACCAAGGGCCTTCTGGAGTTCATTGCGTTTGAACACCTGTGTGACAAGCCAGTGCTCAGGAGATCCACGGTTTTGGCAGTAGTTTTTAATCCTCAGCAGAAGGTCTGGCGTTCTAAGTAGGTTCATCTGTAAATAATTTGTTTTTAAAAATTGTATAATTTCTATGATTTAAAGTTTCATTCACGTAAAAGCATGAACATACTGCAATTATCAAGGCGTGCGGATCGTCATCACGGTCAATGAGCGCCAAAAGAAAAATGTCGAGAGGAAGCATTTCATGTGTCCAGAAGAAAAATGCAAGATTTGCGCCTGCCTTATCTAGAACTGCCTGGAAAATATTAGGATGCAATGTAAGAAGATGGATCAAGCAAAAGTGAGGTCAATCTCTTCTGGTAGACAGAAACCTCTAAAGATTGTCCTTGCTGAAGGTCTACATGAATGTGGTGAAGCAAAACATCAACCAAAGTGTATATGTTAGCAGTGACTTCTTCAGGAGAAACTTCTCTCAGAACCCGTGCCTGATAATCGTTCAGAAGAGAAAATCATACCACTATAAACTATTAATCAGTTCAAAAATGAAGAGACTAAGCAAAGCAAACCAGATTTGCGCTGTTGATGTTATCAGCGTGACCTTGCATCAGCAGACAAGCACCAGCACATAGATACTGACGGTGTTGAGGGAAACTGTGACCGAGGTATGTCACAACGTACGCGGGTTCAGCAGATGGTGAGAGAAGCTGAGTGCACTGGTTTATCACAGTTGTCTCAGCCTGTTGCCACGCCTGAATTGATAGTCCCCTCTTGTCTACTCGTCCAATTAAAGTATCACGGATAAGGGATGGGAAATGTCGCAGCGTTTTCTCTGACCATGTATGCTGACTCGTCGCAAGTATTTGTTCCAACATGGTTTGCAGGTAAACCAAATGATCAGCGTCTGCAATACCACGTGTTTTGATTGTGATAGCAAGAGTCATGATGGTTATGCGGTTTAATGTTTCAGTGAATTCAGTTGGCCCCTGGGAATAATAACAGAAAAACAATTATTTACACCTGAATAATCCTGGCAGAGAATAAGGAGACAGTGAGTCATTCGAAAGAAAAAACACTTACTTTTCCCTCCCGTTTCACAGAGAAAAAGTCTCTGAGTGATAAAATGAGATTCATGCATAAGTTTTCAGCTAGTCTGAATATACGGTGATCACCACGTTTTCCTTTCAATGCAGAGATTATTTTAGTAACATCATACATTAAAGTTTTACTCTTTCCTTGGTATCTGCAAAAGGTGCATCAACAGGATCAGTAATTTTGTGTAATCTGGTCAAACAGCCAATATGGCAAAAGCCCTAAATAATCGTCACCTAACTAAGAATGGCCAATTTAAAAAGTATAAAAGGATTGACTTTAATTTGAGAAAAAAATTCTTGTTTTACCTGTAGAGCGGAAGCAAACGATAATTCAGAATCTCTAGAACAAGCAACGTCACCCCAGGCTTGCTTAGTAGAGAAGCATTTCGCTGGGCCAATTGCTACAGAAAGTTAGCTAATCTCATGAATCGTTTATGATCAATAAAAAACAGTAATACAAAATATAAGATAATGAAAGTCAAAAGGCAACAGAAGGAACCAAATAGCTTACACTGAAATGTGAACGGAACATCGAGTGAGGGGAAATCAGCAGCAATCTTGTGTATGTCTCAACCATTGCAATGCTAGGAACAACCTGCACTCAGATGTTTTACTAAGACACCAAATTCATATTTCGCGGGATTTTAAAATCTACTATCAACTTTTTTGAACAATTAAAATGTTGAAGTTGTTCACTAAACCTTAGAGAAAACAGGTCACTAAGTAAAACTTGCCAAAGAAGATGTTCCTCATAGATCAGAGCATCAACTTATATATAATATCTTTTTGGATAAAGGAAGCAAACCTGGCTAACAAACAAAGCTTCTTCCATCTGAAGGGCCAATTTCAAGCACAAATTCATTGAAAAGCCAGATAGCAATGACATAGGTAACGGTGTCACTTCCTGCGTCATCATTACTCTGTCGTTTGGCTGTAATCCCGGCAACTCAGCCATGCCAGCTGAAGATAACCAATTTATAACTGTTTCACATGCTGGTTGTGCCATGGTGTAGGAAACAACCCAAAACATGCCAATCGACCTATCATCCATATTCATATAATCCATCATGCGCTCTCCTGAGAACCCCAAAAAAGAAACAAAATGAGAGGACATTTTTTATAATTGGAAATTCTCTGCTTCCTACTCCAAGCCATGCAATTGAAACCTTATGTACCTTTGCTTCTCCACCACTCATCGATTTGTTTTCCCTTCAACAGCTGTTCATTGTTTAGGTATGCCCTAGTACTTGTGCTTAGTGACCAAATCCGTAGATTCTGACAACTGCTTACGAAGTCAAGCAACACACTCTGAGGATTATTGGGATCAGAATTTCTATCTTCCCTGTGAAATGATAAGATCTTCCTAGTAGTCTCCACCTGGGAGAAAACCAAAATACAGCACAAGTAGCTATGTCAAGTTCAACAAAAAAGAAGGAATGAAACTATGAATAGTTGCATTGTAGCTGCAAACACATACACATCATTGTAACTGAGAAACAACCTTTTTAGGATCTGTGTTCAAAGCAGTCATCACAAGCTCCACGCGTATTATTTGTGCAAGCAGCCACGTCACATGATTTGTCCGAAGAATATGGTTATCAACACCATTAAGGCGTGAAACCAACTTATCAATGAAATCAACAAAATCAGTACACCCACTTTTGATTAGAAAGAAGAAAATATCCGAGAAAACCAGCCACTCTTGCCAGCAATTTGCATCTGCATGGAGGAAAAAGCAACAGCTACCAAATCAATACAAAAGCAGTCCTAGTATAGTGGAATCTCAACTCTTACTTTTATCTTTTTCTATCTAAGCCTAACGATGAACCATTATAGAACTTCCAAACTTAATCTGGACTAGACTATAACGTAAAGAATGTAGGTTCTGTACAGATGTAGCAATTAGCAAAACCACTTGCTATTTCAAAATCTTTTCTGTAGATTTAAAGGAAGTGACAGATCAAAGACATGAGGAATAGGGAAAGACAAGCATTGCCTGAGTTGGTTAGCTTAAGAAGCTCAACAATCCTGTCAATAATTGCCTCGCAAATCATCTCAGAAGTAAAAACAGCACCAGGGATGGGCCCTGCTTGTGATGATGGTCTATAGCAAGGGGCCACAACAAGAACACGCTTCCACCAGTCCGGTGACGGCGTAGTACGAATAGCGTGTCTAATGCAACGAACTGCTCTCTCCCAATCAAGGCTTCCTTTTGGAATAGACATTGCCAGATCCTGCCATTATCGGAAAAGAAGAAGAGATGATTGAAGTTCACAAATTGTCTGCCTAATGCAAAGCATTTACATTACACAATAGTAGCAAGAGACAACTAAGCTATGAAACTAATCTCCACAGTTTCATGGGAATCACCTCTCCATACAAAGGTTCCCCAAGCACACTTGGATAAGTAATTGGTGAATGTCGAAAGTGTGGCACAGCTTCGACTGAAACATTGGCAGCTGTTTGGGACATTATACGATGGGTACCAAATGTTGGACAGTGAAGATGTTGGTCTAACATGAGCATGTGCATGGCCATTGCATCTCGCCTCCGGTGTATCTCCATGATAAGAGTGAACAAGGCTTCATCATCCGGTATGTTCTCTATAAACTGTAGACCGCTGCGCAATAACTCATAAAACGGAATTCGAGATTCACCCTCTTCTACCAAAAGCCAGATCACATCCAAACAACTCCGTAACCATTCAGCTAAAGTCTTCTCAGATCTCCACGATTTTCTAGCAGAGTCCTCAGTTCCCAGATCTCTCCTGTCCCAGTTCACAAGCCAATTCATCATATACTGGAAAATCTCGGCATGAGTAACGGGTTTGAGATTAAATTCAACGCCAATCAAGATAATCTTGCAACTGAGCTGGCGCAGACTGTTTATAGCAGCAGCTCTTATCCGTTGATTATTTCTCATAGCATTCTCTCTTACAGTCTGGCTTGCCCTTGCAATCTGCTGCCCATTCTCCAAAGATTTAGCCTGTGCGAAAGTAGTTACGGAACCCAGCTCATTCCCTGAAGCTGATGGAGAACCAATACCATGAGCTGAAGGCAACAACGACGTTGGATTGGTGGAATGATAACTTGACGAGCTAGGGATATTATTTGCAGATACAGGAACTAAAGACTGTGATGAAGTAGCAGAAGAACCAGCCGCTGCCGCCGCTGCTGCTGCTGCTTGAGCACCTTGACTTATCGACGCCTCAGCAGCAGAAACCGAAGAGAGAAGGGATGGCAAAAAAGTATCCCAATTGATAAGACTAATCCTACACAATGTACGCAAGGCAAAGAGAAGAAACTCAGCACGAGGCGCATGATTACTACATTGCACCACCAGAGATATCAAAACTGACTCCGTAATCGTCCTCAGTTGCTCTGGATCCTAATAAAAGGGTTTGAAAATAAGCAAACTTTATCCCTACAAAACCACAAAGAGAAGCTAAAAGATGGTAAAAAATCGAAACTTTACATTGAACTGGCTCTGAAGCTGCTCAAAATCCAAAATGAATTGCTCGTTTCTCGGGGGCAGGTCTCTATTCGGAGCATGAACACGCTTCTGTGATTTGTTCCTAATGAAATGTATCAACATCGCCAAAAATTATTCAGAAACAAATAGGTTGAGCTTGAACCAAAACAATTGAAGCACGAAAGATCGTGGAAGAAAAACCTACGGATGATCTCGGTGAGACTCATCGGGATTTTGACGGCTTCCTCTCTGCATAAGAAGAGAAGGTATAAGAATCAGCAGCGAAATGAAACAAAATCGAAAAAAAAAAGGTGGGAAATTGGAAAAAACGAGATTGACCCCTAAGTAGAGATTGAAGAGATCGATAATTGCAGCACGAGCAGGGTGGAATTGGTACGATCGAGAAGACGACGAAGGCGTAGCAGCGACTGCTCGCTGCGATTGATCCATTTTGTTTTTTTCGTTTGCTCTGCCTTCTTCACTGATTCTCTCTTCTTTGTGTGTTTCCTAGATTCTATTAAACCGGAGGTGCTATATTGGTATTGGAGGTTTTGGGTTTAAAACCTCTTCAATGATACGAAATTGTCAACGGATAAAGTAACAGTCCTGTGACTTGGCAAAGACATGCATAAATCAATAAGAAAGATCAGAAAGAGAAGTTGTTAGAAGAAGAAGAACAACAATATCTTTGCATTGTGAAGTGGAAACAATTCACAAGAGACAATCACTTCTAATTACACAATAAGGACTCTGTCTAGGCAGGAGATTAGCTCCATGAATTAACACAGAGTGTGAATACAAAGACAGAGAAATCGAAAGGGGAGGAAGGATCATCGACTTTTTTTCTTTCTCATTTTTGATCTAACGGCTCCACTGCGGTCTTGAAGAGAAGAACGTAAACTTTGTCGATCTGAAAATATATGAATCCTCCAATGGAATGTGTGACGTATGAACCAAAGCTTGTCCCAACAATGCAGTGCCATGCCGGGCCGTAGGCTGAATCGAAGTCCTGAAATGTAAGACAGATGGAAAATATGTATGATGAGTATAGTTTTAAATCAGCTGCAACACATGTCGTTAGACAAATGGGACACTAGGATTCACATTAGTGGCAAAAACATAGAAGCTGAAGTTAGGAGAAAACAAAAGAGAGAGGAAACATATATATGAAGGTCAAAATAAGAGATCCATTACCAGAACAAGAAGATAAGACAAGACAAACAGCAGAAACTGACTCGTATGTCAATCATAAAAGCTGATTATTAAGAGATTAATGAATGAACACTTATAAAAACAGTAAGCTGCACCCAAATAAGTGAAAACTATAGTATATTTAAACTCAACCACTTAATAAAACTAATGTATGAATCAATCAATGCCTCTGCCTACCTAGTCGAATATGATAAATTGAGGGATTCACAAATTCTAAGCATCAAAAAGTGCTCCATTTCGCTCCATAATTATATTTAAACCAAAAGCTAATCATCAAAACCTCACATTGTTTTGAATAATCATCAGACACAGAGCCATATACACACTATGAAAAAACTGCCTAATAGGACAACTCTATATGGGGTAGTAATGCCTAACTGGTTTATCAGAAGACAACCGAGTCCTTTGTGGAAGATTGTATTTGGGCAAGGTTCAAATCCTACAGCAACATTGTTTCTGAGTTTAGCATTAGGTAGCATCCAAATCTAACAGCACGAATACAGAAGCTTAACAGATGCTGCATGCTAGTTCTCATAATCCATTGTCTAACTCAGCTCCAAAATCATCACATGTGATTGTACAATAGGCAACAAAAACATTTTTTTCAAGACTCAAGTCAAGTAGACTAAACAAATGCTACAAATAGAATAGGCAACAACTATGGACAGATACAAATGCAACCGAATGAAAGCAAAAACAAAATCTGGGACCATAAATGAAATTCAATACTATGCAAGTACACAAAACGAAAATCCAAATTCAAGATTCATCACATAACAACTACCCATATCTTCAAACCAATCAAGAACGAGAAAGACAATAACCACATTTTCAAGAAAGCATGCGACTTTGAGACTTAGCCCTAAAACCCAAAAGCAGCAAGCACACTACATTGATTCTGAATCAAAAATTCAAAACTCTTGCCACATTACTAGACTTCGGAGACTCCATTTCAACCCAGATACAGAGAAATCAGAAGAGAGAGAGACAAAAGATCTAACCTTTTTGAGAGCAAGAGCGAGTCGTTTGTTATCAGCCTTCCCAGGGGTAGCATTCAAAATCTCACGCGACAAACTAAAGGCCTTGTTCTGCTGAGCCAAAGGCATATCTGAAGCTCTAACCCGAACATTGAACTCATCTTTCTGATCTTGCTGTTCTTTTGCCTTCTTCTTCTGTATCAAGCTGTTCAAAAACTTGCTCCTCCTCTCTAGCTCTAGCTCAACTCCTTCCATCTCTATCACATCACTCGGCTAAGCCGTCGTCTTCTCCTTTTGTTCCCCTTCTAATCGGAGAAACCCAAGCTAAACCCCTACTTAGTTCGTAAGCTACTTCGGAACGAGCACCATCTGTTTGACGAAATGTCCAAGAGAGATGAGATGGAGAAAGGTAAGGGCGTGGAGGAGAGAAAATAGCGTTCTTTGAGTTAAGCGGAGAAAGCAGCCGCCCAAAGACAAAATAATGATTTTTACAAAACTTTGATTTTGGTTTGGTCACTAAACATTAATTACTCTTGTCTCCCCCCCTTTCTCCCATTATTACTCTTTGTTTTCCCTTACTCCCATGATTAACTCAACAATTTATGAGATGATTGTTATATTTACTCCATATTAAAACGACCAATAATTAAAACAATACTATTTTGTTTAATTTTTTCAGAATACATATTATAATGTATATTATGTGAGATAACCTATGTTAAATTAAAAGAATATACACATTGATGGATTGAGAAAAAAAATAACTAAAACAAGAAAAGCATTCCATTCAGACTAAAAAACAATTCTTCCAAAATAAGATGAACAATTTTGTGTTTACACAAATATATATATCTTAGTACAACAACAATGATTTGTTAATAATCTTCTTGTCATTGACTAATCTTGTGGTGTATAAAAGTAAAACTAATTAACAATTTCAATAACTGCTAGGGCGGTCTAGTAATCAGCACACCTCTAGACTTAACGAGCAGCCAATCATCATTCTTGGTAGACCTCATTGCTTCAAGAACGGGAAGAAAAGTAACCAAGAAGCCCCAACAGAGGTGCGTTGATGTAAGTCGTTGGCTCAGTCAGCTGAAAATAAGGTCTCGAATCAGGAAAATCGTCAGTGACATTAGGGCCACCAACGACGGCGCCAATCAGCAAGTTAGGGTTTGGATTCGGGCTGAGGAAGTAACGAGAGCCGTCTTTGCACCCTATACGACCAGGATGGTCTACTACAGAAGGAACCGAGCTGCCACGATGGTGAATCATCTGTGGAAACCTTGGACCATATCCAACCATGTACGACATTTTCATTGGATTATCTCCTAATATGTAGTCCACCTGTGTTATAGCGTAAGCCACCAAACAACATTAACACTTACGTTGATGAAACGTCTCAATGGTGAAACAGAGTTATAATGGTTATATAGTTTAATTAATTACCTGACGCTTGGCGACTTGACGAAGAAGAGCAGGCGAAGCTGTGAAATCGCCACATTGCACCACTTTATTGGCGTGACTTAGATAGTTAGAATATGTAAGTAACAAAAACGACAAAGATGTTACATGCTGCATATTACTTCCTCCACTCTTCACTAATAGTCCCCCTGTATTAGTTATATACACAATAAAATCCAACATGGTTACTACAAAGTTTTAATAAAACGTTATATTAGTTAGTTAAAACTCTTATTTTGAATTTTAGTACCTTGTGAGTATTGGACTTGAGGGTGAGAGATTCCAGGCAATAAAGAACAGATAAACTCATCAGCGTTTCGCGTAAAACTCTGAAAATAATCTGCTTTACCCATCAATACCATTTTGGAGATTAAGACATTAATTCCAGCATGTTTGTTATCCCAACCAAACTCGTGGATCGTATCTCCAGCTTTTAAAATAAATTGGTTCTTCACAATGAACTCTCTATACACTCGTCTCTTGGAAGCTTTGTGTAGCCATGCCGCTCCCCAAAGCAGCTCATCCTACACGCATGCACAATTTCATCAATAAAGCTTATCAAAGACATACAGATCAAACATGTCGTAAAATCTTTCTCGTTACCTCGTAACCGTTGAAATCGCAGTAAAAAGGACACACTGCTTGGTAAAGGCTATCACTGTACGCTCCTCGGTACTTTTGAGCGAAAGCAAACACCTGTGAACACATTTCTCATAAACTTAGTTTACTTTCGTAGATGTCAACAATACACAAGTCAAAAGTTTAATTTGTGTCTTTAATTAAGTAATGTGAAATGCTTTCGTACGTTTCTAACAAAAACAAAGTAGTTCATACTTCATATATAGTATAGGTCTAATACATGTGGGTCAAAAATGTACGGAAAAACATTATTAGAAACCCACATAGAGAATATTTATCACACAAGCAAAGTATAATAACCAATATTGTTAAACACTTTTTTGACATAATCACGATTATTTCGTATTAATTAAAAGAAACGTTAAAGTTAAAAAAGTACCCTTGCTGCTCTGTCTAGGAGCATCTTGGAGTATGTTGGATCGCGTTTTTCAAAGACTATGGACGCGGCGGCTAGTGCGGCTGCGGTTTCTCCGGCTACTTCCGAACCGGGATGGTCTTTATCGATTTTGTAAACAGTCCGAAGCGTGTCCATGTCCTCGGGACGTTCCCAGCAGTTATGATCGGAGTAAGCGTCTCCGACTTGGACAAAGACGACTCCGGGAATCTGAGTCGCTTTCATGAGATAATCCGTTCCCCATTTGATAGCTTTCACGGCGTTCCCAAGCTCCGGTCCCATTGTTTTGCCGAAGTCTATGACGCTCCACGACATCATCGTCGTAGTGAACGCCATCGGGAATCCGAACTTGACGTTGTCTCCTGCGTCGTAGTACCCTCCCGTCAAATCCACGCCGGCGGAGGAACCGTCGCGCAATGCGGAGTCATGGCGCCATTTGAGACGTTGGTCTGGTGGGAGTTTGCCGGAGCGTTGTCCCTCGAAGAAGAGGATGCTTTTCCGGAGAGCGTCGCGGTAATCGTGTCCGGCGTAGATCTTAGGTGAAATAAGGAGAAGTACGGCGAGCATAATCGCCGGAGTCATAAAGGAGTTTCCCGCCATTTTATGTTTCTCAGTTTGGTTCTGTTTTTTTGTTTAGTTTTGTAATTGACGAATGTGCAGCGTGTGTTGTGCTACAGTTTTATAATCGAAGAAAATAAAACAAGAACCAATTATTATTGGCCACGTGGACTTATTGGATTGGATTGAGTTCCATGTTGGGGTAAATACGCTTGATTGACGTGTGATTATTGATTTTAGTATCCCATTAATTTAGGCTTTTTAGGATTTACGTAAAGATTATTTCCTTACGACCGTATCCATGACAACTAAACCAATTATTATTATTTTCATATTAGATCAACTTATTATTGTAACGTCTCAGTTTATAGCAACTTTCAAAACTTTGTAGTGATGATAATTAACACTAAAGTCCATCTATATAGATATTTAATATTCATGTATTTAGAGACCAATGTGCCAAATTTGACTATGTTTACAAAAAAAGATAAGAAAATTAATTCGAAATCCAAATGGAATTTTCTAACGATGAGAAAAATAAAAATAAATTTTGAATGTACTCCATAAAACATGCATATATGGTCAAATATTAGGATACATATAATACAATGCGGGAAGTGGAATTTATAAACTTAGGATATACGATATGAAACGTTGACAATTTGATATACAATCATGCATGATGATGATGATAAACCCATATGATACGATTTTGTGGCAGAGGGAGCTAGATACGAGGTTGACTTATAAAGCGAGGGATAATGCAAATTGCACCACAAAGCTGACGGCTGACGCATCTAATCTTCCTTGCTCAATGCTCCAAACAATTTTTTTTTTTAGATACATTTTATATAAGAAATAAGAAACGTAAAGCCAAACATTACACGGAAATAAAATAATAAATTGAAATTGTTTTGCTTTCGACGTTAATTGGTCCCAATCAATAACATAAAAAGAAAAACAAACAACCTTGTAATTAATAGTTCTTGTCTAAACTAATCCATGTTGTTTATATACATCTTGTGATTTTATGAATAATTCATTAGTCTACTAATAATTACCGTTGATTGATAAACATCATTTACATTTACGAAGTGTTACAAAGCATCAATAAAAAACACATATATTAATAAAATCTAGCCAAAAATTCTACAGTGACAAAAATGAAAAATCTAACACTACATCCATGCATAATCACTCGGGCTCATAATCTAACGACACTATGTGGCCACGGATATTTTTGAAAACATTGACCCAATTTTTCAAAATACATTATTCCGGCCCAAATCGGCCCATAGACGAATGGTTTACGGTTCAACATTTTCCCCCACCCATCAAAATTGTTGGTTGTTTGGATTAATCCTAAAATGTATGTGTTTTCTCGATATATAAATATAAACTTGAGGTCACAAATACCAAAACCATCCATAACTCAAAAAGAGTCACTTCCGTGTCACAAAAAACCAAACACACATAGAACAGAGGAAACCATGAAACCTTCTCTTCATCAACCACTTCTCTTCTTCTTCTTCTTCTTCTTAGTTACCGTCCTCCCATTGATCCTGACCGTCCATTCTCAATCAGACGACTCAGATTTCATCCGCACGAGCTGCAACACCACATTATACCCTGACGTATGCTTCTCCTCTCTCTCTTCCTTCTCTAGCTCCGTCCACAACGACCCTGCCCTCTTGGCTCGAGCCGCAATCTCCGTTACACTCACCAAGTCCGTCGACTTAGCCTCATACCTCGCGAACATCACCATTCCCCAGCCGGAGAGCCAAGACGATGGTGGTGGCCACCACCCAACCGCAGCCGCAGTTTTCCATGACTGCTTCGACAACGTTAAAGACGCGGTCGAGGAAATGAGAGGGTCGATGAAACAGATGAGGGAGCTGGTCTCGACTGGCTCGCTCGAGTCGTTCAGGTTCCAGATGAGTAACGTGCAGACGTGGCTCAGTGCGGCTTTAACCGATGAGGAGACTTGTACGGACGGGTTTAAAGACATTCACGATGAGCCGAGGAAAGATGAAGTATGCGCACGGGTCGATGACGTCAAAAAGATGACTAGTAATGCGTTGGCTCTTGTTAATCGATGTGTTGATAAGGCAATACATTGATCTTTTCTTTTCTCATTATTCCCTAAATTGATATTATTCTTCTTTCTTCTTTTTTTTTCACTTGGAAAAAGAAATTATTGTTCTCACGCGTGCATGATAGAGATATATAATAAGATAAGCCTATTTGTTATTGGCTGTTATGAAATAGTTACATATTGTGTAGTTGTTAACGCTTTTTGTTTGTCGAAATTACGAAAAGAATCAAGTGTGTGTGTGTGGAAATAATTAGTATTCTATCTTATTTATTTGTCCTTTTGCTATAAATCGTTTTAGAAGGTTTCAAACAAATTAGAAAACCATTACGAAGGTACAAAATGATATGAGCTGCTTTTAGCTTTTTATTGATCAGAAAAAAACAACAAGAAATAAGTTGACTTTATTCGAATTTTATATTTAGTTGTAGACAAAATAAGTTTGTTGTCGTTGCGTAGTTTAAGTGGTGTCATACAATTATAGAAAACCCAAAAAAAAAAAAAAAACTCAGAAGAATCTAGGCAAATTAAAGGATTTGAAATAATGCAAAGAACGTAAAACTATTCTTCGATGGTTTGGTTTAAGACGCAAACTACTAATTATACAACCTAGATGACACGCTTTATATAAGCATTTGTCTTTTTTAGGTATTTCGGATTAATAACTTCTAAAGTGACGAATAAAGCACATTATTGATATCAAATGGCGGCTAATGGTGGTACTTAATTAATGTATAAAATGGCTAATGTATGCGCATGCGTTGTAACTCCACCACAATTACATGAACGTTATATGTTAATGCGCGACAAGCTAGCAATAGAGCTAGTTTCAATGGGTTGTTGCAGCATGTATAATTAAGCGGATACACTTATCTTCTTGTACCCATTTTTCAAATATATATGTTATGTATGTCGGTATACGTGTGTGTGTCACTACTATATGTTCTCCAAGCTAAGTGCGGGTATAAAAACTATAGATTATATATAATGTTTGGTTCACCAAACGTAGATTCTTACACATGTGATGTATTCATATATCATATATGATACACCAACCGGTAAAATGTTAATGATTATGAGAAAATCTTCGCTAACATGATGAGATTATTTGAAAGTCAAAACCGATTAATATTATATGGAAAATCAATTTATGTTTTATATTATGCGATCAAAGTTGTGAGAATTCTAAGCTTTGCGAGTTTAGTTAGTATCAAGAAAACTTGAAATTTGATAAATCGGTCGTTTATACTGTTCAAGATTAATTATTTAATACTTAGAAACTTGTGATGAATGAAAATTTAATACAATTGTTTGGAAGTATATGTTGGGAGAAATATGATCCCGTGACCCCTTTGAAAATTGACCACAAACCAATTTGTTTGTCATAACACACAAAGGACATAATAGAAACTCTCTGTCTCACATGCCTTCTCACGCCTTCATGCTTTTCCAATTTATAAGATAATGATTAAATCTATATCTACAAATAATACAATCACATAAGTTTTGCCATTGTAAGATAAGGTGTTCATATCTAATTATATGGTAGAAATTATACGCCATCAAATTGCTTTAACATATCACGTACGAATACAATCTTGAAAGCTTCTGAATTGTATATAACCATAAAACCATATACAATATGATAAGTTTTGAATGGTTTTTAAAAGGTCAAAGTCTATTCTTCTCATTTACTAAGGATGTGAGAAAAACCTCATAAAATAGACCTTTTTGTTCATAACTTTTCTTAGTACGAGACTTCTCTTAGATTAGATTTGACAGAATATGATTTGAATGGTTTTAAAAGGTAAAAGTGTGTATAATTCGTAGTATTTTACTAAGGATATGAAGAAAAAAAATATGAGAAAAACCTCATAAAAGCAAATAGCTATCATCAGAATTCACGAGACGCAATAAAACAAAACAAAGAGTCCTTTTTTTTTTTTTTGTGTTTTCTAGTCACAATCCCAAAAGGGTCCATCTCTGTTGTATCTACCTGTAAACTTATTGCTTATTTTTAGACACGTATTCATTTTTCTGATGAACATGTTTTTTTCCTTACTAAGTTGGGGAACTCATAAACACATTCGCCAGCCATAAATTGTCTTATCCATTAATTCATGATGTTAGTTTCAAAACATAATGTTGAGATTTCAGTGTGTTACACTGTTGCATTTAAAAAAGTACTAATCATATGATATATATTCGTAAACAAATCTCTGTCAAAAGTGCTACTCATTAGTCATTATAAACCCAAATCTTTCCAATGAGTAACCATCGATCGTTTGTTCATTTTTTTTTTTTTTTTCTTATCTTCATCTTTCCAAAACTGTTTCTTTCAAATATTATTCTAAAGGCCTTTCGAAGCCCAAATCGTAAACCTAGTCCAACTAACCCATCGGTGACTCTTCTCCTTTTTCCTAACAATGAATCAATGATAAGTTCATTTTTATGCTTGTTTTTTTTTGTTTTTTTGTTTTTTACATTTTCTGTATGCATGAATACTCGTTTAACAAATATATGTGTCATAATTATGATATCATTTTGAGTTTAAAGATAAAATTAATAATGATATTTACTCATATCCTAATACTGCACCAACACTGAACATGTTATCAACTTTTGTTTGGTTCCAATTTCCCCGCAATGAGGTATTTCAATCCCATATCAAACATTGTTGAACAAAACAAAGTCAAAGTCCATCGTTGACTGGTACTCCCGCAGTCGTGATTATGTAGTTTCCGTCTAAGAAATTCTCCATCATGAATTTTCCCGCCTCCGTCGCCGTCATACTATACTCACTATAATAAAAAAGAGTGCACAAAACAAACTCGTCGTTCAAAGGCAACTATTTTCCCGGGAAATTTTTTTTTTGACGTATAAGAAAAAAAACAAAATATATATTGTATTATTGAAGTTCATACATTTAGTTAGTAAGATATTACAAATAATGCCATTGGTTTTTTTAAAAACAAAGTAGAGTTGGTCTACAATCAAATTAAAATAATCCAAAAGTCAAAACATGGTAATGTTTGGAGCTAACGGGGAGCTTCTTTTTGTTTTTGTTTTTGTTTGGTTCAAGCCATGCATATTTAGCATTGGCAGTTTAACGCATCATTGTTTTTAATCAGAGTAAAAAGTAATGACCTTTAGAAGCATGCATATCAAAACGGAAGAAAGAGTATTCATGCATAAAGAAAATGTAAAACAAAAAAAAAGAAAAGCAGAACAAACTCATCATTGTTTTTTAATCAACCCTCCTTGTTCGCATCAGCTTGCTCCCCTGTACCCAAGGCCATCATCTCCTCTATCATCTTTTCTTTAGCAGTTTTGAGTACATTGAGGAACGGGTGATAGTAATCAGAGCGATCAGCCTGCATACAATTGAGCATGGTTTCCATGGCCGATGTAGGCATACGATTCCTCTTGATCTTCGTCTCAGATTCTTTGGAAAAAATCCAAGCCATAAAGGCTTCTTTGCAACTACCTTCTGTCATGTACTTGTAAAACAGCTCTTCACCGTCTTCTGCTTTCGCCTCGAGGAAGACTTTCATCTCCCTCACTATCAGTGCTTCCCTATTTCTCCTCAGCGCGAAAAACGGCTGAAAGTAATCAGAGCGAGCCTTCATACATTTTTTCAGCATAGGATAGGTCTCCCTACGCCCATCTACCCCGTCACTACCTATCCAAGCTTTATATGGTTCTTCACAACCGCCTTCTTTCATGAACATATGTAGTCGATTTTCAACTGCCTTGGGATCCAAGGAGATGTCGCTATTATCTTCAAGTTTGGATGACATGCTTACTAAGCTATTTTCACCTTTTAGGACCGGATTTAGTCAGAAAGGCTCTGTGCAATATTCTCCCTATGATCCTCTATTCTTTATTCAGAAGGCATATATATACTGTATATATATATATATGAGAAAAAAGTAAATATAAACCAAAGTACTGAGAGATAAGGAAGTTTTACCAAAAACTAAAACTAAAAAAAAGAAGATAATTCCATCTTCATATATATATATATATAAAAGAAGATAAATACTTAAGAGTAGAAGGTAATCCTTGTTCTTTCGCTTCAAGACCTAGCCAAGTTTGGATTGGAAGATACTTTTGTAAAAATTCAAAGGAAGATTTATTTACAAGGCATATATATATATATATGAAGATTCATATATATGGAGATATACTATTAAAAAAAGATTTGAATCTTCTCGTGCATGGCTTTTACATGAGAAAAAGGAAATATATTGAGAAAAAAGTAAATATAAACCAAAGTGCTGATGATAGATAAGGAAGATTTACCAAAAATAAAAATAAAAAAACAAAGATAATTCCATCTTCATATATAAAAAAGTAAAGAAGATAAATACTTAAGAGTAGAAGATAATCCTTTTTGCTTCAAGACATAGCCACGTTTGGAATGCGAAAATACATTTGGAATAATTCAAAGTAAGATTTAGAAGAAAATTGTATACAGTATAACCTCTATAAATTAATACTCGATAAATTAATACACTCTATAAATTAATAAATTTCTCTGGTCCCAACTTGGGACCCGTGTAATTTTAGACATATATCGATAAAATAATAAGATAATAATTTATTTGAAAATCGTTTCTAAATATATAGTCCCATCAATATTACAAATTAATAATTAGGTAAAAATTTTAAAATATATGTATATATAAACACATTAATTTTTGTTAGAGTTTATTTTAGATATTTTTTTGAAAAACTTTCCAAATTAGGAAAATTTCTCTATAAATTAATAATTATTAATTTATCGATAAATTAAAATCTTTATAAATTAATAGATTTTCATGGTCTCAACGTTATTAATTTATAGAGGTTTTACTGTATATTGATTTTTGTTTACGGTATTGCATATTCGAAGAAGTAGAAGATAAATACTTACAAGATCGTGGAAGATAATCCTTTTCTTTCGCATTAATACCTAGCGAAGTTTGGAAGACTGCTTAATCATTCTTGCGAAGACAAATATTTAAGGAAAATTAAAATAGTTGATGATTACTTTTAACTTAAAGCTCTTTTTATCTAAAAGAAAAAAATACTGACTTCAAAGTGACGATAAAAAGAAGATTTATAAGAAAACCATATATTGATTTTTTTTTTATTGTATTATATTGTATATTCAATTTAATCCATCCATGGGAATTGCGAAACAAAACTATATTATAACAATCACACGCCAACGAAAACATTATAATCAAGAAAGACTAATCGTAGACTCAAAACAAAGTCAAAGTCCATCGTTGACCGGTACTCCCGCAGCCGTGATCCAATAGTTTCCGTCCAAGAAATTCTCTACCGTGAACTTTCCTGCCTCCGTCGCCGTCTTTATAACATGGTAACCTGGCCACTTAACTCTACCGGAGACACTTGCTCCGGCGCCTGTATTACCATACTCTCCGTAATAAAGAGTACTCAAAGCAAACTCGCCGTTCCAAGGCAACCACCCCGCCTGATTCACCAACCCTCCAAGATTACATTTCATGAAAACCGTCCTTGAATACGATTTCCACGGCCTTCCTAAGTAAGTCTCGGACGCTGTAGCCACTGTAGAGCCATGCACGACGAAACCTGTGTTCTCGTTCGGGTCTTTGCGAGATTGAGCGGTAATAGTGTTCTTTTGGCCACTCATCGGCTTGAGAGCGTAGATGTTGCAGTTTTGGAGGATCGCGGTTGCGTCTCCGAAGATGAAATCGACGGTGCCGTGGATGTTGCAGTTCCTCAAGAACTGACGGCGAGAGTGAAGGTAGAGAGTGTCTTGATAGCCTTTGAAAGAGCAGCCGTAGAAGACGGAGAAGTCTGAACCTGATCGGAGAGCCACCGCTTGATGTTTCTCCGCTCCCGCCGTGTTCTCGAATGTTATACCACGTGCGATAAAACCGTCGCCGGAAACAGCTGTTTGGCAAATAAAATAAATATTATGTTATTAAAATATTAGTCCAAATGTTATAATTTAAGGTATTTTTTTTGGTCAAGAAATCATACAAGTGTTTATACGTGATGAAACACCAAAAAAGATAGGTAAATTCTCTTTACACCAAAACGTAAATAATATTGAAATTTTTTTTTAAGCATAACGTTTATGGCTATAAGTATGTATTTAAAATTTCTTTATGTATAAGCAATCTTAATGTAATAAATACTGTATTACTTTTAGAAAGTATTTTTGATATATCTCTAACTATATAGCACGGACGACATTACCAAAAGTAGCGGAGCGAAACGTCGTCGTGCCATCTTTAACGTTCTTATTACCGGTGACGATGGTAGAATCAATGCCGTCTCCGATAACCATCACGTTCTTGATCGATTTCTTGATTACCACGTTTTCCCGGTAAACGCCTGCTTTGACGTATATTACAAGTCTCTTGTTTCTCCGAGGAAGTGTGGCTGCTGCGTTTACTGCTTGTTGAATGCTTGTGTAATGACCTGAACCGTCCTTAGCCACCACAAGATCGGCTTTGGTCGTGGTTTCGGTATCTTCCAGAAGTTTACGGTCGGTAAGAGGGAACCACGATGGATATTTCTCGTCGGAAGACATCAATAATCTCCGGTGGCCACCATCTCTGCCGATATTTCTTTGTTTGTTAAACTCGGTGAACCCTGTCGATGGATATTTCTCGGCAATTGCCTCAGCCGCAGCCTTTGTAACTGCCAAAGAGTTGCTTAGAGACTTAGTGAGGTTCCGGTGAATGTGTATTGGGAAAAATTTCGAATACGAAGAGGTCAAGTTAAAATCCTTAAATCCGTTTTTGCAAGTGTCTTGGTTAGCTATGGCTGCGCTTAACGAGGTTTGTCTATCATGCATCGAAGAATATTGAGCGTACGAACTCCGAGTGTGGTTGAGTTGGTCTATGGTGTCTTCGTAGAGCTCCAAGCAGTCATGCAAAGCTGACGTGGCGTGTTTATGGAGAGAACTACGCTGTTTTACGGTAGAGACAAGGCGGTGTAGTTGCACGGCTTGGTCCATGGTGGAGCTGACCACAAGGTCGTGGAAAGTTAAACCATCGGTTTGGTCGTCTAGAGTTTTGACTTCGAGAGGTGAATTGGACATGTGGTGGGCGCAGACGCTAGGGTATGGGGTTTGTTTGCATGAAGTTATGAAATGGGCATTAAGATGAGAGATTGATAGAACGTAAATGATGGTTATGATACATTTTGGAGACGTTAGTAGGAGTTTGTGATCCATTTGAGAAGTACCAATTAGAGATTTTTTGACTAATTTGGATGAGGATAGATTTGGGGATATTGCTTTCTCAGGGAAGCATAGAGTTATATATAAATGCATGTCAAGTAACAAATGTGTGGATACTCTATCTCGATAAGTCCCATACTTGAATGTTTACACGTATGCAGCCACGTAAGAGCGTGTTGATGTAAACATTTATATAAATAAGAACATATGTTACAGAATCTAAGTTAGCAATGGCCATTGGTTCCAACTTATGGCATAAACATTGAACATAACATAAGATGTTCAAACTATGCATAGAAACTAGAAACTTGATTTGGCTAATGGCCTGCCACATGTGTAAGACGTTTGAGAGACATGAGCCTTTCACGTATTGCCACATATCATGATGAAGCCATAGTTCACGTACGTATTGATTGTATTTTTTTGAAGAACATATACGTATACTGCCTACTGGATTATAGGTAACAACACAAAATTTTATGAATGGTGATTATAGTTATTACAAGTATGTCTCTCCAACCACAAAAATACATGCATATCTAAATTTTGTTTCTGATGTGAAATCTACCAACCAAAGCGTTAGGGAGTTTGAGAGAAAGAGTTTTAAGTAAATATCAAAATCAAAAGGTCAAAAGGGGTTTCACATGAGTTTCGTGTGAGCTTGACCAAATTAAAGTTTTTTGATGAAAAGTTTAATTAGCTAAGTCCGTCTTTTGTGGGAATTAATATGTTTTCTCGCTGAGCAAGTTTTCTTACTTTATCCTTTAATTAATGGTTTAGGTTTACAAAAACGACATTTTCTGCAATTTCTGTCACGTAGCTACATCATAACAATTAACTATGACTTTAACCAAAAATTTAAAGTATGTCAATCTTATTACGACCAACGTTTGAATTATATTTACTACTGCGTACATGAACAAAAAAAAAAAACTTAAAACTCATACTAGTATTCAAATTTCATTTGCATGGAAATTATTGATAATTCTAAATCTGGTATAAAACGTACGAACATTTAGTGCCAATAAAAACAACTATGATCGTGATGATGTTATATTTCATATCTAATTGTGAAAATACTACAAAAATAAAATAAAATGCCACACTGAAGGAATGAATCCTGAGTCCCTAGTAAAGTAATAGTTAGATGGCGGTAGAACTATCATATATTTCTCATTAATATTTTTGTCGACATCGACGAAGAAGTTTACATCTTTTTTTTTTTTTTTTGTCATCAACGAGTGTTACTATATTTTGGTACTAATTATTTGGTCTTCAATCATTTTGTTTGTATCAGAAGAAATTTACGTACGTAGTTGTGAAAGATTGGGTTATTTATTCAAAAGTTATAATATTGTAAATGGTAATACGAATGCGAGTGTTGTAACTAGAAGTGAATTAAGTTTAAGTTTCATAGATGTTAAAAAAAATATAATATATCTCATTAGATAGATTGATAACGAAGTGTACGTACAAGCTAAGACCACTAGAGATGATAGATCGGGCGTGGGTACTATTGGGAGTGGGAGTTTGTTTTCCATCGATTCGAGTTTTTGGTTACATAGAGGTCGA